ACCACTGGGGCGGCAGTTTTAGGGGTGGCGGTGGTGGCTTGAATCTGGCCGTCACCGATTTGGGTAACCACTGGGGCGGCAGTTTTAGGGGTGGCGGTGGTGGCTTGAATCTGGCCGTCACCGATTTGGGTAACCACTGGGGCGGCGGTCTTAGGAGTGGCGGTGGTAGCCTGGATCTGGCCGTCGCCAATTTGGGTCACGACGGCAGCGGTAGATGCAGTAGCAGTAGTGGCCTGGATCTGGCCGTCACCGATCTGAGTGACAACGTCTCTCTTGGCCTTTGCACCGGAAGCACTGGTGACCTTGTTGATAGCAATGCCGAAAGTCTTGGTGTAGTCAGTGGTTGCACTCTCAAGGGTGGCAGAAGGGGTCAAGGTGGACCATGGCTCGGATGGAACGTAAGCAGCGATAGCGCCCGCAGCGAAGATGGCAGCAGAGAATTTCATGTTTGAAAGCTGGGCTTCGGGTAGAGAAATCCATTAGAATTTATAGTGCCCCGAAGAGCTAAAAATAGAGACCGACCATCATGCAATTAATTCTAGTAAATTTTTAGTGAATCCGACGCCAGCGGCGCACGACCCATTTTCCTAGAAAAACCTCGCTTCGGCATAGAAATCAGACTTTGCGCGTCATGTATCCGCAGAAAGACTGGATTCGGGAGACTGTCGTCAAGATAATAATTTACAGGTGCCTCTCTCCGAGGTTGTGGGGGAGAATTTCGCGAGCAGAGACAGCCAAATGCTCCCTAGAGACCGATTGAGTGCAGCGCCAACGCGGGACACGGTGCGTCGTGACTTGATCTGTTTACCAAGCAATGGTGGCTATTTGCCCGTCTCTGATGACCGGCTTTGATCTTATGCCTTTTTCGTCTAAATTAACCCATTTTTGGATAAATTAAATTTCATATATACTATATTGGGGAAAAATACCACATTTGGTTATGTACTCAGTGCTTTTCCGGATGGCGGGATCAAAGGCTGGTGGGTTTATTTTTGGGCAACCTCGCAAACCGCCCCAGCCCCCTGGTATCTCGGCCCGGCAACGGCGATCTCCACGAATCAAGCACAGATAATGAACGGTAACCTCATTTATCTATCAACAGATTGTACACCTTGCATGGATCTTCCGGAACTGGGCCCCCATTCCGTTAGCTCCAGATAATTCTTTCCACAACCTGGCCCTTGGGGATGGCCAGGCGCTCGAACTGCCGGCAATTGACCCGCTCTACCACCTCCAGAAACTCAGAAAACCCCCCACGCACGTACTCCAGCATGCCCTCCTGCTCAAACGCCTCCGCAATCTCGAGCTGGTGGTTGTCTGCGAGCTCTGTGTTGATCAGCACGACAAGTTTTTTGTTGCAGCGCAACGTGTCCAACACGGACCCGGTGCCCCCGTGAGAAATCACCAGATCGCTCTGCGCGGTGTAGTTTCTCACAAAATCCGGGTCGAACGCCAGCAACTCCACCTCGAGCCTGTTCACCGTGAACACGTTGTCGCGCACCGTATACTCGGATGTCAGTTTCGCCACCAATTCTCTGCCGGCGGCGGTTTTGCCGTACTGCACCACCAGCCGATCGTAGCCCAGCCGTAGTACGAGCGCAAAAAACCTTTTGTCCAGGACGCACTGGACGAGCCGGTCGAAGCACACGGTCGCCCCACAGGTGGCGAGAATCTGGCGAGCCATAAGAAAATTCCACAGCCCGGTTTTGTTTTTTAATACACCCACCACCCACGCTAGCAATGTGGGGCGGGGAGCAGCTACGGGTTATGCTCTCGTTAACCATTATACGAATACGTACTCACCACGCCGCCCTCTTGCATCTTGCACTCCCAGCGCGACAAAGCAGGGTGCACAAGCACCGGCCGCCGCGGGGCCTCGGCCGGTGCCGGCTCCTCGTCGCCGTACTCCTTGCCCTCGAGGTTCTTGAGATTGCGCACCTTGTCGGCCCGCTTGAGCAATAACTTGTTCAGCGTGTCCTGCTTCTCCATCTCAAGCCGCTTCATCGTGAAGTTCTTGCGCTTGCGCGCGTTCTCGAGCCGGCGCAGCTGCAGCTCCTCCTCTGTAAACTGTTTTTTCTTGCTGCGCTCGTTCGTCAGCTCCAGCAGCTCGCTGCTGGCCTGGCGCTCGCTGTCCTCGTCGGCGGCCTCCATGTATTTCGCGCGCTGGCGCTCCGTCATCCGCGCAAGGTCCGTCGACGCGCTCGACCCGTCGGCAGATTCGTCTAGGTCCTCAGAATACGGCAGCTCGTCCTCGGTCGGCTCCCTGTACGTGCGCGGCGCGGCCCGGCGCCGCTTGCCCACGTCCTGCACCACGGCCTCCTCGATCAGCGGCCGACCGCGCCGTTTCGGGATCACCTCCTCGTCGTCCTCGTCCTGGCCGTACTCCTCGTACTCGTCCTCGCTCTCGAGCTCGTAGTCCTCCTCGCTGTCCAGCAGCTCGTCGCTCTCGTAGTCCGATTTTGCCATTTTTGAATATTTTATTTTTCGCATAACTCGCACGCACTTTATGCCATTTGTTTACAGCACCCAGCAATTTTTTGCACTTTCTTAATTGTCAGATTATCCTTTTCAGGCTGATAAGATCTGGGGAAATATGTCCACACAGACCGACGCGCGCATCGCCTCCCTCGCAAACGAGTCCCAGCAGCAGGGCCACCCAATAACTCTGGCCGACGTCGACGACCAGCTGCGCTCGCTCCAACACCACCAATTGCCCTCTGTCTCCTCGCAGCAATACTTCGGCCAGCAGTATTACCCATACATCCCAGAGAACCAGCTCGACGCCGACGCGCGGGGTGACGGCGGCGGCAGCCAGAAACGCGCACGCACGTCGAGCTCGCCCGACATGGTCAAAAAATGCTCGCGGTGCCGGGTCAAACGGCTGAACGAGGACCCCGAAATGCTTGTGCGGTACCAGACGTGTGTGAACTGCCGCAACAAGCGCAAGGTGAAGGAGAAAAAAGTGCGGTCGCTGTCCAAACTGCCGAACCTGTCGGACGACTGGGCCCAGTACCAGCACAAGGTGTCTCTCAACACGCAAATAGACCTCTACCAGCACAACTACAGAAACTACACCGACAAGGAGCTGTTCCCGCGGTACCGCCGAGAAGAGCTGACCGAGGAGATTGTCAAGGAGATGTCGGAGCTGGTGGTAAACCACTACATTGCGCCGCTGCAAATGCTGACGGGGTTCAAGTTTGCGATCCGCGACCACCACAAGCCGAACCTGGCGGACCCGAACCCAAACAAGAGCAAGAAAATCACGTGGATGTACATCTGCTCGCAGGACAAGTACCGGCAGCGGAAGAGCCGGAGCGAGAACAAGCGGCAGGTGGTCAACAAGCTGAAGACGGAGGAGTGCGACTCCAAGATCACGCTCAACTATGACCTGGTGACCGGCGTGGTGCAGCTCAGCTACAACCACAAGCACCACGCGCCGCTGAACTGGAAGAAGGACGGGTCCGAGGAGCTGCCGTTCCAGCTGGGCGACGTGCAGGGCAGACGCAAGTACCACGAGCTGCAGCCGAAGGAGAGCGACGTGAACGAGCTGAGCAAGCTGCTGAAGCAGGAGCCGCTGGACACGAACGAGATCGTCGAGCTGGCGACGCGCGCCGCGCAGACCGACACGGGCAGCCAGCAGGGCCAGGAACAGCTGTACGACATTGCGCTGCTGCAGCAGCACCAGCAGCACCAGTACCACCAGTACCGCGGCGACGAGAACGTAGACGAGATGCTGCGGTGAACAAAAATGCGGACGAATCATATTTCAGGTTTGTCCCCCGGTGCGGACACGGACAAGAACTACTAGGTGCAATAGAATACTACTCGGTGACGTAAACGGAAGGAGGGGGTGAAGTCCGAGGAGGCCTGCACCCCGCCTCGGGGTGCAGCTTGCTCCTGCTTCACCCGGGGCGCAAATGGTGGCATTCCCACATCGGGCGTTGCTCTGGAGGCCCAGTCCCGGAGTAGCGACGACCTTATTGGTTGTTCGGCTACATAATTAGTAATGCGCCCCGCAATCTGGCAAAATACACGACGAATACGCATGTCCTAAAAATTCTGGACGAACGGCGTTTTTCGTATATAAGTGACCAGTTCCACCATGAGAGCGTTATCTTTCGCCCGACGTTTACACACAATGGCCCACGTCCAGACACTTACCTTCCCTGTTATCAACAAATCCTACGAACAGCCTACCGGCCTGTTCATCAACAATGAATTCGTCTCTGCTAAGTCCGGTAAAACGTTCAAAGTCAGCTCTCCGTTGAACGAGGAGCATTTGTGCGACGTCCAGATGGCGGAGGCCGAGGACGTCGACGTCGCTGTGCAGGCCGCCTACAAGGCGTTCAAGCAGTGGAAATTGACCGAGGGATCGGAGAGGGCCAGGCTGCTCAACAAGCTCGCAGACCTCATCGAGCGCGACAGAGAGCTGCTGAGCCAGATCGAGTCGCTCGACAACGGGAAGTCACTCTTGTGCTCCACGTTCGACCTCGGCATCGTCATCAGCACCCTCAGATACTGCGCCGGCTTCTGCGACAAGAAGGACGGCCGCCTCATCGACACGGGGCTCACCCACATGAGCTACACCAAGAGGGAACCACTCGGGGTGTGCGGCGCAATCACCCCGTGGAACTTCCCGCTCATGATGTTTGCGTGGAAAATCGGCCCGGCTCTAGCCACAGGCAACGTTGTCGTGCTCAAGCCTGCTAGCGCCACTCCATTGTCTAACCTGTATGCGTGTAAGCTCGTCAAGGAGGCTGGATTCCCGGCCGGTGTCGTCAACGTCATCCCCGGCAGCGGCAGAGGGTGCGGTAACGCGATCCTGCACCACCCCCTGGTGAAAAAGGTCGCCTTCACCGGCTCCACGTCTGTCGGCCAGGGCGTCATGTCCGAGGCCGCCAAGACCATCAAGAAGGTCACTCTCGAGCTCGGCGGAAAGTCGCCGAACATCGTCTTCGAGGACTGCAACATCGACGAGACCATCCAGAACCTCATCACGGGTATTTTCTTCAACGGCGGCGAGGTTTGCTGCGCCGGCTCCAGGATTTACATCCAGGCTACCAACCCAGAATGGTACGCCAGCTTCCTCCAGAAGTTCAAGGCCGCGGTCGAGAAGCTGAAGGTTGGCAACTCGTTCGAAGAGGGCGTCTACCAGGGTGCCCAGTCCACCCCAGACCAGTTCGAGGAGGTGCTCAACTACATCGAGATAGGAAAGAAGACGAGCCTCAAGCTGCTCACCGGAGGCAACAGAATCGGCTCCAAGGGCTACTTCGTCGAGCCTACCGTGTTCTACGACGTTCCACAGGACAGCCAGCTGACCCAGGAGGAGATTTTCGGCCCGGTGGCCGTTGTTCTGCCGTTCAAGAGCATCGACGAGGTCATCGAGAAGGCCAACGACTCCGAGTTCGGTCTGGGCTCTGGTGTGCACACCGAGGACATCAACAAGGCCATCTATGTCTCCGACAGACTTGAGGCCGGTTCCGTGTGGATCAACACCTACAATGACTTCCACGCTGCCGTGCCATTTGGTGGCTACAAGCAGAGTGGTGTTGGCAGAGAGATGGGCACAGAGGCCTTTGACAGCTACACGCAGGTCAAGGCTGTGCGGGCCAAGATCAGGACCCCTGTGTTGTAATTGAGGAAGCCACGAAAGGCTGACAGCTACGAAAAGTTATGTACATGTCGTGAATGAGAAAATTCGTACAGATCTGGCAAAAAATAATTTTATTCCAGTTTTATTCCATTTAAATAAAAAATAGCACATGGTCCAGCAGCTGTCCCTGTATGCGGCGACGCGCTCGGCAGACGTGCTCCTGATCACTCTGGAGTCGCTCACCGGGATGCGCCCCCAGCCAATGGAGCAACACACGGTGGTTCTGCGGCCCAAGTTCCCCTTCCGGCCCGAGCAGAAGGCCGGCAAAATCAACCAGATCGAGTCGTACCGCATCCGCATGACCAGAAAGGGCGGCGCAGACGACCGCGAGCTCATGTCCGACCTCCAGAGCCCGCGCTGGAACAACTGCATCTGGACGCTGCAGATCGCCGACATCCCTGCCGCAGGAAAGCGTCCCGTCCTGGTGCAGAACCTGTACGAGACGACCATAGTGCAGGCCGACGACATCCTGGGCTACATGGACGAGCTCGGGTACATGCCCGAGACAGAGTACTGGGTGCGCGGTGTGCGGTTTTTCTACAACGACGTCATTATCGAGGTGTTCAGAGTGTACCACTGGAAAGAGCAGCAGGAGCTGTTGGATCCCAAATACCAGGTGCGCTGCGTCGTGAACGTGGCGCGGCTGAACGACCTGGACAGCGTCGCGCGCGGCACGAAGCAGCTCGAGGCGCTGAAGACAGAGCTTTCGGGCTTGATTGAGCTCGACCTGTACGAAAGAACGAGTCTCGACGGCCGGGTCAACTGGAATTAATTTATCGCACGTTTATATGATCAGTTTGCTGTCGTAGCGAGGCAGGCCCTGGGTTTCGCAGTCCATCTCTGCGTCGTCGCCGGCGTCGCCCTGCTGCAGCTCCATGAGACGCCAGAAATGCTTCTCGCTCACAGGAGTCACGCTCAGACGGCCGCGTTTCAGCAGATACATGTCCTCGAGACCCTTGGCCGCGCGCAGCTCCGCAAGACTCAACTTTCTGTTGAGCACGCACACAAACGTCACTGCAGGACACCACCACCGGGGCTGGTCTCTTGTCGCCTTGGCGTCGTAGTAGGGCGACCGCGGGTCGAACTGCGACTCGTCCGGCCTCGCCGTCGCAGCCACTCTGCACAGTCCGACAATCCCCGGGTTCTTGCAGTTGGAGTGGTAGAACAGACAAATATCGTCCTTGGCCATTTGCACGAGATAGTTGCGCGCCTCCCAGTTGCGCACGCCGTCCCACGGCTCGCTCTCGACGCTGGCCAGGTCGGCGATCGAAAACTGGACCGTCTTGCCTGTCTTGGCGTCGATACGCGGCATCGGCTCGCTCTTCACCAGCCAGTACCGCCGGCCGTGCATGTCGGGCGCGAAAACAGGCGGCTTTCCCGGAGCTGGCGGCCCGTGGCCGGCCCCTTTCTTGGGCTGCCGTTTCGAGTCGCGTTTCATGAAAATTTAATTATTTCTCCAGGCTGTGCACTCACAAATATAGCTCGTCCTCGTCGCTCACATACGTCTTGAAATGGTTCGACGAGCGCACGTTCTCGTACCCCTCGTTTAGCTCCTCGAAGTCCTCGAAGTCCTCGTACTCGTCAGCCTCCTGAGACGGCTTCGGCTCGTCATGCGACTCCGGTGCAGACGTTGGCGCAGGCGAGCTGGCCGGTTTGAGCAGGCTCAGCAGCTCCTGCGACCCAGAAGAGCCGGACTGCGCGGGGCTTTCCTGCACGGGTGGAACGACCGCGTTCAGAAGCCCCTTGCTGGGGTCGCGCGGCTCTTCTTTTCTGTTTAGGATTCCCAGCAGAACCGAGGCAGAGGGGGCAGTGGCAGCCTGGGCCGTCTGCGCGGGCTCCCCGGGCTTTTTCAGCATGCCCAGCAGCTCTGCCGAGCCGTTCGCGCCGTTCGCGCCGTTCGGATTCGCCGGCTTGGTCCTCAGCAGGTCCAGCAGCTGTTTCGAGGCCTCCTTTGGCTGTGTCTCCTTCTTCTTTGTCAGCAGTCCCAGCAGCTCCTTGGAGCCTTCCGAGTCTGTCTTTGGCTCAGGCTGGGGCTCGGGCTTCTTCAGGATGCTCAGCATCTCCGTGCTGCCGTTCGTCGCGGGACTTGGCTTCGGCAGCCGGCTCTCCTGCTCTCTTCCATTTCCAGCCTCCTTAGTCTTCTCCTCGGGCTCCTCCTTCGGCCGCTTCAAAATCGTCACCTTCCGCGGGAACTGCGCAGGCTCCTCGCCCTTGTACCTGTCAAACAGACTCTGCAAAAAGTTGCCCCGCGGCTTCTGCGGCTCCTCTGTCTCCTCCTTCCTCTCAGGACGTTTCAAAATGCTCAGCAGCTCCTTGCTATTGCTCTCGCCAGACCGCCTATTTGCCAGCACCAACTGCGGCTTGTCGAGCGACGAAGGCGGCGGAGCAAACAGCTCGTTTTTCTGGTCACTACGCGGCACAGACATGGCAGGCGGCGGTGGGAAGGGAAACCGCGGAAGCATGTGCGGAGCCATCATAAACGGCATAGGGAACGGCATAGGGAACGGAGCAAGCGGCATTGGCAGCGGCATAGGGTGGCCTGTCGGCGGCATGGACGGCGGCTGTGCGTTGGGAGGCTGCTTGCCAGCAGAAACCTGCTGCAACATGTTGAGCAGGTCGCGTCCAGGGTCGGACTTTTCCTGGGGCTGGCCGACACCCAGAATCTTCTTGAGCTGGATCGTGGCCTGTCTTTTGAGCTCCTCCTCTGTCTGCTGGTTTTTCCTCCTGTTGATGAAGTTCTGCAGCTGTTTCATCATCGAGCTCACCAAAAATAAGTTATTCTTGCCCTGTTTCGACAACGACTTGATGTCCTTCCACGCAATGGCGCTGATTTCGTTGCGAACACGTGGCTCGAACTGCGTGCTTTCCGGCACCCCGGCCAGAATGTATATCTTGTAGTTTTTGCCCTGAATGGTGCGCTCGATGTACTCGTCCTCGTCAATGTACTCTCGGCCGTCGAACCCAGTTTCCTCCTCCAGCTCGCGCAGCGCGCAGTCCAGGTCGCTCTCGTCCTTTGAGATCTTGCCCCTCGGAAAACCCCACGACGACGACTCGACGCCTTTCACCAGCAGAACCTTGTCCAGCTTCTGGTTGAGCACAGCACACCCACGCACGGGAATCGACGACTTGTACTTGCCGAACTGCGCGAGGGCGTCCTGCGAGTCGCCCCAGCGCCACACCACAGGGCACTGCGCTATTATCTTGGCCGTGAACTGTTTCATCTTCATCGGCGGCAGCAATTCGTTGACGACTCTGGCAAAGTCCTGGTAGAACCAGTGTGCCTCCTCTATCTGGAAGAAAACCCTCTCAATCGACGACAAGTCTTCCGGCGGACAGTTGATCACAAACCTCACCAGCAGGTCCTCCAGGACCCGCTCCAGAGACTCGTCCGCAAATCCTTTTCGCAGCAAAATCGACATCAGAACACTATGGAGCTAAATTTTCTTTGACTACTTATTTTTTTTCAGTTTGCCAAAATTCCTGGCGGTGGACACACAGACGATGAACAGGCCAGTGGACCCGAAAATACAAATGCAGGTGGATCCCAACGAGGACACCGAGTGGAATGACATTCTGCGCGCCCATGGCATCATCCCTCAGAAAGAAAAGGACCCCACGGAACAGCTCGAGGAGGCCCTGGCAGAGGCCGTGCAGAAACAGCACGAGAACAGGCTCGAGAACAAGACCCTCGACGAGCTCGACGAGCTGGAGGACGACGAGGACGAGGAGTTCCTCCAGCAGTACAAACAAAAGCGCATCGCCGAGATGAACAGGCTCGCGGCCCGGGCCAAGTACGGCTCGGTGTACCCGATCACCAAGCCAGAGTACAAGCAGCAGGTGACCGACGCGTCGCAGGATTGCTTTGTCGTGGTGCACATGTCGCTCCAGAGCGCGCTGCAGTCGCGGCTGCTGGCCAGCTTGCTGGCCCAGCTTGCGCCCCGGCTGCCCGACGTGAAATTTGTCGACATTCCTGCCGACCGCGCGGTCGAAAACTACCCCGAGGCCAACTGCCCGACGCTGCTCGTCTACCACAAGGGCGACGTCGTCAAGCAGGCCGTCACGCTCGCCCAGCTCGGCGGCAACCAGACAACACTTGCGGACCTGGAATCGTGGCTGTGCAGCTCGGGCGCCGTGGCCGAGACAGACTCCCGGCTCTCGATCAACACGGTGGACGCGGACCAGGAGGAGTCGCGCCAGACGCGGTTCGTCAGGAAGTCGCTGCGCGACGCAGACCTGTCCGACGACGACTTCTTCGACTAGGCCATCTCGTGGATTATGTAATAGAGAAGGTAAGCACGCGAGTTGAGAACGTCCTGCTGCGACACCTTGGTCACCGTAGCGTCGTTGAACATGAACCACGCGCCCGAGCGCGCCTTGACCATGCAGATGTAGTGGCCCGTGCTGGCCGACCCTATGTGGCACACGACGGCAAACAGCTCGTACAGGTTCTGGCCGTAATGCGGCCTGCTGCTGGCCAGCACGTAGTCGGACATGTTGAGGAAAAGCGGGATCTGCACGTGTGTGTCCACCTTCGTGGACGTCGCGAGATGCTCGAACCGCTTGAGCTGGATGCCGAGCGTCCGCGGCAGTTTCTTTATTTTGAGCTGTTTGGTGACTTTTGTCTGTTTGTGGCACGAGGAGCAGCTGTAGGTCGCGTCCAGCTGCTCTGGCTTGGTGAACACGTCGAGACAGGCTTCCAGGCTCGGGATGGCGGTCTTGGAGCCGTCTGTGTGCTTTTCCTGGATCTCTAGCGACAGGTCGAGCATCGGGTCGACGGTGACGGTTGTGTTGCGGCAGTCCTTGCACCTGATGGAGGACTGCAGCTCGCCGGCAAACGTGCGGTGGATGATGCAGTTGCACGAGCCATGCGCCGGGGACTGCTGGTCCTCCGGGGCCGGGGTGTGTTCCTTGTAGGCCTTGGACTTCTTGGTGTCGTTCTTATGCAGCTGGTGGAGCAGAAACTGCCAGAACTCGTGCGCGTCCTGCTCGGAGTACCCGGCCAGCGACCGCTTCACCTTCCAGGCGGCGGTGAGCAGCGAGACGGGGCCGTAGCCGGCAGCGCTCGGCGACGAATAGAAGTCCTGGAAAATGTCGGCCACAGAGCACGACAGGCACTCGGCGCCCATCCTGCTGCAGTCGCCGTGGTTTCCGGCCAGAAAGTAGTCTCTGATGAAGGGGTTGTGGATCAGCGTCTGCAGAACAGAGCTCATGAAACAGGTGGACCCCATGTTGACAAAGCCCTTGAGCCCCGTGGACGCGCGGAAACACGGCGCACGCGACCCCGCGACGATCTGCCGCTGCTTTTCCGCGTCGTGCTCGTGCTGGAAGATGGGCATCCCGGGGAAGTTGGCAACCTTTTTCGAGTGGATGATCTGGTTAATCCTGATGCGCTCGAGCGACGGATCGCTCACAAAGCTCTCGCACGGCCAGCAGATGAGGTCGCCGGAGTGCGGGCTGATGCCAAATGCGTGGTTGTGGGCGCTGGCGTGCTCGCTCGCGTGGCGGTGTCGATAACACCCGACAAACGAGCACTCCAGACACATGAAAACGTTGGATGCCGCGTGGCAGCTACCGCAGCGCACGATCTGCGCCCGCAGCCGCACCAGCTCCTCGTGGTGCACTTTCGTGCCGTCCTGGGCAAGATACGCCCTGTCCTCGTGGACAGGCATTGCTAGGAGGCAGATTTTCATGGCGGTGTTGTATGTTTTCAGCACGGCCTCGCCGTCGGCCGACGCCAGCACCCGCGACAGGTGCGCGCACGGCGGGAACGACACGTACGTGCTCGGATCCTCGTTCGAGGGGATGTTGAGGTACGATACCATGGAGACAAGAGAATTAAATCTGTTTCGATTTACGGCCTGATGGTGCTGGTGCGAGGTGTAATGTACACAGACTACTGCTCTCACTTTCGCGGCAGGCGGATCTTGGCCAAAGAGTGGACGAGGGTGTTGCGCAGAGCAAACACCGTGTTTCGCACCGCGGGCGGCACCACCGGCAGCGAGAGCGTCTGGACGAGGCGCGCGTCGTACTGCGTCACCAGGGCCCGCGTGTACTTGGACTGGTCGAATCTGAGCTTGTTGAACACCACCAGGGCGGCCACCAGTGCCAGAGTCTGCAGGTTTCGCACAAAATACGCCGGACGCAGCAGCTGCAAGAAAATCACCATTTTCGCCAGCGGCAGCACGTACGTCGTGACAAGCAGCACCTCCATGTGGGCGGCAACGAGAAGCGACTGCTCGTTGTACGTCTTCAGAAAGTGGCCGATTGCGGCCTTGTAGCGGGCTTTCTGGTCTTTGGTGAAGAAAGGCACAAAGCCAATCACGTTCGTGTTCACGTAGCTCAGACAGTGGAAAAACGCAAACACCGCAAACGGATACAGCGTCGAGGAGTTTCCGCTGCGCGCGGAAAACACCCGGAACACGAGCGCCAGCAGCAGATACTGGACGTTGTCGTCCTTCAGCAGGGTCAACGGCTGCGAGAAAATCAGCGAGACCGGCTTTGCACGGTACGTTTGCCGCACCACAATCAGGTAAGTGACTATGGTGGAGGAAATGGAGTAATTGTAGTATTTGAGAGCAACGGGCGAGTGGGGCCCCCGGAAAGTGGCCGTCACAGTGTGCAGGATAAGACAGGTGAGAGAGGCGAGATGGGACAGAAACCAGTAGAACTGAGGCGTCCTAGCCAGCTGGAACGTCTGTCTGTAGGCGATCTGCCAAGGAGAAGCGACGGCAACCTTGTCTGTCATGGAAAATTAGGAAATCGTGAAAGATGTCGTGGTGAGGCTGGCCGGAAAAAAACAGCAGGAGCACCAGATAAGCGAGCGAGTCGCTTAAAAGTTTTTTTCTGTAGGATCTACGGACGACCGACGCAGAAGGTGTAAGAGAAGACAGATCAAATCTTTTTTGATTCTCTATACTAAGTGGAGAAGCAGCACTCCTTATACAAAAACAGGCGCAAGAATAGACCCGACAGAATCAGAAACACTTGTGGTGGACAATGGATGGTCCGGACTCGTCGTATTCTTGCTTCGAAATCCACATCTGTTGGAAGGTGGACAAGGAGGCCAGGATGGAACCACCGATCCAGACAGAGTACTTTCTCTCTGGTGGAGCGATGATCTTGACCTTCATCGAAGATGGTGCCAAAGCAGTAATCTCCTTTTGCATTCTCTCAGCAATACCTGGGAACATGGTAGTACCACCAGACATGACAATGTTACCGTACAGCTCCTTTCTAACATCGACATCACACTTGATGATGGAGTTGTAGGTGGTTTGGTCAATACCGGCGGCCTCCAGTCCAAGTGGACCTGGGTGGAAGAGAACTTCTGGGGCTCTGAATCTCTCGTTACCGATGGTGATCACCTGTCCATCAGGCAGCTCGTAGGACTTCTCGATGGCAGAAGACTGCGAAGAAGTCTGCAACTCTTGGTCGAAGTCAAGGGCAACGTAACAGAGCTTCTCCTTGATGTCTCTGACGATTTCTCTTTCGGCAGTGGTGGAGAACGTGTAACCTCTCTCAGAAAGAATCTTCATCAAGTAGTCAGTCAGGTCTCTACCAGCCAAGTCAATTCTCAAGATGGCGTGTGGGAGAGAGAAACCGGCATAAATTGGAACAACGTGGGTAACACCGTCACCAGAGTCCAAGACAATACCGGTCGTTCTACCAGAGGAGTACAACGACAGCACAGCCTGGATCGAAACGTAGAATGCTGGCACGTTGAAGGTCTCGAACAAGATCTGAGTCATCTTTTCTCTGTTGGACTTAGGGTTCATTGGAGCCTCAGTCAGCAAAACTGGGTGTTCTTCTGGAGCAACTCTCAACTCGTTGTAGAAAGTGTGGTGCCAGATCTTCTCCATGTCGTCCCAGTTGGTGACGATACCGTGCTCAATTGGGTATCTCAGAGTCAAGATACCTCTCTTGGATTGGGCTTCGTCTCCAACGTAGGAGTCCTTTTGACCCATACCGACCATGATACCCTGGTGTCTAGGTCTTCCGACAATCGAAGGAAACACGGCTCTTGGAGCGTCGTCACCGGCAAAGCCGGCCTTACACATACCGGATCCGTTATCAATAACCAACTAAATTGTTAGTAACTTTGGATTTGCATATGATGCGTGTCCAACTCGGACTGAAATTTTCAGCCCTCAATTTGGACCGCTTAGTACTTACAGCAGCAACGTCTTCTATAGGGGTGTTAGAAACATGTAAAACCGTCGGTTTCTGGGTCTCGATCTAAACTCTGCGGCTGGATCGGTCGAACAAGGGCAATCCAACACGTCTTTGGTTGTTTGTTTTGGTCTGAGGCGAATTGTGTTGCATTGACAAAAACAAAAACTGCCACCAAAACTGCGCTGTCAATGCCACTGCCTGCCGCTCATTGCGGCGCCGGTCTCCACAACGACACAGACCGGCTGCCTGGAATGTCTGGGCTGCACGCTGCAGCACTTGACCTCCAAACAATTTGCAGAATTGCCCGCTCCTTTGCCACTCGTTTCAATCGGGCCCAGAACCGAATTTGCTCAGTACATACCTCCGTCCATTTTGCTATAACTCAATTAAGATGATTCCAACCAATTGAAAGATCTAATTTACAAAACAAGGTAGATTAAAAATTTTTATAGAAACTAAGAGGACAACTCAACAAGATGGAGGCGTCTGCTGGAGCCTGCTGATTGGAATATTCGCGACCACCGGAAGGGGCTTGGCGGGCTCGTAACGCGCCTGCGGAAAAAGTTACCAAACATCTGTACACCGGGACGGAATCGCATCTGCATCGTCTTTTACAGGGGCAGTATTACCTGGCTTCCACTGGCTAGCGTATGTAATGAAGACGGCTCCACCGGTGAGCGGGCATGGGCCATGCTTGCACTTCTTCGCCTCACCTGTATCTGACCTTCGTCTTTCTGTTTTCCAGTTTCTGCTGCCGCTTGCTTTTCACGGGCTCTGTCTCTATTTGCTCCTCTTTCTGCTTGCGAGCAAATTGCGGCGCAATGAAGCCCTTCAGTTTATATCCAGCGTAGGCAGGCGCGGCCAGAAGAAGCAGCCACACCTTATTGGAGCCGAAAAGAACCATCAAAACGTCAATTATCAGTGTCAGGTAAACAATGTCGATCATGTACTCTGTGAGACCATGTTGTTGTAGATCCTGCCCGGGAGAAGTGAGAACGCTGTAGCCCTCATGGTTTATGCGGTATTTGGGCCTACCCACCTTTTCGAGCACATACTGACAGCCCAAGCCGGGGAGACTGAATGCAAAGTAATGCCAATTGGTTGCGGGCCTGTGAAAGACGAAGAGCGCCACCAGCGCTGCCGCGTTCACCATGAGGGAGGCCAAATGCAGCTGTTTCAAAATAGACAGATTGGCTGCAGCCTGCTTTTTGTCCGAAGCACCAGCCATTCAGAGGTAGATAAAATTAAATAATTTATTTATCGCTACATTACCCGACTTTGGCTAGTCGCTTTAGAATGTGCAGGCTCTGCTTCGTGCTGGCACCTGTATTATGAATCGTAGCTACATCCTGGAAACGAACCCCGTTAACAACATCCGCTCTGCTGGTTGATCACAGAGGTGCCGCTGAGGTTGACGCTGGGCTTGCCTGCGGTATTCGAGGCCGGTTGCGAGTTGGCCATCTGGGACTTGATCTGCTTGGACATGACGATGAACGCCTGCTCGACATTGGTGCTCTGCGATGCGGACGTCTCCAAGAACTTGATGCCTCTGCTGTCGGCAAACTCCTTGGCCACGGCGTAGTCAACAACCTTCTTGTCGGTCAGGTCGCACTTGTTGCCAACCAGCAGCTTCATGACGCCGCTGGTGGCGTATCGGTCGATCTCCTGCAGCCACTGGTTCACGTTGTTGAACGACTCCTGGTCCGTCACATCGTACACAATGATAATACCGTGCGCTCCTCTGTAGTACGATGAAGTGATGGTTCTGAATCTCTCCTGCCCCGCGGTGTCCCAGATTTGCAGCTTGATGGTCTTGCCGTCTAGCTCGATCGTCCGGATCTTGAAATCCACGCCGATGGTCGATATGTAGTCCTGCGTGTACGTATCTTCTGCAAACCGCAACAGGAGACAGGACTTGCCGACGCCGGAGTCGCCGATAAGCAGCAGCTTGAAAAGGTAGTCGTATTCGTTGTTCATCGGTATCTTCGGACGCTTTTAAACCCTTAAACAACAAAAATGTTTGTATCTTTTGTTGCTTGTTGGCATTTATTCGCCTCTTGCTTAGCTAAGCGCGCGGCCCGCCCAGACTTACCCGGCTCGACGCTCCCTCGCGGCTCCCGCTGCTCAACCCCCTCTCAGCCAACCCGGGATGGCTGTGGGCGTCCGCCGCGTGGCTCGAGGGTCGGCGCATCCTGTTTCTGTTCCCCGGCATTGTTCCTGCTGATTGTCTCGCCAGGAGGTGTATTTTTGCCAAGTGGCTGGTCTGCGGCGGTGCGGCTCGTTTCATCTCCTTAGTAGCCGTCCGCTTTTGGTCCCTTCTCTGCTCCCAGCCATTTGACCCCTGTCATATATAGCCTGCGTTTTGCTTAGCCCTCGGTGTGTATATCCTCATGCGGGATCTGGCCCAGCAATACCCATACTCGACCCCAGAGCCTTCGCCTGTGCATGAGACCAGGGCCAGAGAGAGACGCTCGTCCCTGGTCGACCATCGGCCGCTGAAACGAGCCAGCAGCCTCTCGTTCCGCGTCCACACCCCGTCCGACCACTCCAGCGGCGCCAGCATGAGCTCCTGCATTTCGTCCACGTCCCTGAGCTCTCTGGGCTCGCTGTCTTCCTCGGCGAGGCAGCTGATCATGTCGCGCAAGACCAGCCCGCGACACCCGGCCAGACTCAAGACCAGGCTTTTCTCTCCCTTCAACAGCACTAATACCAGTCCAGTTTCGCCCCGGTTGCTGGAGACCGTGGGCAAACTCTCGATAGACAACGACGCACACCCGATCTTCGAAATCCCAGAGATCCTCAACGTAATTCTGCACTACGTGGGCCACGACGATAGAGACAGAGTGCCAACCGAGCACGCTCCGGTCCGGAAACCGCCCATGTCGCTGAACCACGCCAAACTCATCCACGGCGACCAGGGCGAGAAGGTCTGGCAACGGACCCTTTCCACGTCCAGCACGGCCCCGCCAAGAGGCAACCTGCACAACTGTCTGCTTGTCAACAAGCTCTGGCACTCGCTGACCCTCGGGGTCCTGCAGGAGAACCTGTATTTCGACTCGGACCTCAAACTAATGAACTACTCTCCGCCGCGCGTCGCCGCGCCCAAGTCATTTGTTCTGCACAAGCTCAAGTCCACGCAGCAGCACCATCTTGCCGGCCTGCATGTCAACCCGGTCAACCTCGAGTGGCTCGAGTTCTACATCTGCCCCAGACTGCTCCCGTCCGCACACCTCTACACCGCGAAGCTGAAAAAGCTGGTGCTCCCGGGCTCCAAAGCGGTCGACGACGTGTATCTGCAGCAGATCGCGCCGCTGATGCCGAACCTGGTCCACTTGGACCTGCGCGCGTGCGAGCACATCACGGACGCCGGGCTGTACGCGATAGGAACGCACTGCCCGAAAATCGAGACGCTCAACTGCGGCCGGCACACCAAAGGCACCCTCGTGACCGACGCGTCGATCTCGCACATTGTCGCCAACTGCAACCTGAAAACGCTGGGCATCGCCGGCTGCGGCGTCTCGGACGCGGTGCTGTGGTCGCTGGCGTACCAGAAGGGCCACCAGCTCGAAAGACTCAGTCTGAACAGCTGCTGGCGGCTCACCGACGCAGGCATATCTAGCGTGTTAATGATGGACCGATTTCCACGACTCGCAGTGCTGGAGATCCGTAGACTCACGAGACTGCAGGAGCTGCGGCCGATCGTCGAGTTCAAAAAGCGCCAGATGCGGCGCAAGATCGCGGTTCTGGTGGAGGCGTGCGAGGACCTGGAAGCAAGGCTGCGCGCCGAGGAGCGCAGCCTGGACCTGGAGATCAGCACCCGCATCTTCGAGGACATCAGCGAGTGGCTGAACGGCGACGATTTGCAGGACCAAATCGAAGAGCGCAACCTGCAACAGTTTGTGCAGCGCCGCAGCGTGCTGGTGTGAATTTACCGTCTATTAAGTATATAAATAATTGCATCTTGATCTAGGCCTCGCAGAAAGCACGGTACGACGTGAAAGTGTCCTTGGACTCGGAAACAAGCTCGATCGCGGCCCTCGGAGCCACAAAGAAGACGTTTCCGGTCGATGCGTCCAGAGCCCCGTCGGAGCCTTGCAGCTTGACCTTTCCCTTACCTTCGGTGACGATCAGCAGCGAAGGGCCGTCCAGACCTTCAAACTTCTCGGATCCAGCGCTCGTGAACGTGGTCTGCAAGACACTGAACTCGTCTATCGGCGGGTCGTACAGCTTCAGCTCAGCATCACCCGTCGCCCTTGGGAACGGAGCAGGGTTGAGTTTCTGTTCCTCAACAGGGTTAAACGAGTAGGTTAGGCAGTCGACAAGAACTTCCACGTCCTTGAACTTCGGTGTGAACCCGGCACGGATCACGTTGTCCGAGGCGGCCATGCACTCCATGATGTCGCCGGAAATGTAGGCATGTGGGTCCTTGGCTTCCAGAAACATGGCCTCCCCCGATTTCAGAATGCAGTGGTTGAGCAGCAGACACCCGCAGAAAAGGCCGATATCGTTAGGGAACTGCGCGTCCAGACGCTGTATGAGGTCGGCCAGCGTCTCGCCGAAGAGCTGCGGGTCGGCCTTGGTTCTTTCCACAAGACTGGCGGCCAGAGGCTCGAACTTGGACTCTGGGCTGTTCATGACGCGGCTGAACACTTTTTGGAGCAGTCTCTTCTTCCCAGCAACGTCGGCGGAGCCGACTCCGGAGTGGAACTCCGTGGCAACGTCGTCGCCAACGAGCTCTCTGAATTCTGGGATTTTTTGTAGCAGTGCGTCAATCTCAGCAAGCGGCCGGAACCCACAGAACGCCTCGAAATCGGTGATCGCAATGGCCATTTCCGGCTTGTGATTGTCGTCTGGGTAGTGTTTCGGGTCGGACGCGTGCAGCTGTCTGGCCAGCGTCTTGTCTGGATGGGCCTGGATGGAGAGTACCTTGCGGATCGACAGCACCTTGAACAGGAAAGGAATGCCCTCTTTGGAGCCGAATTTGTCGATAATCTCCTGGCCAAGCATCTCCTCTGGCGCAGCACGCACCAGGTCTCTCAATGGAGTTCTGTCCTGAGCAGAAACGGTGGGAACAGAGGGATGAGTGCCCATCCAGAGCTCAGCGTAGGGTTTTTCCTCGTCGATGGAGACGTTTTCCGGGTCGTTGAGCTTGGCGAACCGCGCGACCGCAGACGTAGAGCCGAGTTTGCCCCAGTCGTAATTTTGGGCGCCTCCAATGACTCTGAAGAGTTTTGGAGCAGGAGACATAGTTACAGAAATTTGCGAATTAACAACACATCGACAACTTCTGTTTATTTTTCACGTGGGGCCGATCGACGCGTCGCGTCGCAACTTCGTCCCACGACATATTTTCGAGCCCCTGCAACCAGCACGCGATGCGGCTAGTTGCTGCTTCTGGTTGCTCAAAAACGTTCTACAGCATCCCCGCTAGCCATTTCCGGCGACACGAAGTCTCGCATCGCCTGCCGGCTGCCATTCCCGACAGCCAAAACGTACAGACCGACGCGGCCCAGCGCCTGGAACGCCCAACTCGGACCCTGCACTTCCAGACAATCATAGACCCGCACAAAAAAAAATCACACTATGGCATATTTATTCGCCGCATACAATACTTGCTTAGATATACATGCCAGTGTCTCGTTTTTTCTACAATAGTTTTTTTTTCTTGTTTACATACTGCTCATCCCGTGTGCCCCTTGTCCCTCGCTTCTACAACCTTAGACATGGCTAAGCAGTGTGACTTTTTGGAAGTGCCTATGACACCCAAACTTGCTCATCCACAGACTTTGCAACGGTCCCCCAACAGTATGCCCTCGTTCTCAGGACTCGGGATAAAACGGCCTAGCGATTCGGTGCTCAATTGCGCCCGCCAAGACCTTGTCACCGGCGAATCAAGCGGAGATTCCAACGGCTCCACGTCGCGATTGTCGTCGATAACCAGTGCCTCGTCCACGGAACTCACCAAAATACAGTACAAGATTCCTGTCATGCGTGCGGGCCGAGTGGCCAAGACGTTGTCCAAGCAAGAAAAATACAAACTGTACGAGGAAATGGAGGAGGACGATGATATATCGCAGGAACCCGCGATGTTCAACGTGCCGATGGCCCTGCATTCCACCGTCTCGCTCATTGAGTTCTCGAAGAAAACATCGAGCTCGCAAATATTAAAGCAGGCGTGGCATGATTCGTCCAAACTTGCGCCTTCTCCCTTGCCCGGCGCCCTGGCAAAGAAAAGCCGCACTGAGCCCACGTACCTGCCCAGTCCGGTGCTCACAAAACACCACTCTTACTCGAACCTCTCGCCGGACGCTCGCGACCTGAGCAACTTCTACGAATACTCGATACAAAACTACGTGGAACAGGAAATTAACAGAAGATCCAAATACAGCAGCAAAGTCGATGAGCTCGACGACCCGAAGCTCGTATCAGCGGAGAAGGCGAAGTCGTTGACGATAACTAGGCCATCCTGGTTACCTCCTAAAAATAAACACGAATCACTCAAACACGAAAAAGAATTTTCCAAATTGGTGGAGAAGCAGGGGCTTCACCGCAAGAGGGAAAGTTTAAAGAAAGAGCAGCGTGAACGGGACAGAATGATAGGAGACGCGCGACTCACGTATTTGTCCGGAAAGGACAGGATTTCGAGCTCGAACTTGGCCGAGATCAAGAAACTCATGTGGAGGTCTGAGGTGGACCCGATAGTCAGATACACTTTATTTGTCAAAGTTTTAGAGTACAGACATTCAAGCACGGACATTCCTAATTTGCCGTCGACGACAAGACAGCTGGATTTGGACTCGTTCATCAGCAGGCATCCTGACATATACAGAAGCCCAAAGCTGGTGTCGTCTCTGGAGCAACTGCTCAAAATCACATCTGCACAGCAGGACTGGCAGTTTAACACGTATCACGCGAACTTGGCGCTGTTGGCAAATGACTTCACGTTCTCGAGGGCCCTGGGTGTCCTGTATTATTTGAATACCCACGTCATCACCAAGGAATTTATCACGAAATTCAATGCTATTCAATCGCACTCATACATCAAGTCGGCTCTCAAGTGTTTCAAGGACGACTTGAGCCTTGTTAATTTTGATGCTTTCATCAAGATTGCCAACAACTTCAGTTTCCCAATCGTTTTCAAGATTATCTCGCTGCTTATGGTCTACGCAGACCACAAGCTACTCTACTCCTGCATCACGACGATTCTCCTCCACTACCATTTTGGATGGAACAACCTGAACCTCGTTCTTCACAACCAGGACCCCCTTATACGCATTGACGACGAGGAGCTGTTTTGGAGCAGGGTTTACTCTTACTATAAGAAAATGTAATATAATCTAAGGCTGTGCCCAGAAAATAATCTTTTTTTAAATTTTTCACTTCTACCCATGCTTAATCGGGCGCTTTTCGTCACGCGAGCGCGACGGATTCCGCTAGTTTTTGCCAGGACGGTGGTCTTTCACCGCAGGCGCAAGCCGCAGCGTCAAGATCCGAAGAAGATCGAGAATTCGCTGAGCGAGCAGATCAAAAATCTCGAGAAACTCACACAGCAGGTACAAACCGTTGTGAAGGCCAAACAGGACGTTGACGCTCAGCAAAAGGCAATGGAGGACCTTCACATAAATGACAGCATAGACGGTTCGGTAGACGAGGAGGCAGAGGCGCTTTTCGAGGCGCTCTTGTCGTCCAACTCCGCTGAAAACCCGCTTCTTCTGGAGGAAGGGCCCCGCACAGAGACCATGTCGATCTTCCCCCCTGCGGAGCCCCACACTGCGCTTCCCGCATCCATCCGCGAGAAACTCGATCCAGAAACCGTTAAGCATATTACTGTGGCCGCAGGGGCCAACTGGGTGCCCGTGGTGGACCGTTTGCACCAGACAACGGGGCTGGCAGGTAGCAGGCCTATCGACGTTGTACAGTTTGTGACGAAGATCCCGCGGCCGCAGCGGCCGCTTGTTGTGGCCAAAATACACGACATGGCGATGTCTGCCGGACTTCTAGAGAACGTCCACATCTACAACACCATAATGAGCTGCTACAATATGGCCTCTGCAGAGCAGGCCCGGCCGATCGTCGAGAAGCTGTATTCTGAGCTGCAGGCCAAAAACATCGCGCCGAACCTCGTCACGTACAGCGTGATGGTGAACCTGTACAGCAAGCTCACCGACGTGGACAACGTCCGCAAGTTTATGCAGCAGATCTCCGACGCGGGTCTGACGGCTACCAAAGAGGTGTACACGGCTGTTCTGCAGATGTACGTGCGGCTGAACAAGTACGAGCACGTTCTGGAGACGTTCAACACGATGAAGTTCCTCTCGATCGAGACGGCGCCGTCGCCGCGCACGTACTCGTCGGTGATACTGATGGACGTGCTAAATAACAACGTCGAGCATGCGCTGGCATTGTACGAAGAAATGGCGGCCAAGAAGCTGCCGCTGGAGCCCGCAACATACCTGGCGCTGGTGAAGGGGTGCTCCACCCGGCAAGACCTGACGGAAAAAGGGTGGCAGTTCATTATCGAGTACTACTCCAGAGGCTTTCCTATGGACGCCCGCGTGATAGAGATGATGATGGCTCTGGCGGCCAAGGACTCTGACCTGAGCCTGGCCAGAGCGCTGTTTGTGGGGCTGTTTGGCACACTGACCAAGGCCGAGGGCCGCCTGGCGCCGCCTTCGCCGGTCGCGCTGAAATACCTGTTCAACGCGTACGCTTTCTACGACCCGCAACGGGTGCCTGTGAGCCGTCTGAACCCGCGAGTGCAGGACATTGCCGCGCGCACGTTCGAGCTGTGCGACTTCCTTTTCCACGCGGACGCGCCGCCGTTTCTGCCGACGCTGCAGGTCGACGAGAAACAGGCTCTGAGCGAGGCCCGTGCGCTGTTCCAGTACTTTCTGGCCAAGTTTCCGCAGCAGATTTCCGTGGAGGTGCTGGATGCGTACCTGTTTGTGTTTGCGTGGAAGGGCGAGTCGATGGCGGAGTTTGAGCAGCTGTGGAGCAGACACACGTTCTTCAGGGGAGAGGGCGTGACGGTGGAGGAGCCGGAGGAGCCTGCGCAGGAGCGGCCGGACGGCGGCGAGCGCGCCGTTGCTACCGCAGCGGCGACCCCCACCCTCAAATACCCACGCAACGACAAACTGTACAACATATGTCTGCACGCCGCACGGGTGCACAAGGACGTGCGGTTTGCACAGAGAATATGGACCGAGCGCGGCAAGTACAGAAAGACGCCCGAGTTCCAGCGTCTGAGTCCGCGCAAGCAGGACGAGCAGGACTTCAAGTTCGCCAGAGGCATTGTGGCGGTGTTCGCGCAGACCAACAACGTCGTCGACGCATACCAGGTGGTGCTGAGCTCGCAGCGGCGCTTCGCGTGGACATACTATCACCTGAAGGCGCTGATGCTCCTGGCGGAGAAGCTCGGCTACACCAGCATCCACAGAACCCTCTCAGAGGTGGCTCGTCTGGCCGAAAAGCGGCAACGTAAAATGTTTGTAAATAGTTAGGGAGGAATAGTTAAATAAGGTGTACAGCTCGCGTCTACGGCGTCGGCTCCGTCTGGTAGAGGGTGTCCAGGAAACAGCCAATCAGCTGGTCGGCCACCGAGCCGGTCCGGAGACTGTTGGCCACGCCGTACAGCTGCGCCGTGTCGGAGTGGATGTCGTTTGTCTCGAGCGCTAGCTGCTTGACGGCGGCCTTGAGGTCGACCAGCAGGGTGTCGATGGCGGGCACGGTGAGCTTTGTGACGGCCAGGTGCAGCGCGGGCGGGTTCTGCAGCGCGGTCAGATGCCACCCCTTTTTGCCGAGCATGTCGCCGAGCTTGTGGACGTTGAGCGTGTCGGAGCGGAATGCCACCACCGAGAGCTGCGGTTTGCCGATGACCTGGAGCTCTGGGATGTCGTCCTCGATCGTCTGTTTGAGTCTGCACGCCGTCAGTATGATGTCCTGGCACGCCTTGGTGTAGCCGTCGTCGCCCATGTACACCATCGTGGCCCAGGCGCCCACGGTGAGCGCGCCGGGCCGCGAGCCTGCCAGCGTGGGGGAACCGTAAAGCCCCCCCACCCACTCCGTGGAGACAAAGTACTGGTACTTCCTGTACTCGTTGGAGCGGTACATGATGATGGACGAGCCTTTCGGCGCAAAGCCGTACTTGTGCGTGTCGCAGCTGATCGACGTGACGCCCGGGAGTCGAAAGTCGAACGGGTCGAGCGCCTTCTCGAACGCCTTCTCGTAGTACGCAATCACGAACGAGCCCAGACAGCAGTCCACGTGCAGCGGGATGCCGTACCGGACGGCCAGCTGGGACAGCCCCGCAATGTTGTCGATCACGCCGTGCGGGAAGTTCGGCGCCGAGCCGATCAGCAAACACGTGTTTCTGTTGATCAGGCGCCGCACCTGCGCCAGGTCGCCCGTGTAGTTCTCGTCCAGCTCCACGAGGTGCAGCTTCATGTTGAAGTACTGCGCCGCCTTGAGCACGGCCGCGTGGACCGTCTTGGGCGCGATGATCTCGAACTCCTTCAGGCCCCGCTCTGCGCGCGCCTTTTCTCTCGCCGCGAGACACGCCAGCAGCAGCGACTCCGTGCCTCCGGAAGTGGTGGTGCCGCAGCCCGACTCCGGCGCGTTGAACAGCCGCAGCACCATCGACACCACCTCGGCCTCCATCTGGCGGACCCCCGGAAACGCGTCTGGGTGCAGCTGGTTGGCCACGGCAAACTTGTGGTACGCCTCCGACTGCAGGTCGATCAGCTCCTCGCCGCCGTGGTACACCGCGCCAGACAGCTTGCCGTCCTTCCAGTTGGCGGCCTTGAGCCGGCTCAGCTCGTCCAGCTTCTCGAGCACCTCTTTTTCCGTCAGACCGTACTCGGGCACCTCCTTGTAGGAGGTGGAGGCCGTGACCAGCAGCGAGTTCTCCAGCTGTTTTTTTACCTCGCGCACCTCCGACTCCACCTTTCTGCGCGCGAGGGGCAGCTTCAGCACCGCGCCGTAAAACCGCTTGGCCCACTTCCGGTACAGCATCCTGGTTCCGCGCACCGCGCCGTACGCATACGCCATGCGCAACAGTCCAGCGGCCCAGCCCGTCAGGTACCACAGGATCACGAAATCGCGCGCCAGCTCCAGCAGCGAGTGGCGCTCGTAGTACAGAACGGCGCACGTGGCCAGAGACTCGTATTTCTCCCGCGCCGCCGTCCGGTAGGTGTCCAGATCAAATGCCATTGCAAATAAAAGGCAGCTAAAAAATTTGCAGATCTTCCGACTGTGCCGGAGGAAACACCGCTGGAGGCGGTTTGGGGGAGCCCGCGGTTTCCGGCGCCTGCTGGCGTTTGTTGATGTTTCCGCACGCCATTGCCATTGAGCGCTCAGCCGGTCCATTGTGTGCCTGGGCCTGTCTGACAGGTGCCGTCTCTGCTGATACGCACGCCGGCGGCCTGGTCTATCGGCGCGTCGATACTTGTGCTATCAATTTTACACAACAATCTCTCCCTTCTCCCTTTCATGAAACGGTCTCTGGAGCAGCTGCTGGGCCCCTCGGACGAGAAAAAGTCCTCGCTCCATCTGTACAGGGCAGCGTGCGTGCGCTGCCGCAAGAAGAAAATGAAGTGCTCCAGCGACCTGCCCAAGTGCGCCGGCTGCACCAAAGCCAACGTCGAGTGCGTGTCCATCGACCCGGTGACCGGCCGCGAGGTGCCGCGCTCGTACGTGGTGAGTCTCGAGTCCCGCGTGGAGGAGCTAGAGAGCCGGCTGCGCAGTCTGGAGGGCACGACGCCCGCAGAGACGTCCGACTCGGCCTACTCCAACAGATCCAACTCCTTCATCGACAGCGTCCAGAACTCGACGGCCGCGTCGGGCTCGAAGGCGCCGCCCTCGTTCATGGGCGCGTCGTCGGGCATCCCGTTCTCCAAGCTCATGGTGACGGCCCTGAACCTCCGCGGGCCTGACAGCGCGAGCCACAAGGTGCACACCTCGAACCAGTCCATCATGGACCCTTCCGTGCTGAAAAAGACAGCTGCCAGGTCGAGCATTGCGCTCTTGCCGCCGAAACAGCAGGCGCTCAGCCTGCTGTCTGTGTACTTTGCGCAGTCGAACGCCCAGCTGCCAATCTTCCACAGAGAGGAGTTTCTGGCCCGCTATTTCCAGCCCATCTACGGCGACGTCCCGCTCGACGTCTCGTTCGCCTCGACCTACACCTCCATCAACCCGCAGTTCTTCAAGTCGCACAGAGAAGAAGACACCTGGTACCACCAGTACACGCAGATCCTCGACCAGGAGGTGGAAAAAAACAAAAACGCCGACCTCGTCCAGGTCGCCAACTCGATCGACGTGCCCGCGCAGTTCCACGTCCCGCTGTTTTTCATGAACATGGTGTTTGCCATCTCGTCGTCCGTCACGCTGCTCAAGTACCCGGACCATATTTCCGATAACTTCAAGAACGCGGCCATGCTCTACATCGACTCCGTCTACGGCTCCCACGACCGGCTCGAGGCGCTCCAGGGCATTCTGTGTTTTGCGCTGTACTCGCTGATGAGGCCGGCCGTCCCTGGTGTCTGGTATATTCTGGGGTCGGCGCTGCGTGTCTGTGTCGACCTCGGCCTCCATTTCGAAGGTGACTACAAGTTCGACGCCTTCACGCTCGACTTGCGTCGCAGACTCTTCTGGTGCTGCTACTCGCTCGACAGACAGGTGTGTTTCTATCTCGGCCGGCCGTTCGGCATCCCCGAAGAGAGCTGCTCCGTGCCGTTCCCGAGCGAGCTCGACGACGCGTTCATCACGAGAAACGCCGCCGTGGCCGACTTCTCCGCGAAATCGTCCACAATGCCGACCTACAAGCTCGTCTCGCTGTCGATGTTCCGCATCCGACGGCTGCAGTCCGAGGTGCAGAGCATTCTGTACGACAAGCGGGAGCTGCCCCGTCGGTTTGCCAGCCTGGACGACTGGCACGCGGACATCACCCGCAGGCTCGAACAGTGGAAGGCCGACACGCCCAAGAGCCCGCGCAGGATGAACTGCGACTTCATCCACGAGTTCTTCATCCTCAACTACAGCCACACCAAGGTGATTCTCAACGGCCTGTCGCCGCGCAGCTTTTCGCTCACGCTCGAAAACTACATGAACGTGCTCGAGGCCTCCAAGGACATCATTTATTCGTACCATGAGCTTTACCAGAGCCAGGTGATCAACTACACGTGGGCAGCGACGCACAACCTGTTTATGGCCGGGTCGTCTTTTCTGTACGCCATATTCAACTGCGAAGAGGCCAAGCAGCGCATCTCGGTGGAAGAGCTGCAGACGGCAGCCATGTACTGCAGCATCGTGCTGTCGGGGCTTTCTGGCAAGTGCGAGGCCGCAGTGCAATGCAGGGACATCTTCGATCTGCTCACGGCGGCCGTCATCCGCATCAGATATGCCAACTTCGTCGACCCGGTAGCCGTCAATCTGCCATCGACCGAGCAGATCAAACAGTTCCAGCCGGGCAACCACGTCAACGAGCACCTCAGGGATTTGGTCTCCAGTCTGCCGGCCACAATGCGCAGCATGGAAGGCAGTCCGGGTTTTGCAGCTGCGCCGTCGAAACCGTACGAGCCAGCCACCAACGAGTCGGAGCTGACGACATTCTTCGAGGAACTGAACAAGCTGGAGTCCATGCCGTCCAGCAGATCGCCCAGCGACATCCATTCGCCGGCTAAGGCGGCGCGCCTGGGCCTCTCGGGCGAGTCGCCGCTCCAGCTGAAGTCTCCGTCAGATATGGCGTACGACCAGAATGTCGACCGCAAACTGTCCAAGGAGGGCCAGAAAATTTACAAAATGATATTCCAAGTGCCGACAGAGAGCATCTGGGAGCAGTTTTTCGCCAACCCGGGCGCTGATCAGTGAACGTCGTCCATCTGCATTAGAAGGTCCATGCGATTGTTAACGATGCTGCCGTCTTTGACTTCGTAGATATCGAGCGCCAAAATCGGCGACCGCAGCCCGCTGAACGCGACTTCAACGTTCACGACTGCTCCGGGCTCCAACGCCGGGTTGTTCAGGGGCATCCGCGAGACAATCTTGCTCATATCCACCTGTAGCTCCGGAATGTACGTTTCGTTCCCGTCGGCAGGAACGAGATTGCCTATGCACAGGAACCCGGTCTCCTCGTCGTAGCCAAGCGTCTGGCCAAGAAGACGCAAGTACGCCGGCCTGGAATCTTCCAGAAGAACGAGCCGCAGCTTGCTCATATCCACAAGCAGTTTACCCATAAGCACATAACTGAAATATTTTATTTTTCGTACAACCTGTATTTCTCTGAGCACCGCCTTGATTGTGATTAGAATTTGACCTTGGTTTTGCGTTTGTTCTTGAGTAGGATCTTTTGCGCCTGTTCTTCCGCCTCGCTCTCTTCGCTCTCCACCTCCATGTCCTCGTCCTCGTCCTCGTCCATCTCGGCCTCCTCCTGTTCTCTCTGTGCCTTGGCGGCCTCCTTCTCTGCCTTGATTCTGAGCTCCACTTCTCTCATTCTCAGCAGCTCCTGGTTCTCCTCCACAAGCTTTCTGTCTGCGGCAAGCTGTCTCTCCTTGTTTCCTCTCATTCTGTTCTTGTAGAACGCCCTCTCTCTCTTCTGTCTGATCTCCTCGATTCTGGACATGGCCTTCAGCGTCGTGGCAACAAGGTCTCTGTTATACCGCACTGGAACATTGCGTCTGCTTGCAAAAGTGAGTGTGGAGTCGACAGCAAGCTCTTTTCCGGCAGCTTTTCTGAAAGCCTTGGTCCATCTGAGTTTTCTTGGGTTTCTCTTCTGTTTGAACGCCTTGTGGCACTTCGAGCGACAGAAACGGAATTCCTTGGCATCGTTCCGCACAAACATGATTCCGTGGCCGGGATACACCGGAGATGAACAGAAATGACAGGAGTAGATTCTCATGGTTGTGATGAAATAAAAAATGTTAAAAAAAATTTGATTTTTCCTGTACGAGCAGGTGATGCAGATCATGTGCTGATGTGCCTTTTTCATTTTTTTCTCTCGAAAAAATCCTGAAGCCCATGTCCAACATACAAAACATCAGTATACCGTCGCTCCCGGTTCCGGGCGAGGAGTCCGACAACCACGATATTCCGTCCCAGATCAGCCATCAGCCCTCAAAACCGTCCGTTTCAACGACCGAACAGTACTTTAATGCAGCCTCCGAATACATGTCCGAGCACCCTGTGATAACTGGTATCGGTGCGTTTGCCGCCGCCTACGTTGCCGCGGGAATGTACAAGAAGTTCAGCTCTTCGGGAGCGTCCAAATTCTACAAAGGAGGCTTTGATCCAAAGATGAACGCCAAGGAGGCCTTAAGGATACTGGATCTCAAGGAAAGCACACTGACGAAGGCCAAACTGAAAGAAAACCACAGAAGAATTATGCTATTGAACCACCCGGACAAGGGAGGGTCGCCATTTCTGGCTACGAAGATCAACGAGGCAAAGGACTTCCTTGAGAAGAGAGGCATCAACAAATAAGCTGTTGTAGATAGGTGAATAAATATGACACTATTGTCGGAAACAGTGCGAGGGGCTGGAAGTGCTAGCTCCATTTCCACCACTTTTTCTGCTCGGGCGCTTCCTGGCGCTTCTCCAGCTCGGCCTGCGCCGCATCCAGCGCCCGCATCAGGGTCTCTTCTCTAGTCTGTCTCACTTTCTCTGCCTGCACCACGTGCTTGACTCCAAACCGGTCTTTGACGAACTCGTTGCCGTCCTGTGCGTGCGCGAGCTCGTTTTCCTGATTTTTCTCGTAAACGATCGACGGCAGCGGTTTCTGGGGAATGGTTCTGGCCCGATCGTAGTTGTACAGGTCCCGGTAATCTTGATCGCTCAGTTCGCCCAGAATCCACTCCTTTGCGCGGAGCTGCATACGTCTGAATGGTGCCAGAACATTGTCGTAGTCGTTCCATCTGAAGAAGAACACGCCCAGCACGGTGAACCCCACCATCAGCGAGATCCCCGTCATCCTGGCCCCTCTTTCGAATTTGCTTGTGTAGTTCACGCGGCGGAGAACTTTGTACCTTCCGGGATACAGTTCGGAGGCCGGCCGCGGAAAGTACTGCAGTTTTTTCATGTCAATCCTCAATTTCGAAAAGTCCCCCAAATCTTGAGCCAAAGTGCCTGAGTTCTCCTTTAGCTTGCCAGGCGTGCTGAACTCACTGGGGTATCCCTTGGCCGGACGCAAGTCAGACGGGTCGTACGGGTTGTACGGCGCCTTGGGCGGGACCCAGCCGGGCGGATTGGGCCTTCTTTCGAAATCGTCCATGGTGCCTCAAATAAATAAATTCCCAAATTGTTATTTTCCTTTATTTATGATCTCTTACATCTACAAGTTTCTTTCGCTGGAAACTTTGGACGCGCGGCTTTGTGCGCCGGCCAATCCTAAAAAGAGGGCCGAAATCATCAAAAGAGCAGGTCCCTCGCGGTGGAAAAGCCTGGAGTTCAGGCTCTACGCCGTCGCGTTCATGGTGGTTGTCCCATTGATGGTCAAGACCGCCATGGAGGCTAGCAACGAGACAAACCCCAATTACTACCGCTACGAGCGCATTCTGAGCGACGGATGGCTGTTTGGCCGAAAAGTCGACAACAGCGACAGCCAGTACCGGTTTTTCAGAGACAACGTGCCAATGATCGCGGCGCTGATGGTGTTCCATCTGGTGCTGAAGAGGGTCTTTCTGAGTCTGGGCACCGAAAAGGTGGTATTTGACGCTGTTTTTGGGCTTTTGTTCCTGTTCGGCGCCCACGGCTTCAACTGTCTCCGGATTCTGTTCCATACCATGGTCATGTACGCGTTTGGCCGCGTTCCCAGCAAAAAGCTCAGCATGGCTCTTCTGTGGACCTACGGCCTGGCCACGCTGTTCCTCAACGACAGATACCGAGCCGTCAAGTTTGGCGAGCTTTCGCCCGCACTGGCGTTCATGGACTCTTTCAAGGGCCTGGTTGCCAGATGGGACGTGTTTTTCAACTTCACACTGCTCAGACTCCTCAGTTTCAATCTGGACTATCTCTGGAGACAGCCGAAAAAAGACAAGGAAAGCAAGGACGCCGGCGAACTGGATGAGAGACAGAGACAGAACTACCCGCTTGAGGACAAGGACTACTCGCTGCTGCACTACTTTGCCTATGTTTTCTACACTCCGCTGTTCATCGCAGGCCCCATTCTCACCTTCAACGACTACATCTACCAGACGCGCCACCCGCTGAGCTCGATCAGCTGGAAACGGACTGCCACGTACGGCCTGCTGCTGGTGTGCTGTATCATGCTCATGGAGTTCATTCTGCATTACATATATGTGGTTGCTGTGTCGAAAGCAAAGGCCTGGGACGGCGACACTCCGTTCCAGATCTCGATGATCGGGCTGTTCAACCTGAATATTATATGGCTCAAGCTTCTGATTCCGTGGCGGGTGTTCAGATTCTGGGCTCTTTGTGACGGCATCGACCCGCCAGAGAACATGATCCGCTGCGTCGACAACAACTACTCCACGATGCAGTTCTGGCGGGCATGGCACCGCTCGTACAACAAGTGGGTCGTGCGGTATGTGTACGTGCCTCTGGGCGGCGCGAAGAGCCGGATCGTGGCGTCGTTTGCGGTGTTCACGTTTGTGGCCATCTGGCACGACATCGAGCTGCGGCTGCTGATCTGGGGGTGGCTGATTGTGCTGTTTTTGCTGCCGGAAATGCTGGCCACGCAGCTGGCCAAGCCTTACGAGAACAAGTGGTGGTTCAGACACCTGTGCGGCGTGGGGGCCATCATCAACATCTGGATGATGATGCTGGCCAACCTGTTTGGCTTCTGTCTCGGCAAGGACGGTCTGGTGCTGCTGCTGAAAGACATGTTCACCACCGTGGACGGCTGGGTGTTTTTCGTGCTGAGCAGCGTGTGTCTGTGGATTGCTGTGCAGGTGATGTTTGAGTGGCGCGAGGAGGAGAAACGCCGCGGCGTCGACGTCAAGTGCTAGCTCAGTTGTACATCCGTTTGTATTCTCTCGGGCTAACAAAGCTTTTCTTGTTCTTGTCCTTCCAGAGGCCCCGTTTCTCGCGCTTGGCGTACTTTTCCCACGCCAGATAGAGCGCCTCCTTGCCGTCGAACTCGACGCCCTGCTTCGCCTCGTAGACCGTGCCGATCCCGTTTTTGATCATCTCCTCGCTCACGTCGCGGAACCCGTTCCATTTCAGCACCAACACCTTTGCAACCACCCGGTTGTATTGGTCCAGGCTCAGCGGCTTCACGTACAGTTTTCGCCCCAGAATGTAGCTCCGCAGCCACTGCAACGCCTCCTCGCTGTACGGCTGCGCAGGCTTGCCGAAATGCGATCTTTCTGGAGCGTCTACGCCGCAAAGACGAACATGGATGGTCCTATTTTTCAGCGTGCGGAACGTGTTTATCTCTGGAATCTTCCGCAGCCACCCCCAGCCGCCCAGACGCCCTCCCGGCAGGTGGAACATGTGGAAGTTGTCGCCGTCGCCGACCGACGTGACCTTGCCAAACAGGTACCTTTTTCGAAACATGTACGACGGGATGTCGGTGGCGACGTTGATCCGGCGCAGGTGGCGCGAGTAGAGCGTGTACCCGGTGATGAGGGCCGACGCGGTGCCAAAACCGTACAGCAGCACGAGCGGGTGCGTCGGAGAGACGTCAGACATAAGCTGGATCAAGTATTATTTTTTTATTTACCAGACGATCGTCCGCCAAGATGAAAAAATCTGGAGTCGCTTTGTTTCTAGCAAACCATGTTTAAGCGTTTCACTCGGTTCTACGCCACTTACCATCATTTCGGCAACAGGACCACGCGAACGGGAAGGACGTTTCAGCTGACGCCGACGGGCCGGCGCAACCTGACCATCGCCGGCGCAGGAATCGCTGTGCTCGTTGCCACCCATATAGAACAGGCCCCCGTGACCCACCGGTCGCGGCTGATGATTGCGCCGGCGTGGATGGAACTGTGGTCTGCAAACTCCAGCTACAAGGCCCTCATCAACCAGTACCACGGGGCCATCCTGCCCGCCAGCCACCCGGCGACGCTCAGAGTCAAGGCCATCATGGCCCGGCTGATAAAGGCTGCAGAGAACTACATCGACCCCGACACGGGCGAGCGCGCGAATCTGTTTGCAGACCTCAAGACAGAGACGATTCCCGCGATCGAGTGGAAGATCCACGTGATCGACGACGTCAACAGGGTTGCCGGCAAGCCGACGCCGAACGCCTTTGTCATTGGCGACGGCAAGGTGTTTGTGTTCCGGTCGATCATGCAGATGACGCCGACGGACGACGAGCTGGCGACGGTTCTGGCGCACGAGCTGGGCCATCTGCTTGCGCACCACATCCGAGAGCGGCTCTCGGCGGCCCCGCTGTACACGGCCGTCGCCGTGCTGATGAACACTATTTTTGGGCCCTCGTCGTTCAACTCTGTGCTGTTGAACATATTATTTGAGAGCCCGAACTCGCGCGCAATGGAAACCGAGGCCGACTACATCGGCCTGATGCTGATGTCGCTGGCGTGCTACAACCCGCACGAGTCGCCGCGGTTCTGGAACCGCATGGTGCACTACGAGCGACGCAGCGGCCAGATTGTCCCGGAGCTGCTGAGCACGCACCCGAAGAGCGAGCGCAGAATGCAGAACATCGCCGAGTGGATGCCCCGTGCAGACAAGCTGTACGAGCTCGCCGGCTGCGCAAGCATGCTGTCGTACAGAGACATGTTCGGTAAATGGTAGTGGTGCGTCGATCGGCGCGCGTCCACCTCGTGCCAAAAAATTTACCTCTGGTACATAATCTGTAAATACGATGGATCTAGGCACCCTGGTCGACCGCCCGTCTGTCGTGGCGTCGGTGCCCGCGTTGGCGGCGCCGCTCCTGTTTCCCGTTCAGCAGACGCCTATCCAGAAGGAGCTGACCGAACTGCTAATCAAACTGCATCGGCCGTACCTGCAGAAGCTCTTCGCGGGACAGGAGAAGGACGAGCCGGATTCCGACGCTCTGAGCAGCTCGGCCATGCTTGAGCTGTTCCTGGCAAACCTCAGACAGGTTGCCAACCACTCGAGTCTGCTTGTGGACCATTTCATGTCCAGAAACATGGTGCTGATGAACCCCAAACACAACCTCAAGCGGTCCTCTGCGAAATACGTGTGTATCGACGACTTTCTGAGCCGGCTTGCCGCGCAGAAACAGCCGCGCACGGTGATTGTCACGGCCGCAAGCTCGCGCGAGCTGGACCTGATCGAGGGAATCCTAATTGGCAAGCGGGACCTCCAGTACTACAGGTTCAGTGGCTCCTCGCTCTACTACGACAACCACGGCTCGTTCGACTTCAGCAAGCAGGAGCTGAGCAATCCAGCCATGCCTCCGCCGCAAGCAGCGGCCGCCAACGGCAGGAACAAAGGCACAGACGACTACACGCCGCGGATCTCCAAGAACAGTCCGCTGCACCGTAAAATCGAGCAGCAGAAAAACCGGGTCGTGAGCGTGTACCTGATACTATCGAACCAGTTGCAGAGCCTGGCACGGTTTGAGGAGCTGCGCAGTGACCTGGTGATCTCGCTGGACGCGCAATTGGACCAGAGCCTCGCAATCCCGGTCATCAAGCCGATACATCTGAACGGCATCGAATACTTCGATCTGGTGCTTGACAGCGCGTTTTCCGGACACGAGCGAGATAAACAGCTCGCCAAGCTGGTGCTGGTGAACAGGAACGCTGGCACGGAAAGTCCGCAGTTGCAAGACGTCGTCAGCTGGCTCGACGGCCAGGGCAGGTACCCGTACACGGAGAGCAGAGAAATAGAGATGGTGAGCGACAAGGACGCTTTGGAAGCGCTGACGAACCTGGACCTTCGGTCGCCGTACGTGCTGGACCGCTACGAGTTCTTCAACCCGTCGCTGGCTCCACCGGACGATCTCAAGAAGATCAGGCTCGAGGATTTTCCGCTGGCAGGCCTGACATACCACGAGTACCAGCTGAGACTTGGCCGATTGATCTACGACCGCTACCAGGAACTGCATTACACGGTTGGCACGCAGCGCAGACATCTCGCCAATATCCACGAGGACGACTCCCAGCGCCAGGCGCAGCTGGAGGCCGTTGTGGAGGCCACGGGAGACCGGTTCAGAAAACTGCAGACGGCCAAGACCGCGGCGGAAAGTCTGGCCAAGCAGGTTGAAAAATGCGAAAAGGACCTGCGCACCGTTGAGGAGACGGACCGGGGGCTCAAGGAGCGCATGGAAGAGTACGCCGTGCGCGTACGGGACGGAGCTACAGAACCGGTGCTGCTTGAGCAGCAGAATACCATCGCTGCCTTACAAGACGAGCTAAAGCGACTGGAAGAAGAGTACCAGAAAGAAGTGGCGGAAAACGAGGTTGTCCGTGCCGAGTACCAGCAGAAGTCGTCTGCTGCTGCGGAAATGTCGTCGGTTCTGATGGAGACGAAAAAGAGGCTCGAAGGGGCGCAGACAGAGAGCTCGGGCGACTTCCGCAAGCTGCAGCAGACCAAGCTGGACAGAGAAACAGAGATATACAAAAAAGGCACGCAGTCGCTGGCCAGTCAAAACAGGTTTCTGGAAAATTATATCAAAATTCTCGATAACGTCGCCAAGGAAAAAGCAACCGTCGGCCGCATCCGCGCAAGCCGCAGCACAACACCATACCAATAGCACCAATAGCCCGACACGCCTGTGTCACATAGACATCACAAACTGGATGCCGTTGATGTGCTGGCAGTACATGCCCTTGATAGCAGCCAGCTGCCGATCCTCGTCAATGGGGATCTCCAAGTACTTGCCTCCCAGACACTTGCCCATGGACTTGGTTTGCCCGCCCAGTTTCGTCTCGAACTTGATCTTGTCCAGGTACTGCCCGAATTTCAGGTATATCTTGGTGATCTTGTCTCCCCTTTCTAGCTCCACACGGTAGGTATCCTTAACAGGCTTCCAGAACCCGAACATGTACGAGTCGCCGGAATAGGTGACGAACTTGATGCTCTCCACGTGTCGGTTGCAATTCACTTCAATGTAGCGGATACGACGCGGAACAGAAGTCTGAATCAGGGTCCCAAACTCCCTGCTGCCCACAAACTTTGACAGCTTCAGATACGGTGGCGGAGAAACGTTCATCGAGTCCGAGTACGGGACCAGCCTGTTCTTGCGCTTCTGGGCGCGCGTCTCCTCAATTTTCTTGGTGGTTTTGTCGACTAAAACGATGCCCACCGCAATGAGTCCCAACATATTTGCGTAGCAAGAAAAAGGTGATTTCCAGATAAGAAATAATGATCTACTGGTGCACAGCCATGTTTATTTTATTTTCCTCACTCCATGCCGTTGAAAAACGACCGTATTTCTTCCTCCGTGACGACCTTGTTCTGCTCCGCAAACGGCCGCAGAAACTCTGTCAGCTTGCTCTTCACCTTTTCGTACGCATGCACGCTCGAAATCGCGCTCTCCACGGGCAGCTTGCTGAGGTTGCGCAGCCCCAGCTCAAATATCGACGAGTCGTCGTCCTCGTCCTCTGGCGGCTTGTAAACCGAGTCCTCGAGGTACAGGTATGTGTGCACCTTGAGAAGCGCAATCAGGGGCTTGGTCTCGGGTTTGTTTTCTGTGATTATTTTCTGCAATTGCTCCTTGAAGTCGTCTTTCAGAAAAATCGTGAATGATGACTCTGTCTTGGCTCTTTTGGCCTGTTCAGGGTCAACTTGCGTCTTTCTGGTGATCGTCTCGTATCCTAGCTCTTTCACAAGAGTGTCCATCTCCTTTCTGTATTTCTCGACGCACTTCCAGCAGATAATGGTGTCAAAGTCGTCCAGATCAGGGAACCCCGGCAGGGGCAGAATCTCCGGCAATTCTCTGTGTTTTTGGTCTTCCTGCGCATCCAATCCCGGCTCAGATAACGCTTCCAGCTTGTTCTCGCCGTCCTCCTTGATCTGTCGCCGATTGATGTCCCCGGGACGCATTCCCATGATGCACTCCTCGTGGAACCAGTCTTCTCCGCACGCGTCCCCAAAAGCGCACTGGAACATGTTGCTGTCGTCTGTAGGGTCGTATCTTTTGCGACAAGCGCAGAACGTTCCCTCGTAATTGTGGTTGTACACGTTGGTGCTCGACGGAATGTCCACAGACAGCTGGTCCTTGTTGATGGTGGTCTTCTTGCCGATGGCGGTTCTTAGAGAGCAGACGCCGTGCTTCTCTGTCCGTTTGGTCCCGCAGTCACAAGTGAACGACCTTTTCGCAAATAGCTCCACCAGATCGTGCGACGTGTGGCATTGGATGGAGCACGCGTAGCATACGCCTACAGGATGGCCGTTCTGCCGCGAGCACGTCAAACAGGCATATATCTGCTGTCTTATTGGCCCCAGTGAGTAGGTGCACACTTTGGGATCGTACGGCATCAGCTCGCGGGCCTCTTTTTCTAGCTGGAGCTGGTTTTTGAGATACTCCTCTGCAGTGATAGAATCCATAAATAAAGTTAAATTAAGCAAAAAAATAATAAAATAAAACATTTATCTACTTGTCATGACGATGCTGGTTTATTTCCTCTTCTTTTTGCTGGTGAAGGGTGATTTCTTCCAGAGCTTCTTTGGCCATCAGCGTGCGCCAGAGCAGTTTGACTACCAGAGTAAGCAGCTGAACACAGACTGCTCGCAGTATCTGTGTCCCGAGACTTTTGCCTGCGTGGCAAGCCCTGTTGACTGTCCGTGTCCGTTCCCAGACTCGCAGGAGAAGTGCGTACTCGACAAGAAAAACTACGTGTGCATAGCCAAGATGGACAAGAAGGAGCTACGGGACTTCAAGGGAGAAGTCAGAGACTGCAAATGGGTCCAGAAACATTGGAGACAATGAATTGGTAAATACATGCATCACTCCCTCTCGCGTCCAGCAGACCAGCGCTTGAAGGACACCTCGTCAAGCAAGAAATCGTTGAGAAGCGCAAAAACAGATCGCTTGTCTGTGAGACCCTTGACACGCTGGTCAAAGTTTGGCGGAGGCCTCACATACACCAGGACCAGCTTCTTCTTCACCGATCCCACCACGCGGCTCATCGAGCACGTCTCGAGCCAAGAGCTTGGAGTGGCGATCTTCACAGCATACTGCGAATGCTGGAACACAGGACCGCGTTCGTACAAAATATAATCGCACGAAAATTTTAGTCCCGATTTCACCACCCACCCCAGCGTGCGGTAGTAGTAGTACACCAGGAACCGCGAGCAAAACTCTCTGGACGCCAGCGACCGAAAGAGAGAAACAAAGTCTGTTTTTGTGCGCACACAGTCGAGCAGCTGCAGAAACAACACCTCCTCAGGCATCAACTGCACGTACTCTAGCTGCTGGATGTCGGAGCCTGCAACTAGCTCCTTGTCTTCTGGACGGACCACCTGGACCTTCTCGGGCTGCTCTAAAGTCAGCTCGTGCCTTTTTTTTTCCACTTCCTCCAAGCCAGCCCTGTCGTTTTTCCGCTTATAAAAATTTTCCAGCTCGTCGAGCTGCTTGCGTTTTTGTTTGAATTGGGAGCGTGCTTTACGGCGTTGCGCGACCATCTCCTCGTCCGTGTACGAGCTGCCCTGGCCTAGAATCCTGCGCCGAGTTCTCTCCAGCCAGGTCGGCTCGCTCCGAGAAAGAATGCCCTTTCCAAAAAACCCATGGTTCCACAGAAACATCATATCTGGCCCGAAAACACGGAAATTCTGGTCGATCTCAGGCTTGTAGGTCCAGAACTGCCAGGCCATGGCCACTGCTGCAAGAGCCCAACTCAATGGGCTGAGAGCAGTCACCCCTACGGGAAGAGGGTCTCTGTACCGTTGCGAGTTTCTCACTCTCTTCATGACATTTCTAGTGGTTAGTACTCAGATACCGTTGTAGTCTTTGAGAAATCGTGCTCTCACGAATCAAGCAACAAAGATTATCATCAGGGTACTTACCAGAAGGTTGGAATAATAAATAGCTTAGTTTTTTTTTTTCTCAAAAACTTAAAAATGAAAGTCAAGAAACTTTGGTAGACAACATCCATCGACAAATGAGGAATGTGTCGGGCAGTTTGCAAAACAACAATGGATCATATGGAGCAACGGTTGACAAGCATTGTAGCAGCTTGGCGTATTGGCTATTCCCTGTATATGGCTACTCCCTACCCGATTAGTATATTGCTGACTTAGCTCAGTTGGGAGAGCGTCAGACTGAAGTTCTGAAGGTCCTGAGTTCGATCCTCAGAGTTAGCAATTCTTTTTTGAGTAAAAAGCGATGAAATCTTTTTTTTCTTATCATGACCGTAGACAGCGAGCTGGACTTTAATCGGTTGCGGCGTCTATTCAGACAACAGCTGGACACAGGAACCATCTTGGAGACCAAGGACGTCGATCACAAGGCCCTGATGCAGCTGATGGCCCGCTACAAGTCAGATCGGAAGGACTGGGCCAAGTATGCTTTTGAGGACAAAAGCATTGCATATACCCGCAACGGCGTGGAAAATTTCGGTCCGAACGGCAACCTGCTGCTGCTTGTGTGGAATCCCGGCCGCGGGTCGGCAATACATGACCACGCAGGCGCACACTGTGTGATGAAGATTCTGAGTGGCGAACTCACGGAGGAGCTTTTTGACGGCGAGTCTTTGGAGCCCATAAAAACAAGCACGCACCGCGCGGACGACGTGACCCACATAGAAGACACTATCGGGCTCCATAGAATCACCAACAGAACGGAGGAGGTGGCGATCAGTTTGCATCTGTACACTCCTCCGTATGCCGAGGTGTACGGGTGTAATGTTTTCGAGAACGGCAGGAGACAGCATGTGGAGATGGACCTGTACAGCAGCGACGGCGTGGTGCTGGGGGGTCGGGGTGTTGCCAAGAAGGGGTGATGTTGATGCTCGTATATTGCTCGTATATTACATAGTGTACATAAACCGTTCGACTAGCTGCTGACTCCTCTGACCCAGTAGTCTGCTTTGCTTCCGTCTGCACCAAAGATCCTTTTTTCCAGTCTGTTGATTTTGATGCTCAGGGTGTACTGCTGTCTTTGCAGGTCCTCTCTCTTTTCCTCCAGCTTGCCCTTGGCGTACTCCAGTTTGTCGAGCTCGACGCTTCTCTCCATTTTGGGCATGATGGTCTCGAGAAACGCGATTTCCTTGCCGATCTTGAACACCTTGACGGCCAGCTGGTCCTTGGCCTTGGCGAGCTCGTCCAGCTGGTGCTCCTCCGGCGTTGGCACTCTTTTGCTGGCGGTGAAGTGCGACGAGATCCGCAAGGGGTAGGCGGTCGAGTCTCTGTTTTTCGGGACAACCAGGATACTGTCCGAGGAGACCTCGGTTTCGTTGGTTGTTTCGCTAGTCATCGAGTCCATAGTTTCGTCGGCAGCGCGGTCGGCGAGGTCGGCAACCGAGCCGTTGAACTTATCGTACTCGAGCTCTAGTTCGGAAAACATGTTTATTATTTATTTATTTTTTTTCGCGTTACACTGTGGTACTTAATGTCACGGTAGCAACGGTGACAGTCACCGTCTGCGTAGTTGTCGGAGAGAAACTGTCGTACGCGTCTTCGTTCTCGTAGTACACGTAGCAAGTACCGTCAGCCGTCTCCGTGGCGTACGGCGTAAAGGAGGTGAACGAGGCGGACGGCATCGACGTAACCGACGGGGTGCCGGTGCTGGACGAGACGGAAACCGTTGAGCTGGCAACGCTGGTCGGGCTGGAACTCGACGGGGTCGTGGAGCTGGACGCTCCCGAGCCGCCGGTTTGCTCCACGTTGGCAGACAGAACAAGATCGGCTGTGGTTGCAGAACCGTCGTCGTCAGAGTCCGCACTGGAAGCAGTGCTGGAAGCAGGGGCGGCGGAAGAGGTGGAGCTAACGGTGCTGGTATCACCGGTCTCGACGGCTGAAATTGGGACCTCGTACGAGGTTTTCAGCGTCGTCATCACCACGCTGGTCTGCGCAGGCTGGTCCGTGCTGGTGTACACCTTTTCCAGCATGGTGACAGCCTTTCCGTCAATAGTGGTGGTAATGGTAGCTTCCAGAGTCCCCGGCTCGCGCTTGAGGAATACCGGGAGTCCCATCGTTGCCACAAGCAACAAGTACAAAGCAGGGGTGTTCAACAGCATAAGGAGTGACTGCAGTTAGTTTAATTTGAGCGAACTGTGTCCGAGGGTTGCAACCGGCCGTATTTATAGTTTGGGTGGCTAGCGCGGGCTTGCCGTCTTGGGCAGAGCTAGCGCGAGTAGGGAAATGAGCTATTCCGAATGGAGAACGCAACAATGAATCTTAGTGTCGTAGCAGGATGGCTAGCACCATTTTTGCCCGATATGGGAGTGGTGCAAGGGTGTAGCAGGAGAGCTAAAAATTTAGCCTTGGCTGTGCCCTGATTAAAAAAATTAGATTCGGTGTTACCCGGCGTCAGCTCCCGCTAGTTTTAGCTCCTATCTCCGCTATCAATCTTGAGGCTGTGCATGGCTGTGTCGGGCTCGTTCGGCTGCCCAAACAAAAATCCCGATCGGAGTCGCAATATCGGCAACACTTGCACCAACTGCAGAGGGAGAGGATTTTGTTGGACGCCCAGAACCTTTGGTGCGGAGCTAGGCATGCACCCCACGTTCATTTGTCTCATCACACGCCGTGCTGTGTGTCCTAAACCACCCTCGGCGCATAGTGTGTGATCGTCGGAACCCGCCTGGCTGCGTGTTTCGGGCGCAAAAATCTATCAAAATGAGGGACAAGTGGGGCGGTTTCACATCCGATCTTTCCACAGTTCGGCACAGCAAAAAAAAAAAAAAATCGTACCGAAAATACCTCTGCGCTCCCTTTCACATCGGGATCAAACCACCAGCTGATCATGGCGAGCCAATAATGCCCCCACGGCCGGGGTACAAAGGAGAGTGTGCACTTATTAATTTGCAAACAGCAGAATGACACTCCGCAGCCTTTGTTTGTTAATTCGAGCTCGTATGCCAAAAACGCCCCTGCTCCCTTTCGATCGTCGCTCCTTAGCGTGTTCGCTGCAGAGCAACCTGAAATTTTTTCTTGTATCAGATCGGGTATGGCTTGCGAAGTGTCACAACCACCGAAGCCCCCGTTTCTGACATGTGCGTCTGCACCCCTTTTAAATTAATCGGGATCCGAAATTTACAGACCACAAAGAGCTCTTATAGTGATGGGTCTTCTCCCCAATTCAAAAATGTTCGCCACTATTGCTGTCTGTTGGGGAAAATATAATAGAGAGTCCGGATATGAGAGACTAAAAAGAAACAAAAGAGGAGATTGTCTGCTTTGCCTGCAGCTGACATGCACCTTAATGATCTTATTCATTTTTATAACGCTACATTTGCCAATTAATCGTACGCTGCAGCCGGTTGCCACTAATTTAAATACTCCCTTTTCCCCCTTCACCTCATCCAAAGAACCTGTCGCTATCAAGGTTATAATCCGCCGACACTTGTGTTTCTCATATGCCATATTTGGGCCCTAGATCCTTTGACACAGCCCCTCTAACCACTAATAACCTTGCTTACCTGAATGACAAGCTCGCTGAGTCCCACCGGTCGTCGAGTGTCTCCAGAAGTTCCAGCATAAGCACCTCACCGGAAGAGACGCTTTCCATCTCTACCCCTCTTTCCACGCTATCTAGCACAAGTTCTGTCACAGACATAATACCGTCTTCTGCGGGTCACGAAGGCGAGTTGGACAATGACGATAATCAGACAGTTGTATTTCAGCATGAAGACGCCTCAAGCTCTTCCATCTCAACCATAACAGAACTGAAGCCTAGTTTACTGCGGAAAAAGTCCGGAGAGCTGGTGAAGTCCTCGCTCAAGCTGCCATCGCTCAAAAGGTCAAGCTCGATGCCCAACGCCAAATCCGTGAGGTTTGCCAACCGACTGGAGGACATTAAATTTTTTGATAAGCTTGAGAAGCCGACGGCGGTGTTTGCGGACACGTCTCCTGTGGGCTCTCCGGCGTTATCTCCGTCTTTGCACCCTTCGTGGGATTTCTCTTCCGATGAGGAAGACCTTGACAACACCACGGATTACTTCAGCGAGTACTGGGAAATTCTGCACAACGATGTTCCGCATACTTCGAATGTCGTGAACTTCAGCAAGTTCAACTCCGATAAGCCGATCATTTTGGAGAGCTTAAAACTAAACTCCACAAAGGACTCCTTGATAGGGTTTGTTTATGTTCGCAATTTGGGATACGAAAAAAGAATCCTTGTCAAGCTAACCTTTGATGATTGGAACAGCTTCATTGAGATCGATAACGCCAACTACATCTCCTCCAACCATATTTTCCGCTACATGGAGGACGGCGTCTCGTACGATAAATTCTCATTTATCATCAAGCTTCGCAACCTGGGAAACTACAAGTCACAAATGAACCTCAAATTCTGTATTAAGTACCAGGTCAACCAGGCGGAATACTGGGACAATAATGACATGAAGAACTATACTGTTACACTAAAGAAGAACACCAAGAGAGGTACTCAACGGCGCAAGTCTTTCGATACCGACTTGGACGATATCAAGTTCAGATTGAAAACAAACATGAATTTCAACGAGTCGTTCTCGTTGCCTTTCGCCAGTCAGAACCAGCGCAACTTTGAGCCAAGAAACTCCAAGCATTATTTATTACGCAAGATCAACTCTGAATCTTCCATTCCAACACTAAATTCCATCACGCCAACATCCGCTTCGTTACCTCCTTCTACACTGAAGTCGAACTACTCGCCTTCCTCTGCATACACTGCACCTAAGGGCTTGGCAGCTTCTTTCGATCCTGTTTACCATAAGATCATCGAAAACTATTGTTTCTTTGGCTCTTCTTCGCATCAAATCAAAGGACATGACCAAGTTCCGGACTACGCAGACTCGTTTTGCTTAAGTTGATTCAGATCCCTTGTTTTATGGCTTGTCGCTCGCTATACTAGCCAATTATCACGTGTTTGGGGAACTATTGGCTGTTTGCTCATCTTTGCTACTGAGTTGTAAGATATAACAATGCGCAGTACATAGGTCAATAATCAAAGGTATTCGACATTTACATCATTATAGCTCCTTTATATTTTACCCGGCCTCTCAATTTTAAATAATATACTTAGAGAGTCCTTCTTTTGTCTTCAAATATTTAATGGCAGACAAACTAGTCAGTCTCTTTTCGCAAATTGGGTTCCAAGAATCCAAAGCGCGGGAGATCTTGAAGAATCAGAAAGTCTCTTCTTCATTGGCTCATTTGATCCAGCTTGCGGGCGATAATGTTTCCTGGGACAAGACGAAAAGTACTCTTCTTCATCATCTGGCTACATTGTTGAAAGGCGAGGATCTTCAGCATGAGAAGGACGTTGTGGATGCCATTGTTGATGGCCGCTTAGTTTCGACTTTGCAGGTCACGGAGGCATACAAATATCTCAAAGCTGCTGGCGACAATTTTGACACAAAAGAGATGGAAAAGAGCTCTGGTGTTGGTGTTAAGGTCACTGAGGAGGACGTTGAAAACGCGATCAGGAAGTATATTGAGTCTATCAAGACCGAATTTCTGGAAAAAAGATATAAAATGGTTCCTAATGTCCTTGGCAGTGTGAGAGGCCTTCCTGAGCTCAAATGGGCTTCGCCTGCTCTGTTCAAGCCTACTGTCGACCGGCTAGCACTGGAATATCTTGGTCCTAAAGATGAGAGAGATGTGGTGAAGAAGGAGAAGAAGAAGAAGGAGCCAGCCAAGGGGGCCAAGACAGACACTAAGACGGAGCACGAAAGAAACATGTTCACGGAGGGATTCTTGGGAGATCTCCACAAGCCTGGTGAGAACCCGCAGAAATGGCCGGAACTCATGGAGGAACACCTGAAGGTGACCAAGGGTAAGGTGTTCACCAGGTTTCCTCCAGAACCAAACGGCTTTCTGCACATTGGACACTCAAAAGCCATTATGGTGAACTTTGGCTACGCCAAATACCACGGGGGAGTTTGCTATCTGCGTTATGACGATACCAACCCTGAGGCCGAGGAGCAGGTTTACTTCGATTCCATTTTGCGCTGTGTCAAATGGCTTGGATATGAGCCTTGGAAGATCACCTATTCGTCAGACTATTTCGACCGACTTTACGAGCTCGCCGAGAAACTGATCACAACAGGATATGCCTATGTGGATCACTCGACACCAGAAGAGATCAAAGCTCAGAGAGGTGTGAGGCCAGATGGTACTCCTGGTGGAGAAAGGTTCCCATCTCCATGGAGAGACAGGCCAATTGAGGAATCCTTAGCCGAGTTTAGAAAAATGAGAGACGGCTATTACGAGCCAGGAAAGGCTATTCTGAGAATGAAGCAGGACATTTACTCTCCGTCTCCACAGATGTGGGATTTAATTGCCTACAGAGTGTTGAATGCCAGGCACGAGAGAACAGGAGACAAGTGGAAAATCTATCCGACCTACGACTTCACTCACTGTTTGGTCGATTCGTTCGAAAATATCAGTCACTCGTTGTGTACAACCGAGTTCTACTTGAGCAGAGAAAGTTACGAATGGCTCTGCGACGTGCTACATGTCTACAGACCTGCCCAAAGAGAATACGGCCGTTTGAACTTGACAGGAACCATCATGTCCAAAAGAAAGATTGCCAAGCTTGTGAACGAAGGCTACGTGCGCGGATGGGACGATCCTAGACTGTACACTTTGGAGTCCCTCAGAAGAAGAGGTGTTCCTCCGGGGGCCATTTTGAGTTTCATTAACACCTTGGGTGTCACCACAGCAACCACAAATATCCAGGCAACGAGATTCGAGAGTGCCGTGAGAAACTATCTGGACCACACAACTCCAAGACTAATGATGATCGAACATCCGCTGAAGGTGGTTATAGACAACTTGGACGACGACTACGAGGAGCTGGTGGAAATTCCATACAAACCTGGCTCACCTGAGTTCGGATCCAGAAAAGTGCCATTCACCAAGATTGTCTACATCGACAAGTCGGATTACAGAGACACCGTCACCAAGGATTACTTCAGACTGGCTCCGGACCAGCCTGTTGGTCTGATGAGGGTTCCGTTTAATATTTGCGTCAAGAACGTAGAGAGGGATGAGTCCGGTGCTCCCACATTGATTCACGCCGAGTACCTGAACGATCCTGCCCAGCACAAGAAACCAAAGACGTACATTCATTGGGTGCCGGAGTCCAAGAAGCACAAGTCTCCTGTTAGAATCGATGAGGTCAGAATTCACAACAGGTTGTTCAACTCTGAGAATCCGTCTGCCCACCCTGACGGCTATTTGGCCGACATCAATCCAAACTCGGAGGAGATTCTGAAGGATGCTATTATCGAGCCAAGCTTCCACGAGATAGAGGCCAAATCTCCGTTGAACATGCCTTTCACCAACCCTGAATTTAGTATCAGGGAAGAGCCAGGCAAGGAGACAGTCAGGTTCCAGGCTCTCAGAGTCGGCTACTTCTGTCTTGACAAAGATGCAGGTGACAAGATAATTTTCAACAGAATTGTCACCCTGAAGGAAGATTCTGCGAAAGATTAAGTAATCAACAAATTTTTTTTATTAAGAACTAATTTTTTTGAAATATTTTCTAATAATCGATCTTGTACATGTCTGTCTCTGTTGCGCAAGACTACGTCGATGAGGGCGTCAGTTTTGAGTCCTTTGACTTAGACGCGCGTCTAATTCAGGCCATAAACAAGCTTGGGTTTGAGCACCCGACGCTGATCCAAACACAGACGATTAAACTGTCTCTGGAAGAACGCAAGGATATCATAGCCAGGGCATCTACAGGCTCCGGGAAAACGGCAGCATATTGCATCCCGATTGTGCAGTCTATTTTGGCATCAGGAAGCGACTCAGAGGGTGTGAAGGCGCTTGTTTTGGTCCCGACGAAAGAATTGAGCAAGCAGGTGGCCGAATTCCTGGGCCAATTGACCGTGTTCTGCGGCAGATCTGCTCGTGTGCTGAATCTGAATGACAACGTGAGTGACCAGGTGCAGCTACAGCTGCTCAACGAGGGCAGAGAAATATATGTGAGCACTCCTGCGAGACTAGTATCAGTTTTGGAGAAAAATAAGAGCATACAGCTGACGAATCTGCGGTTTTTGGTGATAGACGAGGTTGATCTGATGGTCAGCTATGGGTACAAGGACGATTTGGACAAACTGGGGGAATATTTAAGCACAAAGACCAACACACAGACTTTTCTTATGAGCGCCACGCTGAACGAGGAGGTGACGGAGCTGAAATCAAAGTTCTGCAACAAACCGGCTGTGCTGAAGCTTGAGGACGTCGACAGCGACAAGAAGAAGCTTGTACAGTACTACATCAAAACCAGCGAGCTCGACAAGTTCCTGCTGATCTACGTGATTCTGAAGCTGGGCCTAATCAAAGGAAAAATCCTGCTGTTTGTGAACGAGCTGGACCGGGGATACAAGCTCAAGCTTTTTCTGCAGAACTTTGGCATCAAATCGTGTCTTCTCAACTCTGAACTTCCAGTCAACTCGCGCCTGCACATTGTGGAGGAGTTCAACAAAAACGTCTACAATCTATTAATTGCCACGGACGAGTCCAACCAGGAGGGCCAGTCGAACGACTTTGGAGTCTCGCGTGGTGTCGATTTCAAGAATGTGGCGTGTGTGCTGAACTTCGACCTCCCTGTCTCGTCCAAGACGTATGTGCATCGTGTTGGACGGACTGCCAGAGGCGGCAAAAGCGGCATGGCCCTATCGTTTGTGGTGGCAGCCAAGGAATGGGGAAAACACAAGGCCTCGAGTCTGGCCAGTGCAAAGAAGGACGAGAAGGTGCTGGCCAGAATCGAGCGGTCGCAGAGCAAGCTGGGGTACGAGCTCAAGCCGTACCAATTTAATATGAAGCAGGTGGAGGCGTTCCGGTACCGGATGGAGGACTCGTTCCGGTCTGTGACCCGTGCTGCGGTGCGAGACGCCCGACTCCGGGAAATCAAGCAGGAGCTGATGGCGTCCGAGAAGCTGAAGCGCCATTTTGAGGAGAACCCGCAGGACCTGGCCACTCTGCGCCACGACAAAGACCTGGCCAGCGTGCGTGCGGACGCGCATCTGAAAAGAGTGCCGACGTACCTGCTACCAGAGGGGGCCAGGCCAGAGGAGAAGAAGCTTGGGTTTGTGCCTTTCAACAAGGTGAGGAAGGGCCGTGGCAGGAAGAGAGGCAAGAAGGTGGACGTGTTGAAGGGGGTCGGAAAGAGAAGAAAAACGTAGCTCGCCAATACGCATACTAGATGTCAATAAAAAAATCAGAAAAAATGGAATATTTTTAAGCTCGTCGCTATTTTTTTCGTGTCTTGTTTTCATCATGGCAAAGAAACCCGTCAAGTTGGCTCCGTCTCCGGCGGATTCCACTACAGAACTTCCTTTGCAGCCCGGACCTGTCCGCAGATACCTATCGACGACGCTGGGACCGCAGACAATGGCGAATCGCCGTGTTTCCTCGGGCAAGGAGACGGGGCTCGTCGTGCTGTTGGCCCTGTTCAGTGCCGTGATCCGGCTGCGCAGCCTCGACTTCCCCGACTCGGTGGTGTTTGACGAGGTGCATTTTGGCGGATTTGCGAGAAAATACATCCTGGGCCGCTTTTTCATGGACGTCCATCCTCCTCTGGCCAAGCTGTTATTTGCGGCCGTGGGTGCCCTTGGAGGATTTAATGGCAAGTTCGAATTTGCCGAAATCGGCGACAAGTTCCCCGACGACGTGCCGTACGTGCTCATGAGGCAGCTGAGCGCCTTCATGGGCGTCGGCACCGTGGTCCTCATGTACTTGACTCTCAGAACGACCGGCTGCAAACCGCTCGTGGCCTTCCTGACGTCGTCGTTGCTGGTGCTCGAGAGCGCCAATGCCACCATCTCGCGGTTTGTTTTGCTCGACTCGCCGCTGCTCTTCTTCATTGCCACCGCCGCCTACGCCTGCTCCAAGCTCAATATCGAGACCCCGTTCACCGCCAACTGGTGGAAATCTTTGGTGCTGACCGGCGTCGGTCTGGGCCTCGCCTCGTCCTCCAAATGGGTCGGATTCTTTACCGTTGCGTGGGTGGGCGTTTGCTGTGCCATCAGGCTCTGGTTCACCGTCGGAGACCTTAGACTCTCGGCCAAAGCCATCGCTTCTCAGACCGCCGTCAAGTTGGTGGTCCTGCTTGGCCTCCCAGCCGTCATCTACCTTGCATCGTTTGCGATCCATCTCTCGTTGCTGCCCTACGAGGGCGACGGCGCGGCGTTCCTGTCGTCTGCGTTCAGAACCTCGTTCAAAGACACCACCGTTCCTAAAACCACCCTCGCAGACGTCGGCATCGGCTCTGTCGTCACCCTGAGACACGTGAACACCAACGGCGGGTACCTGCACTCACACGCCCATCTGTACGAGGGCGGCTCTGGCCAGCAACAGATCACGCTGTATCCACACCTGGACGACAACAACAAGTGGCTTGTCGAGCTGTACAATGCCACCGAGGAGCCGACCGTTTTCGAGCCGCTCACCGACGGAACCAAGATCAGACTGAAGCACGTTCTGACACACAGAAGACTGCACTCGCACGATATCCGTCCGTCTGTCTCTGAGGTCGACTGGCAGAACGAGGCCTCCTGCTACGGATACGAGGGCTTTGAAGGCGACCCGAACGACGACTTTGTCGTCGAGATCGTGAAAGACAAGTCTGTTCCGGGAAAGGCCCAGGAGACCGTCAAGGCTATCGACACCATTTTCAGACTCAGACATGCCATGACCGGCTGCTACCTGTTCTCGCACGAGACGAAGCTGCCAAAATGGGGCTTCGAGCAGCAGGAGGTCACGTGCGCTGGCCAGGGCATCAAGCCGCTCTCGTTCTGGTACATTGAGCAGAACGAGAACCAGTTCCTGGACCCAGCGACCGCCGAGAAGGTTTCCTACAAGGAGCTGTCTTTCCTGCAGAAGATGGCAGAGCTGCACAGCAGAATGTGGAAGATCAACCGCGGACTCAAGGCGCCCCACGCGTTCGAGTCGAGACCGGAGTCGTGGCCGTTTTTACAGCGCGGCATCTCGTACTGGAAGCAGGGCGACAGACAGGTGTACTTGCTTGGAAACCCTATTGTGTGGTGGCTGTCGTCGTTTTTGTTTGTCCCGTTCGGCTTCTTCGTCGTCTACCACGTGCTGAGATGGCAGCTGGGCTACCCGCTTCCGGAAAGCTCTGTTCTCTTCAACTACTCTCTCAACACATTGCAATTTCTTCTTGGCTGGTTCATTCACTACTACCCTTCGTTCCTGATGGACAGACAGCTGTTCTTGCACCACTATCTGCCTGCTCTATACTTTGGCATTCTGACGTTAGGCCAGTCGTTTGAGGTGATCTACTCGGCCGTTCTAAAACAGAGAAAATCCGTGGCCATCGTGCTGTTCCTGGCTGTCTTTGCCGGCGCCGCCCATATGTTCGTGAAGAGATCACCGATCATCTACGGCTCCGCGTGGACCCAGTCGGCCTGCGAGGCCGCCAAGATGCTCAACTGGGACTTCGACTGCAAAATCTACCCTGCCGAGCTGCCGCAGACCGGCGGCCTGAAAGACGAGCTCTAGGTGTATAAAAAATAAAAGACGTCAAAGGTAAGCTCATTAGACACAAATGCATTTAGCGAGAGCGCGACTCGTCAATGAGCGTCCGCAGCTGGCGGATGTCGGCCGGCCCCGTGCGACAGCACCCGCCCACAATGCCCACGCGCTTGTACTGCAGACACTGTCTCACGGCGTCGACAAAGTGGCCCTGCTCGCCCGACCACGTCTTCGTTGTGCCGTCGTACACCTCGCCGGAGTTCGGGTACAGCACGATCCGCGCGTTTCGCAGGTTCTGCGAGTCCGAGAGCCGACGGTCGAGCTCTTCCACCACTGGCAGAGCCACCCTTACACCGCAGCAGTTGACGCCAACGGCAGCGAGGTTGCGATCGTAGTGGCTGTCGAGCCAGCTGACGACCTGCGCGAGCGGCGTGCCATCGACGAGGGCCGTCTCGCGCACGCTGAGACTTAGGTACCACAGCTTTTCCTGCGTGCCGGCCAGCTCTGCCAGAACCCTGATTTCCTGGAACGACGGGATGGTTTCAAACGCCAGAACGTCCACGTCGGGGCATTGGGCGAGAAAACGGAACCGGCCTTCGTGGAACGCGCGCAGCTGCGCGTCGGTCACCGAGCCGTAGTTCCCCGTGTACTCTGACCCGTCAGCTAGATACGCTCCGTACGGCCCTATAGAGCCGGCGATCTTCACGCCGGCGCCGTTCCCATATTCGCGGCGTGCCTGCGCACAGAGGCCCACCGCCCGCGTGTACATCGTGTGTGGGTCCTGGTGGTTTTGCTCGATGTTGGCGTCGCAGAGCTGGTATGTTGCCGTCAACACGATGTTGGCGCCGCTCCGCATGTAGTCAAGATGGATCTCCCTGATGGTGTCTGGCGAGTCTAGCACGGCGCGGCCGGACCACAGGCCGCCTGAGACGTCGACGCCGCGTTTCTCGAGTTCAGTTCCTAGCGCCCCGTCCAGAAGCAGCATGGAACAATTTAAATTAAAAACGTAAGATAAATAAAAATAATTACAGCATGATTACATAAAAATAAACGAAATAAATTAAAATCATTTTCCATCTCATGTACACAGGCACCCTTGACTCGCTGCCACACGAAAATGACCCTGCTGTCAGCGTGGACGAGCTGTGGCGACGCACGTACGGGCTGGCACAGGAGTACGTGGTCGAGAACGAGCCAGCCGCCGTGCTAGAGCGCATACACACAGCCCGGTCAGGGTTGCAGAAGACTGCGCTGCTGGCCGCAATGCTGGACAACGGCGTGCTGTCTGAGCAGGACGAGGCGTGGAGGCCGTGGCGGAGGCAGGTTGTCGCGGCGATCGCCCAGCTGCTGGGCGAATTGGATCTGCAGCTCGTCTTTGGCAACAGGCCCGTTCTGACAGCCTTCTACTCTTTGCTTGAAGGATATACCAAAACGGCACAAGACCCCGGCACCCTTCTCGTGGAGCTTGTGCGCCGCGTGGGAGACACGGCGTCTTTGAATGCAACATTTCATTATTTACATCATATTACACTCGAGCACCTGTACTCCCGCCAGAGCTACCGCGAAATTGCAAGTCTCGAGCCGCTATTTGCACGACACACGGCGATCGACCCTCTCAAACTTCGCAGAGACGACGTGTTCGACGCGTACCATGCGCTTGCCATATCGCTCATGAACACGGGCCGGTACCCGGAAGCACACAGACAGTTCCTGATCCTGTTCAAGCTGCCGGTGTGCAGGACGCAGCCGGCCATCCAGAGCCTCGTCGCAAAGTACACGATCAACCTGGTGCTAGTCGGGCTCAAGAAGGACGCCAACCTGCTGAAATACGGCGGCTTTGTGAGCCCCGCGTGCTGCCAGCTGATCCAGAGCTACCAGACCTGCCAGCCGACAAGTTTTTCCCAGACGGTGGATAAGCTGGCTAAGGAGACGCCCGAGCTGGTGCCACAGGTGTTCGGCGACCTTGAGACGCAGATGCGCACGCGTATCTTGCAATTGAGCCTCGAGCCGTACAGCACGGTCGACCTGGCCACCGTGAGGAAGATAGACCAGCGGGAAGACGTGGCTCCGCTTCTGCAACGGCTCGGATACGCCGTGGACGCCGACACGGTCCAGGTGCCTAGCACGGGCCGCCATCAGCCGCTCGACACGGCAGCGCTGGTTGCGGCCATCAAGTCGCTCGACAGGGTCACCGCCAAGGCAAAACAGAGCGCACAGCTGAAGGAGGCACAGGAGCTGCGCAAGCAGCGCAGCCTGGCTGTCTAGTCGAGCTCGCCGTACGTGCCACGGCGTTTCGTGGTGTCGTATTTGCGGATGATGTTCTCCTGGCCCTCGTCCTGCGAAAACGCAAACCCGCGCTGCTTGCGCATGCGGTGCACCTGTCTGACCTTGCGGATGGTCTTCTGGAACGAGGAGAACCGCGGCTTGTGGTCCTGGATCTGGTACTTCTGGATTTTCTGCACCTTGTGATAGAACTCCGGGTTCCACGTGCGCTTGTAGTACTTCCACAGCAGGTCCCGGAGCAGACACAGCACGGGCACAATTAGGATAGTCATCCAATAAACGAGCGAGCCGAATATTTTCGGGACAACGCCCCAGTACTCCTTGGAGACGCCGACGTGGGGCGCGACGCTGGCGTAGACGGGCAGGACCACAAACAGGAGCGCGAGCGAGCCCGGAATGGCCACCAGCGTGAACTTGGTCCACTGAGACGAGATCAGAGCGGCCTTGCCAAGCGCAGTCACCAGACAGGCGGAGTAGATGGCAATGCCGAACCCCCAGTGGTCCACGGTGGTGCCGTCGGCGAGCTGGTTGCCGTATTTGAAAATGTTGATGAGCGCGATGTAGATGATGGCACTGTGGTAGAAGCCGTTGACGGCCCACGACCAGAAAATTTCCACGTTGAAGAAATGGCCCGCCTGGCCGATTTTGTACAGTTGCGGGTACTGGTTCAGCATGTTGGCCGTGATGTACTGGTCGAAGATGCCGATCACGAGCGGCGGAAGCACAAGGAACACCACGTTGTACAGCGTCAGCGTCCACGACTCCACCATCGACTGGCCGCTGAACCCGTTGCTGAAGACGTACCAGAACTGGGTCATGTAGAACACGATGTTCTTGTAGAACGAGTACAGGATTGCCAGCGACAGCCGCTGGTACGACCACGAGCCGTGCACGAGCAGCAGCTTCTTGAGGTACTTGAACTGGCCGATCGCGAAGTCTGCGCTGCGCGCGGCCTGCATGCCTTCCATGCCGCTAATGCCGACGCCGACGTGCGCGGCCTGGATCATCGACACGTCGTTGGCGCCGTCGCCGACCGCCAAAAGCAGCGCACGCTTCTTGCGCTTCACGAGCCGCACCACGAGCGCCTTTTGCAACGGCGACACGCGGCAGCAGATCACCGCCTTGCACAGAACAGCAACCTCGAGGAGCAGGTCCTCGAGATCGGCCTCCAGAGCATAGCCCAGCGACTTGCCGTCGATCACGAGCGCCAGCGTGTTGATGTCGTCCTGCGACAGCTGGTTGCTGCGCAGGATCTCCACTTTGTCCAGCAGATTCTGCCTCGTGTCCCGTTTGCTCTCCTCGTTCACAATCAGCAGGTTCATGTCCTCGCTCAGCAATTTGCAGCTCATGCCAATGTTGATCGCCGTCTCCTGACGGTCGCCCGTCAACACCCACACCTTGATGCCGGCCTCCTGGAGAACCTGGATCGTCTCGGGAACGCCGTCCTGGAGCTTGTCCTCGATAGCGGTAGCACCCAGCAGAAACAAGTCCTTTTCTATCAACTCCGCAGCCCTGTCCAGCTTCTCCGACCGGTTCTCCAGGCTCGTCGACGCCTTGTTGTAGATCTGGCTCCATTCCTGGTACTCCTGTTCCGGGACCACCCGCGTGGCGATACAAAGCGTCCGCAGACCTTCCACGGCGAATTCCTCCAGGTGCTTTGTCGTAGCCTCGACAAACTCGTTGTTTTCCGCCAGCCGCGCAAAAATCACCGTGTCGGCGCCCTTCACATAGAGTCTGATATTGCCGTCCGGACACCTGAAGATGGCGCTCATTCTCTTTCTCGAAGAGTTGAACTCGCAGATGTTGAGCAGCTCGTACGTGAGCTCCTGGCCGTCGACCTCGATGCTGATGCTCGACGGCTTGCGCACGGTGAACTTGTAGCCCAGCATCGCCGCGCCTTCGACCAAGGCTCCCTCGTCGGGCGACGCGGCTTGGTACTTGATGCTATCGCCTTTGATTTCTGGAATCACCGTGTGGCACGCAGCCAGCAGAGTGAGGAACTCGTCGATGACCTTTTTGTTTCTGTGCTGCTTGCGGTCGATCTGCAGCTGCTCGAACGTGTGGTAGCCGACTTCGATGCCGCCCTGGACGCTCGCCTGGCCGTCCTCCGGGATCTCGCCAATGTAGCAGCGGCCGCCGATGGAGCACGTCTTGAACTCCATGATGTTTCTGGTCAACGTGCCTGTCTTGTCGCTGAAAATGTACTCGATTTGGCCGAGCTCCTCGACGAGCGACGACGTCCGCACCACGGTCGGCGAGTCCGTCGGCTCGTAGTACATGTCCAGGTCTGAGGCTATGAGGTACGCCTGGTAGTACTTGATGATTTCGACCGTGACAAACAGCGAGATCGGCACGAGATTCGAGAAGAGCACCCAGTAGGTCAGAATGTCGGCGAAAAACAGCTTCACCTTGCTCGTCCCTTCGAGATAGAGGTAGCCCAGATGGTTCTTCATGAAGGCGATGTTGAGAATGTCGCCGAGCGACGAAACCACCGACAGCACGAGCAGAATGCCAAACAGCGCAATCACCTGCAAATTGATGATCCGCTCGACGTCGGTCTTTTTGATCGGCGCCGCCGTCGCGTTGCGCATCAGCTTTGTCTCGTGGCCCGTGAAAACCACAATGCCCTGGATCCAGACCGTGTTCCGCAGACTGGCGCCGCGCAGAAGCAGCTGGTCCGGACTCAGCGGGATCTCGCGTCCGTTCAGGTACAGCGTACCCTCGTACGTGTACAGACTGCTGTTGGGCCGCTCGCTGAGGATCTTGCCCTGGCATTGGACCAGCTGCTGCGGCGACATCAGCCCTGCGGTCTCCTCGCGAGACTGCTTGATTTTGAGGTTCGTTTCGCCGTCCAGGTTCGCCGTCTCGATGTAGCACAGCCCTTCCGGCTCGGACGAGCTCAGCAAGATCAGGTCCGCCGGAAACGGCTCCTCGCTGTTCACCTTGACGATGTCTCCGACTCGGACGTTGATCCACTTTTTCATCACGTACTGGCCGCTTTTGATGTCCAGAACCTCTATTTTGGACCGGTTCAGCTCGTTGTCAGACGCCGTCCGCTTTATATCCTCGGTGATCTCCTTCACGGCGGAAACTAGCAGCACCACCATCAGCGTGCCGATCGTGGTGTACCTGTTGGTCGGAGACACCGACGGGACCTGCTGGATCACCGACGTGAACAGGAAAAACAGGTTCGCGTACTTGGAGAACTGCTCGAACAGGAACTTGGGCACAAACGTGACAAAGTTGTACTTGGTGGTGCTGATGTGGTTGTCGTAGTAACCGAATCGCGCGTTAGTCTGCGGGTCGTTGATGTAGATCGTCCGCGGGCTCGTGTCGTCGGCGTTGGTGCGCCTGCGGAAGTACCTGCGGATGTCGAACATGTTGGCCGTGTCGGCGGGTGTTTCCGGTGCCGGCGTGCTGCGCGACGGCTCGTGTGAGTCGTCGACGTTCTCGTACGCGGTCCTGCCCATTTTGTTTCGTATCTGGCCGACCACAGAGCGCAGGCCGCCGCTGGAGTTTGGCGGGCCGAAGCTGTCGCTCTCGTAGTCGCTCAGAACGTCCGAGTCGAACGGGTTGTCGTGCAAGGGCCCGGCCGCGTCGTAGTCGTTCGCCACGCTGGCAAACGCGGCGGCAGAGCTGGCGGGCTGTGGCGCAGGGTCGCTGAACGGGTCGTCCACGCTGTCCAGGTCGACAAGGTCGACAAGGTCGTTGCTGGCGCGGTAACTGGCCGCGCCGGACGTAAAGGGGTCCCCGTGTGACATGGGAAAATATCTAATAATTAAAAACAATACGAGTTTTTAAAATAACGGCCGTGCCAGTTCTACTAAATCTCTTCTCATGTATTACTCTACCTATGCCTCAAGACTCAGACGGCCCTTAGGATTGGTCACCTTCACGCCGATGGCCTTGGCACGGGCCAGGATCTCGACTCTGTTCTTAGCAGACACGTTGTGGGCAATTTCAGCAGCGTAGGTCTTGGTGTGCATGATCAGACACTCCAGGTCCTTGACGTTCTTCACCAAAAAAGCCTTGTGGCCGGAAGGCATCATGTGTCTGGTCTTCTTGTTGGATCCGTAACCGATCTTTGGCTCTCTGATGGTGCCTCTGAACCTTCTTCTGACACAGGAGTCGATACCCTTCTGTTTTCTCCAGTTCTCGGCCACTCTGTGGTATCTGTCCGAGTGGTGTCTCTTGAACTTCTTGGTGTGCTTCTTGACGATCTTTGGGTGTGGGAGCGATGCAGCCATGGTTGGAGAAAAGATTATCGTAGAGAGTATTTTATTTTACTTTGAAAAATTTTCTAGCCCTAGACGGGGTCACGTGGGAAAAAGGGCACCGGTCAGAGTAACAGACCTCATTTCCGCGAGCGCTCGTCGATCGTCGCCATGCATTATTTTATCGACCAGGACGCCAAGTACGAGCCCGTGCGCCCCTCGTTCGACACAGACGTCATTCGGCTGTATGGCCTTCATCCCATCGCGCAGTCGCTCGCCAGGGTCAACCCCGACGGCTCCAAGGGCGTGAAGCTGCGCAAGTCGTACAAGAACCACGTCGCCGACCTGCCGGGCAAGCACGCCATCCCTACCGAGCGGACGCTGTCGCCGATCGTATTCCGGCCGGACAATCCGGACCTCGGCGACGTCCAGCTCAAACAGTACCCGTTGGAGCAGTTGAAGGCGCTGTTTTCGTTTGAGAAGAGCTCAATCAACGGCGTTCCCGGTTTCGACTCCAGCAAGCTGGCCATTGACAGTCTCGACTCCTCGGCTAAAAAGGAGCGCAAGAGAAAGGGCACGCCCACGACGCCGAGCGAGCCCGACCAGAAAAAACGCCATGTCCAGGTGCATTTTAGCTAGTTTCTTCGTCTCGCCGAAATGCACCGTTCGCGTCCGCAAGACGTATTTTGCCAGATATTCGCTGCCTCGTTCATCTCCGAGCCCGTTCAGTCAGCACGCCGGCTCCAGTGGATTGACCGAAATAGTCCTGACCGACGCGGCTGATCATGAGCTGAGGAGGACGGCTCAGTGCGCCTTTCCGCGGTGCCGCAAAGTGCTCCAGCCCACGCAAACCGGACAGCTCTTCGAGTCCGCCTTCCTCGCCACGCCCACGTCCCTCCCCCACAGACAAGTCCATAGTCCACGAAACGCTAATCATGTCCGCCGATTCGACGCCCGAGCGTAGCTGCGGGAATTAGACCCGGCCGTCTTCTTTCTCGTAAAAACGGTTACTTTCTTGACCGTGTCCAAATGCGTCTCTGCTCCACCACCCAAAAGACAGCAGCCTTGCCGCGACGAGTGTACTGAGCGCCCGCACTCAGCCGACCATGTTGAACTTCTGCAAGTTGCGACGATCGTCGCCAAAAAACAGCCCACCTTAACGATGTCGCAGGTGTCGGCGAGAAGACGGTATGGTCAAGTAGCGGCCAAAGAGGAAAGCAGACAGGTAATTTCCAGCGTCTCCAAACGCCGTTTCTCTCGCTGCCTTGCACGGGTCGTTCCGCTACAGCCGCACGTTGCCGATGGTAGCAGTGGTGGCAGAAAATCAGACCTGGCTGTGCACAGTAGCGCTCGGGCGACCGAAGAGAGCCAGGCTCGGGAGGAGTCTCTGGGCGACATAAGCGCGGCTCTAAATGCCGTCTATCTCTGTTCTAATGCGTTGCTCCACTGGAACTGATGTCGACTTCCCAGTTGAAGAGCAGAGCGGCGTATTCCCCGCTCATAATTGCCCTACCGGCACACGCACGCCTCACAGTACCACCAGCACAGGCACGGCCAGAACCACACGGCCAGAACGGCGTGGCGTCCCGCTGGCAGCAGGTGTAGGCGAGGCTGCTTCCTAGCGAAAAAGACGAGCGACGCGCCGATAGACGTCTGCAGTGGAAAAAATCATGAAAATTTTTTATACTTTCCAACAAACAATCAATATAGCATGCCTCCTAAGAACAAAGTTAAGATGGACCTGGGCTCGTTCCTGGCGGACGAGAGCTTTGGCGGCTCGTGGGCGGACGAGGAGTTCGACATGAACACGCTGGAGGTGCCCGTCAGCGGGAAGCCGTCGGGAAACAGGGGCGGAGGAAACGAGAGGGACTACGAGAGGGCCGAGTATCCGATCCCAGACCGCGCGCCATACACCGCGAGAGTGAGCAACCTGCCGAGAGAGGCGCAGGAGGACGAGATCCAGGCGTTTTTCGCAGACAACTTGCGCATCGAGGATCCGTTTGACGAGATTGTCGATTTCTACGCTCCAAAGGACCAGCACACGGGGGCGCTCAGAGGGTTTGCATTCATTACGTTCAAGAACAGGAAAACTTTGGAAGAGGCATTGAAACTATCGGGACAGAACCTGGGCGGCCGTGTTGCGTACGTCAGCGTGGCTGCTCCCACGAAGGAGCCGTTTGGGGGCCGTGGTGGCCGCCAGTCACGTGGAGACATCGACTGGAGCACGCTGCGGGACGGCCCACGCAGCGAGCAGCGCGAGCAGCGCGGCGCAGACTTCAGAGGCGACAGAATGCGCGAGCGGGCGCCGGAGCCGGACTGGGGGGCCGTCAGAAACATGCCTGTGGCGCGGGAGGGCAGGAGAGAACGGCTGCCGTCTCGAAGAGAGCCGGCACCGGAGCCAGACTGGACCGCGGTCAGAGAGGGCGCTGCTGTTCCCGAGCCTCGGCGCGAGCGGCTGGGACCTCGCAGAGAGCCACGGGCCCGTGGGCCAGAGCCGGACTGGAGCGCCGTCAGAAGCCGCGAGCCCGTGCGTGTGGAACGTGCGGAGCGGGCGCCGAGAAGAGAGCGTGGGCCGGAGCCGGATTGGAGTGCCGCCAGAGACAGTGTGGCCGAAGCCGCTCGCAAGAGGAGCGAGGGCGTTCTGCGCAGCAAGCCAAAGAAGCCGGAGCCTGACGTGGACTGGGAGAACCTGCGTGGCTCTGCGCTGAACAAGGAGCACAAGCCGCGGGAGCCTAAGGAGCCCGAGACCAAGCAAAAGGCCAAGACAGACGGTCCGAAACAGTCGTCGTTCAACGTGCTGCCAGTGGAGGACGACGAGGACGAGCTGGCCGCGGGAACTGAAAAATTGTCGGTGAATGAGTGATCGCACGTTTAATTAGATAATGGAACAGAAATGAATAGAGAGTCGTAGTCACACCATCTGCTCGGGCTGTTGCTGCTGCTGCTGCTGCTGCTGCTGCTGCTCGGGCTCGCCACCGGGCCGCGAGCTAAGCCGCGCGCTGCGGTTGCGCTCGTAGAACACAATCACGTAGTGGTAGTACAGATCCTCTTTGCGGATGCCCATCATGCGCCAGAACATCGACGACAGCATCGTGAACTTGTTGTTGACGGTGTGGAACGCGAGCGTGTCGATGTCGCGCAGGTCGTCCGGGTGGAAAGGTCTCTCGTTGATAATGTCCATGATCGACGACTGCAGCGAGCGCAGGTCCGGCATGGGCGGCCGGTCGAAGTCGTTGTTGTGCACCGGGGTGGCCTCCTCGACCGGGCCCGTGGGCGGCGCCGTTGCGGCCGACGTCTGGCCCTCGGCGGTGTACTCGCCGTTGCGCACGAGCTGCAACGACGCCAGCAGCGTCTGCGCCTTGAACTTGGTGGAGCGCGGGAAGAACAGGTCGCTCATCGACTCGGCGTCGTTGAAGATGCTGTCGAGATTGCGGTCGCCCTGGGCCTCGCTGGCGGGGCGCGAGCGGGTCTGGTCGCGCATGAAGAAATCGCGCTTGCACATCGGACAGCAGCCGCGCCGGTTGACGAGCCAGGGGTCCACGCAGTCGGCGTGGAACACGTGACCGCAGATCAGGCCGCGGACCTCGTCGTCGTCGAGCAGGTTGTCGAGACAGATTGCGCACATGCCGGAGGTGAAGTGGAGGTCTTGTGCGGCGTCGCCGGAGGAGGCGGTGGCAGGAACAGTGTCGTGGAGCTCAATGTTGTCGGTCTTGTCCTGGTCGGCCAGATCGACCTCCTCCGGCGGCGAGGACGGCGCATCCCGGACGTTGTCCTGTTCCTCCGCAGCGTCCCCATGGCCCGCGTCCTCCTCGTACACCAGCACGCCCTCGTTCCTGTTGATGACGTCCTCCTTGCCGCCGTTGAGCCACTTGGCGTACGTCTTCAGCGGGAACAAATCGTCGACCTCCTCCTGCGTCAGCTTGCGCTTCCGCGAGTACCCCTCGCGGCGACGGGCGCGGTAGCCTTGTAGGTGCCGGTTGCCCGTGAGGTTGAGGGCGATGTCGTGCTCTAAGTACGGCTGGAGGCCGTTCATGGACGCGCGTCCCGTGGGGCCCATGTAGAACGGGTTGCGGGCAAACTGCGGCGCCGAGCTGTACAGCCCGAAGCGAGACCGCACAAGGTATCTGAGAGTGAAGAAGATAAATAGACCAGCGATGATGACGCCCACACAGAGAGCAATGAAAAACAGCACCGTGGACGGCTTGCTTCCTATAAAGCTGCCCGCCACGTTGGTGTTCGAGGGGGTGGCGGCAGGGGCGTCCGACGTCGAACTCATTACGTTGGCCTTAAAACGAGGAGGGAAAAAAAAGATAAAATAAGAAAAAGCCAAGCCTGCATTTTGCATATGATTACGGTGAAGGCGAAAAGACAGGGCCTGACGGTGTTTGCGAGCGTGCCGGCTGGGGCCGGGGTGGGGGAGCTGAAGCGGCGGCTGGCAGAGATGCTGAACAGCACGGGCGGGCTGCTGCTGCACAGCGAGCCTGTCGGGCTGTCGCAGACAGACGTGGACGTGCCGGTGCCGTCGTTCGAGGAGGCCGGGGAGCCGGCGGAAGAGGGCAGAGAGAAAGTGACCGCGGAGGGGCTGCGCATTGGCGTGCTGGAGGACGAGATCCGCGAGACGGACGAGCTGGAGCTGCGGGACGGGCTCGCCGTGGCGTTTGCGTGGCGGGACGAGCCGTTCAGCGTGGCACAGCCGCAGGAGTGACTACGCATACTCTAATAGTACTTTATTACTAAACAGCGCCTAGTTGACCAGGGCAGAAGCAGTGGCAGACTCGTATTTCCAGGTTGGTGGCAGCACAGCAACCGTTCTGTAGTATCTGGCGAGTCTGTGGATTCTGGACTCGATCAGAATGAGTCTGAACTTGGAGTCCTTGTCCTTTCTGTTTCTCTCCAGGTGCTTTCTCACGGAAACAGCCTTCTTGATCAGGTAGTACAGGTCCTCTGGGATCTCCGGAGCAAGCCCGTTGGACTTGAGGATTCTCAGGATCTTGTTGCCGGTGATGACCTTGGCCTGGTTGACTCCGTGGGCGTCTCTCAGGATGACACCGATCTGCGAGGGAGTCAGACCCTTTCTGGCGTACTTGATGATCTGCTCAACAACATCCTCGGACGAGAGCTTGAACCAGGACGGAACGTTTCTCGAGTATGGAATGGCGGAGGAAGAAATTCCTTTTCCCTGGACGGTTAGTATTCGATACTTATCCAATACATGGCATAGGATTGGTGCTGCGCAGCCTGCACCGCTGCAGCCCGAATCAAAGGCGTGTATTGGGCTATACGCTACCCACTTTGCTGTGCATACGACCCATGTTGATAGAATATTTTGAGGAAAAATTTTTTGACCTTGAAAATTATCTACCACCGCGCACGTGACACACACAGAGGGCTCAGAAGCCCTCGCAGACCGTGGCCCCGGGCGCTGTCTGCCGCCGGCCGCTACTCGACCTCCGCCCTCAGCGCGTCCCAGTCGTCCTCGTCGGCGACCTCCACGAACCGGTTCGCGCTGACCTCGCCCTTGAACTGCTCGAGACACCCCGCGTAGAGCATCTTGGCGTCCTGCTTTGCCGTCAGCGGGCGGTGGTACACGAGCACGAGCGGGTTGCTGAGCCGGCCGTCATCGAGCGTTTTGGAGTAGCTGAGCACGACGAACCGCGGCGAGTTGTCGGGCAATTCCTCGAGCAGCGCGTCGATCGACTCGATCTTGTCGTCCGGCTCCTCGTACAGCACCTCGTACGACTGCGGGTCGATCATGTACACCTGTGCTTGCAGTGTGCTGCTGCGGGCGCTCGAAATGCGGAACTTGCGCAATCTCTGCAACGTGGGGGTGGAGAACGAATACAGCGACATGATAAGGAAAAAAAATATATTTTACCTGTTTACTGTCAGCTCAACCCCGCGAGCTCGGCCTCCTCCTCCACGGTGGCGCGTTTTTTCAGCACCAGGTCGTGGCCCGTGACCCGCCTGTATATGTCCTTGACGTCGTCTGTCGTGGACTCGAAGTGGGACGACGGGTCGTACGACTTGGAGATGTAGATGTGGTCCGCGGAGCCGTCCTCGATCGGCTCGTACAGCTCGGCAATGCCCATCAGCACGTCCTTGGTGGCGCCGATCACCTTGAAGGCCGGCTCCAGCTCCAAGTGGGGCTTGTCGGTCTCGATGATCGTCGAGATGATGGCCAGATAGTAGCCCTTGGCACAGATGTTGTGGGCCGACGACACCATTGCGATATAGATGTCGTTTTTCCTGCCCACCTGGTTCTGCGGGATGATGATCTGCGCCGAGTCGGCGTCCGACGTGTACGGGATAGGGTGGTCGAGGATGCACATGGCCCTGATCACCTTCTGGCCTGTGCTCTTGACCTTTTCAGGGAAGTAGGTGGGGTCGGCGATCACCACCGGCGCCTTGGCCACGCCCTCTTTGGTCCTGACGCCGGCAAACCGGCCGTCCTCGTACAGCACCTCCTCAATCGGCGTGTCCAGCATGAACGTGCCGCCGTAGATGGCCGACAGCCGGGCAAATCCCTGCGGCAGCTCGCCGAGCCCGTACAGCGGGTAGATGTATGGCGACTTGCCGTATCTGGCAACAGAGCCCAGATAGAGCACTATTCTGTCGTACGTCTCTCTGGCCGGCTGAGACAGGTAGTCGTCGTTCGACCACAGCGCCATGGCGTGGCCGATGAAGTCCTTTGTCCCCCGCTCAAGCCCGTACTTGTTGTACAGCTCGTCCATGGTGATCTTGTCGAGATCGACGCCGCCGTGCGTCGACACCTCGTCCTCCTTGTACTTGATGATGAACTCGAGGAAGTTCTTCATTCTCCTCTTCTCGAAAAAGCCCATCAGCGGCGACGAGATCGCCTCTGTCTGGTTCGAAGGCACCTTTGCGATCCGGCCGCCCCTGTACACGTACGAGCCCGAAATCTGCTTGAACTCCATGTACCGGGTGACATCGGTGTGGACGAGGATGTTGGTCAGCTCGCCGTTCGACATGAGGAACTTCGGGATCAGGTCCACGCACCAGTCGCGGTCCTTGCCGAACTGGTCGCTGTACGGCTTGCTGGGCTTGAACTTGGAGTAGAGCTGCGTCAGGTTCAGCGAGGCGCTCTCGCCGCCGTAGTAGTCCTGCTTGTCGATGTGGAGCACTTTCTTGCCGTCGATCGAGAGCAGGCCGGACAGAATGCACTCTGTCAGGCCTGTGCCGAGCACAATAACGTCGTAGTCGCCTTCCATGAGAATAACTTTTGATGAGATGACAGGATTTATTTTTCGGTTGCCTTCCTGCGCCGACGGGTCGATAACTAGAGGACATTAAATTATATATTTAATTTCTTGTGCTTGAACACACGCGTGCCGCCCGCGCCCTTGTAGTCGCCCGCCACCTGGCCGCTGCCGCGCAGCTGGTAGTAGTAGCACACAAGCCCCTCCAGCCCCACCGGCCCGCGCGCGTGGATCTTGTTGGTCGAGATGCCCACCTCTGTGCCGAACCCGTACCGGAACCCGTCAGCAAACCGCGTCGAGCAGTTCCAGTACACGCCTGCCGAGTCGACGCCCGCCAGGAACTTCTCGGCCGCCGCCTGGTCCTCCGTCACAATGCAGTCCGTGTGTTTCGACGAGTGCTCGTTGATGTGCAAAATGGCCTCCTCGACGCTTGCAACGCTCTTGACGGCCACGTCGAGCGACAGGAACTCGCGCGAAAAATCAGACTCTTCCGCCAGCACGCTCTGCGGCTGGTCCTTGAACAGCTCCGCCGACAGGTGGCACGTCACGCCGGCCTCTCGCAGCGCCTGCAGCACTTCTTCGTGGCTACCATCTTGCACCAGCTGCGAGTGCAGCAGCACGGTTTCCACGGCATTGCAGCCCGCGGGGTAGTTCGTCTTCGCGTCCACAACTATGCGGCAGGCCTTCGCAAGGTCCGCGGCCTTGTCCACGAAGATGGAGCAGATCCCGTCCGCGTGGCCGAGCACAGGAATCTTGGTGTTCTCTTTGATATTTCTCACCAGCTCGTTCGAGCCGCGCGGGATCACCAGATCGATGTACTTGTCCTGTTTGAGCAGGTCGCCGACCTCCTCGCGCGTGCTGATCAGCTGGATCGCGTTCTTGGGAACAGCAGTGTCCTCCAGAACCTCGTAGATCACCTTGGCCATCGCCTGGAACGTGTGCAGGGACTCCTTGCCGCCCTTCAGAATCGCCGCGTTGCCCGACTTGATGGCCAGCGCGGTGATGTTGGCTATCACCTCCGGCCGGCTCTCGAAAATGATGAGCAGAACGCCCACGGGACAGGTCAGCCGGGTCAGCGTGAGCCCGTCGTCGAGCTCCGTCGCGAGCGTGACCCTGTTGAGCGGGTCTTCCAGGTTGGACACGTCCAGCACACCCTCGCACATCGAGTCGAACTTGCCGTTCTTGGACAGGTCGAGCCGCTTGATCAGCGACGGCGACAGCTCGTTGGTCTCGGCGAGCTGCATGTCCTTTCTGTTGGCGGCCAAGATGTCTTCCTTGGCGGCCTCGAGCCCCTGCTTGATCTGGTACAGCGCGAGGGAGCGCTGCTCGTCCGAGAGCGTCTTGAGCACGGTGGCGGCCATGTGGGCCCGCTGGGCAATAGCCTTGGACATGGTGCTGATGACTAAAATTTTTTTATCTCTGTCTTACATAAGCGGCCCGTTGCAAGTTAGACGAGGCTCGGCGCCCGGCATGAGGCGCTCTTTGGTGGCGTGCGGTGTCTTAGCACATGCAGGGTGGCAACGGGGAGCCAAAGGCACTGTACAGCGGCGGCCGGGGCGCTCGTCACGTGAGTCCAGTGGAGATGCCCACGTTCCACAGATAAAAGCTGCGCAGGCAGGGTCTCCACTGCGGCCGGACAGAGCGTGCTGGAGACACAAACGCGCCCCGCGATCTGCAGACAATGAAGAGTGTGCCTGAACACGGTGCCAAAGGAGTTCACAGGCCAGCGTCGATCTAGAATCTGGGTTTAAATCCCAGAAAGGAAGGAATGGCTTGCTGCAAACACACAATTTTGCCGAAAAGGGAACTGACGGAGGCTCTGTTAGGAGGCTTGGCTATTTTTAGCAGCGGACGACGCTGAAATGAGCAACTCCTTGACACGAGAGGGCGGTTCTTATCGACGGCTCCACAATAATAGCAGCAAGCATATGGCTTTGAGCGCAGGAATTGTTCACCGCGTTGGGCGATTGTTTGCTAGAATTTTCTGCTTCATGTAAATTCCGAAAGCGGAAGGCCCTCGAATACGGTATCGTGTATGAAAAAATTTTCTGGATGATCGCTTACGGGAGGTGGCGAGATATAAATAGAGCCAATTCCCACTTGCGGATTCTCATCGTATTAATTAATCGAAATGCAATTCTCTAAGGTTATTGTCGCTCTCGCTGCTGTCGCTTCTGTGCAAGCTGCTAACAACTCTTCTGAGTCCTCTACGGTCTCTACTGCCGGTGCTGCAGTCAACAGCTACGGTTCCGTTGCTCTCGGTGCCGGTCTTGCTGCTGCTTTGGCTCTCTTCTAAGCACAGAGTTTTGTCGAACTACTCGGTATAATATGCGCTTCCATTTGCTAGACTCATTATATAATCTCATGCCAGGTGGAACTGGACTGTTCTATTTCCGATAGTCCATTTTGTATTAATTTATTTATGCTTGGAAGGATAACAAGTCGGTAGTTATGTAGCCGGATTAATTTTAATTAGCTGACCTGTAAAGCTTAGCCTGCCGTACGTGTGTATATTCCTGTCTGTTTTTGTTTTTTCTGCCGTCGCGTCGATTTCTATGCTTCATGGAAATCGCCCATGAATCCGGTCTCTTGGCCCTCGCCGCCAGCGCGCGCCCACGCAAGCGACTGCGCCCTTGCACAGAGGTCATCTCGCTAGTGAGCTCCGAAGGGCAGAGCTTCGACGACGAGCTCGAGGTCACTAACTCTACAGACAGCGAAAACGAACTCAGCGAGGACAACATAGGGCTCGAGGCCGCCAGACGCAGTCAGGCTCACGACTCTCAGAGTGGAACGCAAAATGGAGCCCCCAGACGCTCCCCCCACGGAAGCCCCCACTCAAAGTCCCGCGAGCCTTCAACGACCTCTATTGCACACTCTGCCGCACAGGACAGCCCGCACCTGGAACTCCCGCACATCTCAGTGCACTCGCAGTCCTCTTCCGAGCCAGCAAACCCGCCCGTCGCGCGCGCGCCGTCGCCCATTACCGGGGCGATCCCACAATCCACACAACTGTCCCCATCAACATCTCTTAGAAAAAAACTCCCCCATCTGGCCAAACCCATCGCCGTGCCGGCGCAACCACGGTACCGCGTGGGGCTGTCCAAACGAGCACGTGTCGATCCTCTACATCCCTACTTAAAGCAAAGCCAGCCGCGGCAGCCCTCATAGCTCGTCGTGCGGCGACACAATCTCCAGAAGCTCCGTGTCAAACACCAGAGTGGCGTCCGGCGGAATCACGGCTCCGGCCCCACGCTTGCCGTACGCCAGTTCCGGTGGAATTGTGAGCCGCCGTTTTTCGCCCACACACATGTCCATGAGTCCCTGGTCCCAGCCCTTGATCACGTGCCCAACGCCGAGCGTGAACTTGAGTGGCTGGTCGCGCTCGACGGACGAGTCGAACACCTCCTGCGTGTCGAACAGCCTCCCCGTGTAGTGCATCTTGACGACGTCGCCAGGCGCGGTTTTCTGTGTGCACTCTTCCGGTGGCACTCTGTGGGTGACTCCTATCTGGAGCTCCGCGTTTGTGGCGGCAGCCAGTGCCAAAACCGTTAGCGATTTGAGATTCATAATGACAGTTTTTGATCGACGCAAAATTCAAATTTCTCCACGTCGCTCGACGCGAAACGGTAGCCAACGACGATAGGCGCACCAGCTCTAGGGTGTGCGTGAGGGCCCGGTTCGACCGTCCCGGTCCCTCGTGGCCCTTGCGCGGGGGAGCACAATTGGCCGGCCAACTTTCCAGAAGCTGCCCCACGGGCCAGAGCGCAGACACTGTGTACGAGCACTAATTTACTATTTATTGTATTTACGAGATTTATTTATTATTTTTCGAGTCCCCATGTCTCTCACAAACGAAGAGTTGCTGGGATTGCACAACCAGGACGAGCCCGAGCTGCCGAAAAAGCGGCGCACGGTGCACAAGCTGACGGACGAGCTGCTGCTGGGGCCCCGCGGCCTGCCTGCGCTGCACAGATCGCTCAAAAAGTACCGGTTCCACCACAAACGCGCCGCAGACAGAAGACGCGACGAGTACACGAGATCGCACCATTTCGACAACCTCACGCGCCTGCTGCACATCTACCAGGCATGGGGCCACGACATCTACCCGCAGTACAAGTTCAGAGACTTCATTCCGGTGCTGAGCCGCGCGGTTGGCAGCACGGAGGTGCGCAACTACAAGCGGCAGCTGATGAGGGGGGAGGAGGCCGGGCAGGAGGCCGGGCAGGAGCGTCGGGCAGCCGAGCACACGCAGCGGGAGCGGGAGCAGGAGCGGGAGCAGGACGCCTGGCGCGGCGACGAGCTTTTCGTGTCGGACGACGAGCTGTACACGCCGGCGGCGCACGCGTCCGCGCAGCTGCCGGGCGGCACGCACGAGAGCAGCGGCCCCTCCGCCGAGGAGCTGGAGCTGGCGCGCGAGTTTGGGTTTTAGACGGCCCCTTGCTGACACGTAATTCCATGGCAGTGTATAGTGCATTTTTTTCGTGTGATTTTGCCTTAACAAATAACTCTGTCAGACGTTAGCAAGACAGGCAATTGGCGCAGACGAGAAGCGAGCCACTTGATCTTTGCGATGACGCGCACAAGACGGAATACTGGGTTTTTGAGCGACGACTCGGACGCGGGCACGGCCGTAGGGGACGACGACGCCCGGTCGCGGCGCAAGCGGTCTGTGCCCCTCGACGAGGACTCTGACTCGGACGTGGTGCGGCCGCACCGCACGCGGGGCCGGCGGTCGGTCAATTACAACGAGGACGTGCTGCTGGCCGCGCTGGACGACGAGATCGGCGACGAGGGCGACCCAGACGACCGCGGCGCGGCAGAGCACGGTGTCGGGCGCAAGCGGCGACGCACGCGCTCGCGGGCGGCCGAGGACGACGACTTCGACGAGGACGACGCGGTGGCGAGCGACTCGAACGATTTCGACGAGGACGAGTCGTTCAGCTCGGACGACTCGCTGCGGCCGCGCAGACGGCGACAGCCCGGGTTTATTGTGAAGGACGACGAGGACGTGGCGTCGGACGAGGAGTACGACGTGCGGGCCGAGAGAAGTCGCCGCAACGGGCGCCCAAAGCGCAGGGGACGCGGCCGTCCGCGCAAAGAGGAGGTCGAGGAGTTCGACGACGACGAGAGCGAGGAGGAGGAGTCGCTGACGATCGCGGACGAGCTGAAAGCGCTGCAGGACGACTCGCCGCTGAACTCGCCCGTGCAGCGCAACTTGCGCGAGCGCAAGAACGTGAACTACCAGCTGCCGCCGCCGATGCTGCAGGCGGAGCCAGAACGCTTTGACGCGGCGGAGAGTCCGCGCAGGGGACGTGCGGGCGGCCGCTTTGGCGGCACGGGCACGGCAGTGCCCGCCAGCACGCAGATCCGACGGCTGTTCCCGACGGTGGGCCCGTTTGGCGGCGGCGACGTGCACGCGCTGTTTCAGAACGGCGGCGCCGCAGACACGCTCACGGCGATCGGCAACGTCGAGAGCAGCGACTCCGAGGACGACAACGAGCTGTTCAAGCCGACGGACCCGAATAAGCTGAGCATCGTGACCGTCGACAGCGGCGCGCCGGGCAAGAAGAAAAACACGCTCGCCGACACAGACCCGCTCGGCATCGACACCAACATCGACTTCTCTGTGGTGGGCGGGCTGGACAGCTACATCGACCAGCTCAAGGAGATGATCACGCTGCCGCTGCTGTACCCGGAAATATACTCCAAGTTCCACATCACGCCGCCGCGCGGCGTGCTGTTCCACGGCCCGCCGGGCACGGGCAAGACGCTGATGGCGCGGGCGTTGGCCGCGTCGTGCTCGTCGCAGCACCGCAAGGTGACCTTTTTCATGCGCAAGGGCGCCGACTGTCTCTCGAAATGGGTCGGCGAGGCCGAGCGGCACCTGCGGCTGCTTTTCGAGGAGGCCAAGCAGCAGCAGCCGTCGATCATCTTCTTCGACGAGATCGACGGCCTCGCGCCCGTGCGCTCGTCCAAGCAGGAGCAGATCCACGCGTCGATCGTGTCCACGCTGCTGGCGCTCATGGACGGCATGGACAACCGCGGCCAGGTGATTGTGATCGGTGCCACCAACAGACCCGACTCGATAGACCCTGCGCTGCGCCGGCCGGGCAGGTTCGACAGAGAGTTCTACTTCCCGCTGCCGGACGTGAAGGCGCGCGAGCAGATCCTCAAGATCCACATGCGCAAGTGGGACCACCAGCTGGACGACGGGTTTGTGCGCGAGCTGGCGCGGCTCACCAAGGGCTACGGCGGAGCAGACCTCAAGGCCTTGTGCACGGAGAGCGCGCTGAACGCGATCCAGCGCGCGTACCCGCAGATCTACCGCTCCAACGACAAGCTGCGCATCAACATCAACAAGGTGCGCGTGGTGGCGAGCGATTTCACGCGCACGCTAGAACGCATCGTGCCGTCGAGCGCGCGCGCAACCTCGCTCAGCTCGAGCCCGCTGCCCGAGACCGTTGCGCCGCTGCTGCAGCCGCAGCTCGACGGCGTGCTTGCGCGCGCGCGCCGCGTGATCCCGAGCGAAAAGCCGCTCTCGTTGCTCGAAGAAAGCCAGTACGTCGACCTCACGGCGTCCCAACCAGACGGCGGGTTCCGCCACCAGCAGCTGCTGGCCCGGCTCAACCAGCAGCGCGTGTTCAAGCCGCGGCTGCTGCTCGCAGGCAACACCGGCGACGGCCAGGAATACGTCGCCAACGCCGTGCTGCACAGCTTTGAGGGCTTCAACGTGCAGACGCTCGACTTCGCCAAGCTGCACTCCGACGCGTCGATCACCCCGGAAAACCTGGTGATCCAGCTGTTCCAGGAGCTCAAACGGCACAAGCCCAGCATTCTGTACGTGCCATACGTGCTGGGCTTCTTGGACGAGATCACGCCGTCGCTGCGGTCCACCATCAGCACGCTCGTGCGCACGCTCGGCGCCAACGAGCGCGTGCTGGTGTTCGGGATGGTCGAGGACCAGCAATTACTCGACGACAGGTACTACGACGAGCTGGCTGCCGTGTTTGGGTTTGCGCGCTCCGACGTGGTGCAGCTTGGGCAGCCTGACGAGCGTCAGCGCGAGCGGTTCTTCGAAAGTGTCTGGACGTGTTTCCACATGGCGCCGCTCGATTACAACGAGCTCAGCCTGCGACCGAAACGCAAACTCAAGGAACTCCCTAAAGTGGAGGTGGAGGAGCAGCCGCAGACCGCAGCAAACACAGCCACTAACGACGCAGAGCTCGCCAAGAGCGACATGCGTCTGAAAAACACGCTCAAGGTCAAACTGTCTGGCCTGATGGACCTGTTCAAGGCGCGCTACAAACGCTTCAAAAAACCCGTCGTCGACGACGCGTTCCTCGTGCACCTGTTCGAGCCAGAGCCAGACCCGGAGGCGCCGTACCAGCGCCAGGGAAACCGCATTTTGGAGGTGGCCACGGGCAAGCTCTACTACAACATCGACCTCGACGTCATCGAGGAACGACTCTGGAACGGTTTCTATTCGGAGCCACGCCAGTTTCTCAACGACATTGAGATGATCCTCAAGGACGCCAAGACGTCTGGCGAGCGCGACCGCGTGCTCAAGGCGAACGAGATGTACGCGAACGCGCAGGTCGGCATCGAGGAGATGGAGGCTGCGTATCCGCAGCTTGCCGCCGAGTGGAGGGCTGCGAGACAGCGCGAGAAGCGACGCGAGGCTGAGTACTTGCGCAAGGTGCGGGAAGAACAGGAGCAGGAGCAGGAGCAAGCCGAACAAGCGGAGCGGGAGCCAGCAGGTGCAGTGCAACAGGTGCAACAGGCACAGCTCGTTAATGGAGACTCCACGCAGGGTCACGTGACTTCGGATGCGGTTGCAGCCGCTGCCACCAGCGTGGAGGTGGCTCCGGTGGAGCCCGCCGAGCAGCCCGTCAAGGAGGAGTTACAGAAGGAGGTTCAGGAGGAGCTGAATGAGCAGCCCGAGTCCGAGTCGTCGGACGAGGACTACCCCGAGCCGCCAAAAGAGCAGCTGATCTATTCGGAGGAGAAACTAATTAAACTGCAGCGTCTGGTGCTGGACAAGTCTGCCGCGATGCCTGTGGAGGAGCTGGAGAGACTGGCGTCTCGTCTGATCGAGATGATTTGGGAGGAGCGGATGAATCTAGACAAGAACGCGCTGTTGGACCGGATGGAGGCCCTGCTGCACTAGCCGTCGTACTGCTCACTCTGCTTGCCAACCTGGAGCTTCCGCTTACGCAGCCGTTTGAGCTTTTTGAGCACTCGCACCTTCTTCTTGCTCTCCTGCTCTTTGACCCGGGTGTAGAACCTCATTGTGAACGGCAGCAGGCAGTTGGTGGCCACGACCCAGCCTATCAGGACGCACACGTTGCGCGGCATGTTGGCGTGCTTGTAAGTGTTGAACAGCAGCGTTTTGAACAGGTCGTAGCCGTTCTTTATAGGCATCATGTATCCATAACGATAAAATTTCGGACTCAAGTTGAGAGGGTAGTATGTGGGGGCGATGTTAGACACCATCCAGAAAAACATCCACATCGGGATCAGGTTCGGCTTGGCAGCCTGCAGAAAGATGCTTATGTTTTCGTTGACGCCACCAAGCGACGACAGCACCAAGTACGACACGAGCCAGAAGATGAGGAACCCCAATTTATGCGGGTATGCCGTGTATATGTCGATCTGGAAAAAAACCTGCACCAGCGTGTACCCAAGCCCGAGCACCAGGTACGTGATCTGCGACGAGATCAGCCGGTACGCCAGAAACGAGGTGTCTTTGAGCTGCGACGCGATTTCGTTGTGGTACGGTTGGAAAAACGCAAACTGCAGCAGCGACAGCAGATGCAGGTACACGAGTCCGAACTGCTGCGGGCCAGCGACAATGGGGTCCAGAAGGCGTGCCGGGGTGAGGTCGGTAGTCTTGAAAATGATTGGCGTCAAGAGTTGCTGGAGAGTACCCAGTTTCTGTTCGTCCGATAGCTGTTCCAGGAGACGTGCGGTCATGTTGGGCTGTAATTCGGTGAAAAATGTTTGCAGCTGCGCGAAGCCGCGCGTGAAGTACGACGACTCGGCCACGTAGTCACGCCCTGTCTCGTAGATCACCTCCACCACGTCCGACGTGTTGAAGCTCGTGCCCTTCTGCAACGCCTCGAGATACCGCGTCCCGGCGCTCGGCTGCACGAGCACGGCGCCCCAAATGTGCTGTCTGTAGACCTTGTGGGTGAGTATCGAGTGCAGCTGATCTGTGTCGTTCGAGATCGTCTGGTACGGCTTCGGGAGCCATGTGCCGATCAACGGCATCATTTTGGTAGCCTCGACAACGTACTGCGAAATCAGATCGCTTTCGTCGATAACGACCCAGAAATGAAAGCTTCGCAGCCGCGAGTTGCGGTGGTACATGGCTCCCCAGTACAGACTGTAGATGGCCATAATTACGCCGGTGATGAAAGCGTAGCCCTTGACAAAATGGAGCACGGTCTTGACTTTGTTGAATTTGGGGTCGAAAAAGCCGATCTTACTAAGAGTGTCCTTGACCTCGTTGGTTACCTGGCGTCGGATGCTGTTGAGCCTTGTGATCGTAGGTTCGCGGGCCAAAGACGCCGCCTGACTCCCGTCGTCGTGGTCGCTTTCTGAGTCCGAGTCGTCGCTGTTCAGCACCGCAGAGATGACCTCCTCGTTGGCGTCGTTGGCCGAGCTGGGAATCAGGCCATCCACGTAAAACGGCGACGTCCCCGGGGCCGTCTGCTGCGTGAACTGTCTCGTGAGTCGTCGGCTGGACGGCTCCTGCGACCCCTCCTCGGAAACGCCACGTTTGAGCCACGAGGTGAGCGTGGACGCACGTCTGCGAAATCCAGAGTTGCGGCGCGGGTGCTGATCGGGCGTTTTCGAGCTGTCTGCTGCCCAGGGCGTCGGCACAGACGCAGCGGAGTTTTGTCTTGTTTTGGGATGGTCTGGAGGGTGGTACGACTGGACGTTCTCGGCGGTCGACTGGGGGTCTGAGTCGAGCGACCGCAGCGACAGCGACGACAGCGACGCCTCATCTATCTGGGAAAGCCGCAATGGGTCCATAAAGAAGAGTGGAGTTTTAATTTGTTCCTATCTGAAATATGTAATTACATTTTTTTAGATTATTTTTTTCTAGATTTCATGTCCAACCTTCTGCAAACAGAAATCCAGCAGAAGCTTAGCCAGGCCAATACGAGAATAGCCGGCTGGCTGGACGGCGAAAGCGGTGGGTCGCCGGAACGGAACGCATTTGAGGACCTGCCCGTGATCAAGCCCGGTGCAGGTCTTGATCTGTCCTCGGATGCTGCCAAGATAGGCGATTTCACGTCAGGGAAGACGGTGAGAAAAATGAAGAACCGGCAGCGACCGCAGTCACGGTCGCTGCAGGCGTTGCAGAACAAGCTGCGGAACGCCAACAGAGACAAGGCGCGCGCCAGGGTCGAGAAAACGAAACGGGAGGCTCCAAAGCCCCCGGATGGGGGTGCACGATCCGAGGACGACTCGGACGAGGACGAGGTGGTGCGACGGAAGCGAAGCGGCACCACCGCCAAGAAGGTGAGCAAGCGGCCATTTTAGCATCGAAATTGATATTGCATTCAAAACAAATAGAAATGATCTAATACATAGAAAAATAGTACAAGTTAGTCTTCGACGAGCGAACTGAGTTTTAGTTTCTTTTTGGCCATCAGATCTTCCTCGGGCTCAGAGTCGGAGTCGAACGAGCGCTTAGCGTCCTTCTGAGCGGCAGGCTCGATGGACTGGAGGTGCGACCGGGACTCTGAATTGAGGAGGTCTGAGATGGAGGAGTTCCTACCCCCACTGGAAGTTTGTGGGTTGGTATTGGTGATGAGCGGCACCATGGAAGATGTGGGCCCCATGATGGAGGACCCGACAGAGGTCCTGCTGAAGATTGAGTTGGAGCCGCCTGTGGAAATGGAGGAGACCGAGTTCATGTTGTGCTGGACGTCGTATACAGAGGGTCTCATTTGCATGATGCGCTGGTGGGAAGGTGGCTGTGGGGGCGGCGTGTTCCTGCGTGGGGTGAGTGGTTGCGAAGGCGCGGGTCTGGAGACGGGAGAGTTAAAGCGATGGGGAGGCAGCGCCGGCGACTGTGGAGCAGGCGACTGCGGGAAGTACTCGTTCGGAATGGACCGCGGCAGGCGCATCTCGTGCTGCATCAGAGGCGCAGACATCTTGGGATACGACCCGGTTCGTCTCTGGTTCGCAACGTGGGGCGGCGCTGGCAGTTGGGGGTACTGCTGGTCGGAATGGAGGTAATATTGTAATGGTACAGGGTTCTGCGGGGGGATTGGCGCTATGTGCGGCGCTGGGGCTAAAGGGTCCAAAAATACCGACGGATATCTGTTTCGGGAGGACGACTGGAAGGAAACCTCAGTGCTATCGCTGATGTGTGTATTAAGCGTCGCATTTCGGGACTTGTGTTCCACGTCCGGCATGGAAGGCAAAACTATGTGACTGTTGTACTCGTATGGTACTTGCTGATGCGACGGGGGCGGCGGCGGGACGTCGGGGTACGGAATGTATACCGTGGGCTGGTACTCCACAGGCTGGTAGAAGTGGTCAGGATGCGGCTGTTGCGGCGGGAAGTACTGCGCAGCGACAAACTCAGTTGCCTGCTGGGACGTAGCTTTCTGGGTGCCCGACGAGCGTCTTTTGATGTAGCAGAGCGAGCCCTCATCGCCCTTGCGGAATCTCCCCGTGGAGTGACGAAACTCCCACACTTGCATATTTTTCAGCTCCTCCTCAGACAAGCTCTCGTTCGGCCTGGAAGGAGGAACCGGAGGAGGGTTGTTGTCGCACACTTTGTGGAAGCCGTACATGTGGAGCTGTCTCACGAAAGACGCAACGTTGCCGTGCTTGAAGTAGCCCGTCAGGGCGTTCGCAAACTCTGCTCCGGGCAGTAACGCAAACGTGGTAAAGTCGTTTTGGTACGTCCGGCTCCACCATATCAGATGGGCAAGCGAGGGATCACTGAGCATGGCAAACAGCTTCTGGACAAACGCCGAGACCTTGGGGGGCGGGGTGGGCTCTTGGTGCTGGCCCAAAGAGGGTTTCCTGTCCGACTGGGCCATAAAAGGCGGCAGTATTGGAGGATGCCCGTGGGAATTCTTAGACATTGCCGAGAACGGGCCGTTTCAGAGACGTGGAGGCAGCAAAATGCAAAAACGAACAGATATTTCACTACCCATACAACTTGCACATCCAGAGGACAGGCGGGAATCTTTGTGTTTTGACAAAAGTATCTTAAGTTTTAACTTTTTTTTTAGACTTGGTCTATTTTTTCGTTTCTTTTTCAACCTAATTTGCCGATATAAAAACTGTTCCAGTCTTTATTTGTATACTGCATACAATAGAGATTATACAAATAACGCCATAATCAGCAATATGTAGACCAATAGGGCGTTTTCCCTGCCCAGATGATGCAAGATCCATTAATGCACCATGCTTTTGTAATAACCTAGCAGCCATCGCCCTTCGCTAAGCGCAGTTGCAAGCTGCGCAAATTGTGCACTGCCTCCCAACGGCTGCAGATTTTTAGTCTAGTGCTCATACCACTGGCTCTTTGTCTATTGTCACTATTTAATTCGCTATCAGACTGTATTGTGCTGCGTCTTCCGCAGCACGCTCCTGCCACTCAGAATATTGTTCACTGTAACCATGTCCGTCCAGTGCATATCCTTGCCCTTTCTGAGCGCCACGTCCGTGTAATTTTCCCAGAGCTTATCTACCTCCTCGAAAATCACGCTTGTGCCGTGGATCCCCACCACTTTCGCGTTGTCGCTCAGAATCAGGTGCTTCTTGCCGTGCTTGTACACAAACTTCAGGTCCGACTCGGAGTGGCCCTTGAACGTCAGGTTCGACCCGAACCCTTCGTTCCACAGCCGCTTTATCGCACTCTGCGCGGCGAAATTCGTTTCCTCAATGTACTGGCATGCCTTGATTGCAAACCGTGCAGCAAGACACCGATCCATTGCGGACGGAACTCTACCTTGCTGCACGTGACCTGGAATAGCTGTGCGGCTCTCAAACTTGCCGCCTCCGCTTTCCCTGATGATCTCGGCTATAAGGCTCGTGCTGTACGTGTCGGAGGCGTTCTCGTTGCGGATGAACATCTTGCCCGACCGGTTGTCGCCCTCGTCCTTCTTGAAATTCTCCGACAGCAACTCCAGGTCCTCCTGCAACGCACGCAGGCTGATCTTCTCCTCCGGCGTGTACACTGCCAATGCGCCTGTAACCAGCCCCGTGTACGACGCAACGTAGCCCGAATTTCCGCCTTGCACTTCCACGACAAACACCCTTCTGCGCGACGCGGACGCACTCTGCTTCACCGCATCGCAGTATTTCACAAGCGTGTTCAAGCATGTGTCAGAGCCCAGCGAATATTCGGTACCGGGAACATTGTTCGAGACCGTTGCAGGAAGGCACACCATCGGCATATTGAAGATGGGATAGTTTTCCTTGGCGACTTTCAGCTCGTGCAGCGAGCGGAACGCCTCGAATCCGCCGATGATGATCAGGCCCTGTATTTCGTACTTCTGCATGTAGTACGCCACCGTGCCCATGTCTGACGACGGCAGCGTCCTGTTCGTGCCGATCTCGGACCCGCCCAGGTTGTGCCACTCCTCCACGTCCAGCCAGTCCAGTTTTCTCACGGCCCCGTGGCGAATCAGCCCGGACCACCCGTTCTGGATTCCGTACGGCGTGTGGCCTTTCGAGAGACAATACAGCGCCGCTGCACGCGTGGCCGGGTTCAGCGTGGCCGTCGGGGCGCCAACGTGCACAATGGCAATGTTCAGCCGCTTCGACTCGTCCACGACCTGCGACCCGTCGTCGTGCTTCGAGATGTCCAGAAAGTTGGCGTAGCTCTCCTTGAACGTCGAGTCGCGCAGTCCCATGGCCTCGTCGAACTTTTTCGCCGCAATCGCCGTTGCCACGCTCTTCGTCAGCTTCACGGCCTCCATCAGCGGCTGCCGCACAATCTTGCCGTCCACAATGCCAATCATCGGCGACGGCGTGTCCGGCGTGCTCTCCAGCACGGCCCGCACCGCGTCCACGCCTTGCATCGTGGCCAGCATCCGGTCAAAGGCCACCGCAGAGCCTCCACGCTGAACGTGCCCCAGCGTCGTGATTCTCGTGTCCAGGCCGATCTCCACCAGGCAGTCCTTGACCTGCTGCGACGTGATGGGCTGCAGCTCGTCGTCCAGAGCACCCTCGGCCACGATCACCGTCGTCTTGCGCCGGCCCTTTTCCCTGTGCCGCAAACACACCTTTTTGAGCTCCTCGCGCCAGCCCTCAGCGCTCGGCGGCCGCTCCGGGATGAAGATCGCGTCGGCGCCGCACGAAATGCCCGCCATCAGCCCCAGCCACCCGCAGTGCCGGCCCATCACCTCCACGACGAACGCGCGCGAGTGCGACGCCGCGGTCGAGTCGATGTAGTCCACCATCTCGCAGATCCGCTCCAGCGACGAGTACGCGCCGATCGTGTTGTCCGTCGACGCCATGTCGTTGTCGATCGAGCCAACAAGCCCGACGATTGTTAGATGGCGGTATTTCGCCGTCTGCTCCGTGCTCAGCTCGCCCGTCGCAACAAGCTCTTCCAGAAGCGACGGCCACTCGCTCCTGAACAGATCTGCGCCCGTCAGAGAGCCGTCTCCGCCGCACACCACCAGCGCGTCGATGCCGCGCAAAACCATGTTTTTGGCCGCCTTCAGCCGGCCCCATCTCTCCTTGAACTCCATGCAGCGGGCCGTTCCAATCAGCGTGCCGCCCAACGACAGCCACCCGCGAACGTCGTCCCAGTCCATCTTGCGCAGCAGGTCGCCGCCCTGCACAAGCCCCGAGTACCCCTCATAACACCCGTACACCTCGCAGTCGTAGTAGATACCGGCCCGCACAACAGCCCGCACAACAGCACACATGCCCGGCGCGTCGCCGCCGGAAGTCATCACGGCGATCCGCTTCTTGGTCGTCAGCACGGTCTCTATGCTGGTTTCCGGCTGCTGCTTGTCGCTCGCCAGTTTTGCGGCATCTTCTCTCTTCCTGTCATTCGGCTGCCGGCTGAATCCCAGTCGGTTGCCAATCGGATCCAGAACGTAGAACTCCACACGGCTCTTGCCCGGCTCAACCCGGTACCCGTTGGCCTCGCACACCGCCCTCACCTTGGACGGGTCCTCGCAATAAAAAACAAGCTCTCCCGGAAGCTCAATGTTTTTGTGCACGTCATGGCTCACTAGTCTCAGCTTGATAATCGATCCCTTGCCGGACGCTCCGCCCGAACCGTGACCCGCAGGATCTGCCGCAGGAAAACAGCTGAACCAGCACTCCTTGCGGGAGTCGTTCGAAACCCCAACCAGCTCGGTCCCTGCGGTGTTGGCGTTTTTGGAGAACGTCTTCACCACAGACAGCCCGAACGACTTGTAGAATTGGATCAGCGCAACATAGTCCTGTGTCTTGGTGGTCACGAACGAGCTAAAATTAAACGACGAAACAAGCGACATACAGTTATCTTTCACGATTTCGCCCTTATATAATATAATGGGTCGATGTCTTCCTGATCACCTCACGTCGCACACTTTTGACCGATGCACACCGCACACCACGCCTCAGACCGGGGCGAAACTATATACTCAGTATTTCGCGGTGTTCTTCTTGAACAGCCCAAACCCGCGTTTTCTGCGCGGCGAGTTCGTCTCCTCGGACGTGTTGGTCATCGCGCGCTCCAGGTTCGTGAACGTCAGCACGTGCGGGATCCGAGGCCGCTCAGCGGTGCCGCCCGCCTCCGACGACGCCAGCTCGCTCTCGCTCTTCGTCTTGTACACTGCCGTCTCTGGCAGCGAGCTCGTGGACCCGGCGTGCGCTTTGGGCGGCTCCACGGACGCCGCCTTGAGACCCTCCGACAGCTCCTTGAGGTCGTGCGAGTCGCGTTTGTGTTTCTTCAGCTGGGCTATCATTTCGCGCGTGTTGATGGCCCGTAGCATCAACTTGATATCGCTCGCCAGCGTGCCCGACTCCACGAGGATGTCAATAATCTGATCAGAGCATGCAGGCGCGTCCGGGTTCATGAGAGCCTTCAGCGTCGGCCATTCTTTGGTCTCCGTAGCCGGTCTTTCGACGTGCGACTCCAAGTCCTTGTAGTGTTGCTCGTTGAGCAGCCCGAACGTTTCTCTGGCCGAATCGCTGCTGCTGTTGCTGCTGCTGCTGTCGTTGGGGGCCATATCGTGCGACCGGATCTTGCTGGCCGAGTGGAACGAGTCCCGGAAGTGAACCTCGGAGCTGGCGAGGCTGCCAGAGTTGGAGTACCTGCCGATCGCCTTCGATGCCCGTTTCAGCAGCGTCAGGTCCATCAGATTATCGTCCAGCGCTGCCAGCTGCTCGGTGAACTTGTCAATCGCAGCGATCCCCGTCCCCTCGCCGTCAACAGGGTGGCAGCTCTTGGCCTGCACCACCAACGCGGCCTCCTTGCGCGCGATAACCACAAACAGGGCTTCTGAGATTAGGTCATACAGCAGCGGCACCTCGTACAAATGGGCAATCATCAGCAGCTCCACGCACGTGGGCACGACTTTCCAGTTGCTGCCTAGCTGTCCCGTGTACAGAAACTCGGAGAATGCACGCACGGTTGCTTTGGAAAACGGCAGGCACAGCGTCCGGGGCAAGAAGCGCGCGTCCATCTTGGCCTCCGCCGCGTCTGGAAAATCGACACTCTCCTCTCTTGGCCGGTCCGACAGACTGGTGTTTGACAGAGGGTCCACGTCCTCCACGCCAGACAGGGCCTGTGTGAGCCGGCTTGTGGAGGCGTCTTTGGGGCCAAACGACGGGCTATGGAAATGAAACGACGGGGTGGACTCGCTTGTGTCTTGCGGCACCTCGGGCATTGGCGGCTGCGGCGGCAGCTCCTCGAGTATGAGCGGCGAGCCCAGCAGGTGATCAGAGGCCTCAGAGACGTCTCTGTTGGAACTGGAAAATGCCGATGACGACGACGAGCTGGAGATCCCAGAGCTTCGGCGGAGGTTCGAGTTTTTCGCAGACATGGAGAGCTTTTCGTACCCGAGCAGGGAGTTCCGTCGCGAGGCCCCCGAGTCTCTTCTGGAGGCGGCAAGCGAGCTGCGTCTGGAGGGCGGCAGAGAGCCAAACCGAGGAGTGCCAGACAGCGGAGACGATTTTCCAGACTCCGAGAATGGGAGTCTGAACAATGGGGCGCGCGACTCGGGCGTCTTTGACGACCTTAGCGACCCAAGGAACTCTGTTTCGGCCGATGAGCTGTCGAGCGAGCTGGGCTCTGTGACTTCAGACAAGGCGTGGCGGTCAGCGAAGGCCCTGGCGTACGCGTCAGCAAGCAGCTTGTCGAAACGGCTCCCCCACCGCTTGCGACACAAGTTGAGCGGCACCGGGATGGAGGTGCCGTCGGCGCAGATGAACTCAAAGTCAGCAATCGAAGTTGACCGTTCAAACGCGTTCTTGCCCAGAGCCACGGCGTACGGAGGAAACACGGACCGAATCGAGTTGGTCATGATCTGTGGCGCAACGTAGTGTGAGTAGGCGGCAAAGCTTGTGTTCTCGGACTTGTCGAGCGGAAGCGACGACGGCAGGTGCTGCGGGGCGGTCTCTGGCGCGTTGCTGAACGCCTTCTCCATCTCTATGCCGTATGTGTTGGTGAACGGCAGCGACACGGCGTTAAAATGCGAGAAATACTGCACGCTGGGTGGCGTCACTGTGGTCTTGCCGTTTCCGAGAAAAACCACCTTGTGGTGCGAGTTCCACACGAATCCTTTGAAAAAGCGGTGCGAGCGCGCAGAATGCGTGCACGATATTTGCAACCGCATCCAGGTGCGCGAGACCCTGTTGAATATAAACAGCGAAATTGAGCTCTCGCCGGGCCGGAACCCTGTGACAATGAGGTTTTCTCCGAAATAGCCCACCGTGGGGTAGTCCAGTTCGAACGGCACCACTTTGGTCGAGTTCGTCGACGTCAGCGACATCACCGTCCCAGCCACGCCCTCGCCGATCGGGAACGTGATGAACGGCTCGTGTTTCTGGTCCGGCTGTTTATGGTAGAGGTATATGGGTGGCACCTGCTGTGTAGAATCGAGAGCCTGAGCCGGGATGGCAGAATTCAAAGAGCTTCGCAACCCTAGGCTTCGTAAACCAGGCACCTCTACCTCCGGCCCGTCTCTGGCACTGTACTTGATTTTTTCACTGCTCTCGTCCTCCTGGACCCTAAACACCAGGTTTGGAAACCACTGCTCGGAAACGAGGTCGTATATGTGCGACACGATAATCTCATGTGCCTCGTCGGATACTCCGCCAAAAAAAAGCAGCCCGTGGTGCGTCGGCCTCTCCACAACGTGTAGTTCCGGGACAAACATCGACATGTGGTCAAACCGTCTGAGGACCACGCTGTTGCCGTCTGGAAGAAGACATTTCCAGGACTTGTCGAACCGGTCAAATCTCCACACGTCATTGAGCGTCTTGAGCTTATTGTGCTGGTCAAAACACAGCCCCCCGTAAACGTACAGGTAGTTGTCGTGCACTATCATAGAATGGAACATCCTGGGTCTGGGCCTCTCGAGTTTATTTTTGGCAGGCAGGTGGATCCACTTGCGGTTTAGCAGATTGAGCGAGAAAACTTCGGGCGAGAGGTACTCGCTGTGGTCGCTGTGCGGATCTGTTTCGCTCGCCACAGCAGCCTCGAACTCCGACTCCACGTCCTGCAGCGAGAAGCCAGCCTTCAACGTCAAAGGCAGCAGCGACCCACTGTAAACTAGAATTCTGGAGCGATAGATGTCTGTGGACGCCCCTGTGCGCACGTCCAGCCGGTTGGCCGGGTTCGTGTCGTGCTCATTGGGCATTTCCACCCAGTAGCACTTGCTCGCAGACGAGGCTAAGGGCGGCATGGGAGCTGAGGGTAATTGAATTTTTAAATAAAAAATATGGGGAAGAAATGCGTGCGCGAACGACCCTGGCTGGAAATAAAATTGTAAATTTAATAACTTGTTCAACAACATGCTGCCATTATATCTACTCACGTCGGTGAAAACACAGCCTATCCTAGTGGAGCTGAAGTCTGGAGAGACGGTGAACGGACTGCTGGAGAACTGCGATTCCTGGATGAACCTGACTCTCAACGATGCCGTCACTGTCGACCTGCACGGCAAACGTTTTGAAAAGGTGCCCGAAGTGTACGTGCGCGGGAACCAGATCAAGTACGTGCGCATGAGTAACGACGTGATCGACAAGTTCAAGGAGCAGAACAGAGGCCAGAATAGACAACGGCCGATGCAGAAGAGACAGCAGAGAAACGGAAGAGATAGAGACCCAAGAGACAGACGGAACGGGAACCAGAGAAGATGAGGACACTACACAGCGAGGAGGGATGCACAGAAAACAACTGCTAGTGCTAATAAAATATAATATTGGTGTATCAATTCGTATTTTTCTTTAACTTGGGTCTAATTTACATTCTAATGTGCATTCCCGGTGGATTGCCGCACTAATGCCGAATTCGTAGACGCAAAGCCGGATCCCTGGACGCAACCCGGACACGGAGCAAGCGGCGAGGCCACTTTCGGTCTGGCCATGTCATGGTTGAAATGTCGTACGTTTTTTGCTATCGAGATGCATGCCACCATTGGCGGGGCCGAGAATTGCTGCAAAAAGATGCAGCCAACGGCAACCAAATTAGCGACATCCAAAGCATCATCGCACGTTGCTGAACATGCATGTATCATCATCGTACAGAGCATGTATGTAGCGATCTTGACGGAGTTCTTTTTCCGGTAAATAGTTCGTTACATAATGTAACCTGCAGTAGTGAACAATAGTGAAATCTTGCAAGCTTGTTGTCACCCTGAATAGATGCTAAAATCCCAGGACCCGGCAGCGGCTGCTAGCAGCAAGCCGGACTCCTAGGCCCGCTTCAGCGGGCCGGATATTAGCGACATTTTTCTGAGGCGGTAGCAGCAAACACCGAATATGGTTGCAGCTGCGTCTGAGCCATTACAAGCTTTGAACTGCTGAAACAAATCCGGACGCCTGTCTCGCTAGATTGCGCGACTTGAATAAGGCTTTCGCAATGCCACTTTCGGCGATCCTCGAAAATTCCGGGCGCCGTTTCCCTGTCGAAGCCTGAGAATTCAAAACTACACGGCTATTGCTTCTGTGGCCTTCTAACCCAGTGGACTCGATTTCTGGGGCTGGCAGCTTTACAGCGGTATTTGTGGCAAGCTAATTGCCGTTTAATATCTGTTTTGAGTGATCTATCCTCACCTCACTGATTGGCAGTGGTGGTTCACAGCTGCGACATATTCTGGCTCCTGGCAGAGCAGTCAGTCACCGACAACCCTCCCCTATTAACAGCTGGATAGCATATAGCTCGGCATAAGAAACCACCTTGTGTCTGTCCTTTCTAGCAGGACGTTGGAGGCAGTTATAGCCAACTACCGTATGGAGGCATCAGAGCTGAAAACCAACGTAGCTCTCATTATTGAGGTTCCGAAGTTTTCTCTGCTTACTCTCGGGTAATCCCGTGTTGACAGCCCGCCTCTAGTCAATAGCTTGATGCAGCAAAGCCTTTCACCTCAGCGTTTGGGTGCTGGAAGATAATAATTTATCAAAGGCTTTCAGATCGCATAGCAAAAATATATCGAGCAAATGCCTCTTGGAAAACGCTGGCCTTGCGGTTCTGTCAGGAACCTGCATTAAAAGGAATGCGATCCCCAAAGTTTAGTGTCCTGCTGATCTGTACACGCTCCAAATGACCCTACTTAGTAAGCCTCTATGGATCAGAATCTGAGTAGAATTCTGGTCATTCCGGGGATATTTCGCATGGCAGTCCAATCTAACGTGAATGGATGATCGTATGCCGAGCTATTACGAAAGGAATAGCCTTTGGAAGGTATAAGATGCCCAATATACTACCAATAATCCTTAAAATGAAAGAGCAGCTTCGGGTTCTCATGGCTCCTTTGGAGATCGCTGCGCCGTTGCCCGGCCGTCTCCCAGCAATGTCGCTTAAGGGCATCTGCCATTTGCAGGCAAAGGTAAATTGCGGGCCCTACATGTTGTCCGTGGCTCCCTGGAATATTAGATATCAGCCTGTACTGAGCGTACTGTTGCAGCGCGAAGCACGGGATACGCGGTCTCTTGCAACCAGCTCTGAATGCATCTTATTCATATTGGGCACCACATACGTAGACTGGCAGAACTTGGTTTGTACAGCTAGGAGCCCCGATTTTCGGAAGCCGCTGAGACACCGTTGCCGAAGACTAAAACAGGTCAAAAGCACGAGATCTATTATCAAGCACCCAATAATTGCAGCCACAGTCTATATTGATATTACACAAGACCGCTATTCCAGGATCCGTGTGACTGGCCTTGCCGTTCTATTTACATATTCATCTGGTGCAATCTCTCAAACCTCTCTCTCTTCCTCTTCTCCTGATTGCTCTGGATCTTGAACCTCCTCTTCAGCTGCGCAAGTTCCCTGGCCTCCTTGAGCCTTTTCTCGGCAAGGTATATTCTTCTTTTGCGCTCTCCTCCGTGAAGTTTCTCGCCCCTCGGGATCTCGTGCAGCTCAGCACCCTTTCTGTATCTTTCCTGCCAATCTAGAATATATTTTCTGGCACGAGGCTCCAGTCCCTGTTCTTTCATCCCCGAAGAGCCCAGTTCCCAAAATTTCTGCCAGTCGTTCTCGAAGGTCTCTGTGTATTCGGACACACCACGGCCAATTTTTTGTAGGAAGGTGCTCACGTCGGGCACTTTCTCCGTCGGCTCTGGCGTCGGAGGCCTGATCGATTTGGTAGCGTAGGTCCCGAGGCGCGTGTATCGCCAGACGATGCTCGACGTGCCGGAAATCAGCGACGTTATCCGGAACATGTTGAATAGTGTATGTCTCGACTTTTTTTTTCAGATTGATTTTTCTGCCAAATATTCAGTGCACATCCCATGTCCCTGGAAAACCTTGACGAGTTGCAGTGGCGGTCGCCCGAATGGGTCAACACGTTTGGTCTCCGCACAGACAACGTGCTGGAGTATTTTGCGCAGTCGCCATTCTTCGACAGAACGTCCAACAACCAGGTCCTCAAAATGCAGAACCAGTTCACAGATACAAACTACTACTGTAAACCTTACGACCAGCTGCTGCAGGACCTGCGCAAAATGAAAGGCATCGAGTTTGTCATTGCGATGGTCGGCGAGCCGGACTTCTGGGTCATCCGCAAACAGAACAGGCTCTCCGAGAACGAGACGGTGACCATCTCCGACTACTACATAATAGGCTCGAGCGTGTACATGGCTCCAATCACGCACTCGGTTTTGTCTAGCCGATTTCTGGCGAGCGTGCTGAGTCTCAGAAACGCAAGCAGCCAACTGCAGGATCTGCCCGCCTTCTCGCCGTCAAACGGCCACCAGTACCTGCTCCAGACGTCCGACTCCAGCGCCCCACATCCGTACACCGACAGTGCGGCCCAGATACCCGACACGTCTGCAAACGCCTTGAGCAACCTGCTGAACCTGTCGCTGCAGAACAACGCGATCGAGCTGGACTCGATGCCGTCGACGGGGATCAGCGAGGCGTCTGTGCGGATGGAAAAAACCGAGAGCACATAAAATAATTAGTTGTGCCAAATAATTTATTTACCCCTCAAAATTATGAGACAGTTTAGTGTGCTCAGACAGGCACAGGAGGTGCTCATTCGCTCTGGAAAAGGCAATCCCACAGGGCTGACGGGGATCCTTCAACACCCCAACCCGCGGCCCGTCCTGATCAAGCTCTACAACTCGACGTTGACGAAGCTGAAGGAGAAGTTTCCTGAGGAAAGCGTCTACCGCAAGAGCGTTGAGACGCTGACCAAGAGCAGGCTGGCCATCGTGGAGGCGAACGACGTCGTGGAGCAGATCGAGCAGAAGATCGGGTGCGGTCTGGTGGAGGAGCTGATCATCCAGGCAAACGAGGAGTACGAGCTGCTACACAAGATGGCCGAGTGGCGGGTCTGGGACGAGCTGGAGGAGAAGCCGCTTCCTGACCAGTGGGTTTACTGGGGCAAGGGGGTTTGATCCCGCGCAAATAGCTACTATTATTTATGGTTGGCAGAGTAGAGCTTTTTCCGGGCAGGAAATATTTTCAGCAGATATTTGTATGTTACGGACTTGTTTTGCACGGCCAGTTGTGAGACCTTTTGTTCGGACCTACTTTCCGCGGAAGAGACCCAGCATGTTCAAAATCAGCGACATTTTCAAGCCCAAGGTGGAGGTCCAAGCGGACGAGCTCGAGGAGCTTAGGCCTGTCAACGGCAAGTACGACCACCTGCTCCCGATCGTGTGGATTGACTGCGAAATGACCGGCTTGGACCTCTTGAACGACCATATTATCGAGATCTGCGCTTTGGTCACCGACAAGCATCTCCGGCTCATCGACGAGGTGGGGTTTGAGGCCGTGATCCACTACCCAGAGGAACGCATGAACCAGATGGACGAGTGGTGCAGGACGCACCACGGCGACTCTGGGCTGACGAAGAAGGTGATCGAGTCGTCGAATACGCTCCAAGACGTGGAAAACCAGCTGCTGGCGTATCTGAGCAAGTACGTGTCGAAGGGTGTGGGGATACTGGCTGGAAACAGCGTGCACGTCGACAGACAGTTTCTGTGCAAGGAGATGCCGAAGATTACAGACTACCTGACGTACCGCATCATCGACGTGTCGTCGGTCATGGAGATTTCCAGGAGACACAACCCGCGGGTGAACGAGTACAGCCCAGAAAAGGTGGGCGCGCACACTGCGCGGAGCGACATCCTCGAAAGCATCAACCAGCTCAAATACTACAGAGACGTGTACTTCAAGGGCCCCGGCGAGGTGGATTTCGGCAGCCGAAAGCGGCGGCATGCATAGGCCTGGCTAGTAAAAGCGGAATGCCACAAATACAGCTGTCTATTTTTAGGACGATCGACGCAGGCGTACTTTTCGACGCCAGCCGCAATAAAATCTTAAACATATATAAACTTTGCCCCAGATGAACGTCGAGCCTTTTCCCGCCCCCTCGTCGCCAGAAAGACTGACCGTGTCGCCAACGTCGTCGCACACCGCCAAGGACCACCGCCGCAGACGCTCGTCGTCGCTGATCTCGAAGGTGGAGCCAGAGACTTTCGAAACCAAACAAGACCAGGACATTCAGTCCAATATGAACGCCAACTGGGTCCATTTCAAAGGCGCCTGGATTATCCACATCGTGATAATAATACTGCTCAAGCTGTTCTACGACCTGATCCCGATGTTCAACAACGAGTGGAGCTGGACCCTGACAAACGTCACCTATGTCATAGGCTCGTATATCATGTTCCACCAGATCAAGGGAACGCCTTTTGACTTCAACAACGGGGCCTACGACAACCTCACCATGTGGGAGCAGATCGACAACGGCGACCAGTACACCCCGGTCAAGAAGTTCCTGATGGGAGTTCCGATCTTTCTGTTTCTCATCTCCACGCACTACTCGTACTACGATCTCAACCTGTTTGTTGTGAATCTTGTTGCCTGTCTGTGCGTCGTGATCCCGAAATTGCCTTACAGCCACAGAGTGAGAGTCAACATCCCCTACATCACAGACCAAAATTAAGCTAACTATATAGCAATAATACCGTTCTAGTATACATTCACAGCCGCTTGCGCGTGATTCTGCGCACCTTCACGAACCGCGCCAGGATCTCGCTGCGCGCCAGCACCTCCTCTGGCGGACAGTGGAATTCGCGTTCCAGCTTCTCGGGAGCCAGCATCCGTTTGTCTTTGGTAGCGCGATATAGACGCAGATACCGCGAGAGACGCGTCCATTGGGCTCTGCTCCAGCGTTTGGCATGTCTCAGGTCGCGAGCAGAGCTGCGCGGACTAGACCCGGCGCTGGGCTCTGTAGTCTCTGTAGTCCGCTCCAGATAGCGCTCTGCGCTGTGCTCGACGCTTCTCTCTGGACTGCGCGCTGGACTCTTCGGGGCTGTTCTCTCCTGGGCCTCCGTCCGCCCCCCACTCGGCACATGGCCCCCCGGCTCGGCCTTTTCGCGGCGTCTGCGCTCGACAAAATCCGCCACGCGGAGAATCGTCGCTTCGGCGTCCACCTCGTCCCGCACAGACTGCTCCACCATCAGACTTTCGCCCTGTTCCTTGTCTCTTTCGTCCTCGGAGTCCTCAAACTCGCTGCTGATGTCCACAATCGGCGCTTCCTGACAGTCCAGGCCCTTTAGGCCGTCCGCTTCGTGCAGCGGACTCCCAGGAAGCTTGATAGGAGACATGACGCTCGAATTGTAGTCGTTGTAGTTGTAGCTGCCTGCGTCGCTGTCGACCCCGTCTAGCTGGACGTCGTCGTCCAGATCCACAGCAGGCTCTCTGCGCACGGGAGTGCCTGCGTGCAAAGGCCCGTTTCCCTTGGTCTTCAAGGGCACCTTCGAAACGGCGAACGACGCGGTGCTGGCGGGCGAGTTGCCGGTATCGGGTGTGTGCAATGTAGTTTTAGGGCTGCTGGGCTCGGATCGCCGCGAGGTCGGGTACTTGAACGGCGAAAACTGGATCCGTGGTCGAGCCATGAGTTAGATTAGGTAATTTGTTTAGGAAATCGCATATCGCTTGGATAATCCGTCACGTGATATAGCTAGTGCAGCGGCCGCGTAACAGCTGCCAATGCAACGTCCCATGATGAAGTGGTCCGTAGATCTCTGCAGTAGTGGGGACAGAGCCCACTCGTGTGAGATTGTGGGTCGCAGTCTACTACTTCAGCAAAGCCAGCTCCGGTAGAGCTTTTGGCTAGAGGTGGCCAGTAATTCTCCCTTGGAGCGTGATTCAAGTCTTCCGAAATATATGTTGTTGCTGTGAAGCACTAGATCTTTGCACTGAGGCAAGATCTGCACACTTTTCTACGGGTTTCGCGTGGTTGTACAAAAGATTACATTATTCTACAGGTACGATTTCAGCACGTGGCAGCCCATGCGCAAGAGAAGGCAAGAGATCTGAGCTTCGTCACCGTTGGGTTTGTCATAGGGAAGCTTAAAGTCTTGAAAAGTTAGTGCAGGCACCGATAAATTTGCTGGGTAGGTGTTATGGTGAGATAGCTCGACCTGCTCCAGACCAAGAAATCACCAAGCCGAATGTCAACCTCATCGACCAGTATAGTTGTATGGATCCAATCATGGCCCTTTCTTGCCCCAAACATCGTGTTATGGGGCTGACGGTCCGCCAACAAAGCAGGTATTTGTCTGAGACGATTGTTTTTTTGCTACCACGGGAAGTCCACCGCGTAGCTAAAAAACTGACTGGAGGCAGTCTGATAATGCCGCCCCAGATAAGATCTGTGCTAGTGTCCAGAGACGTTGAGCTGGTGTGAGTAGAGCAAACTGGGCGGAGTTTCATAGGCATTCACAGAGCGCCTCTATACCTGTCGCTATGTCCGACATAAAGTATCCTAGTGCTCAACTGCTCTGTGCGCTATCACTGCCGGTTTTCCCTACACAGCCCGAACTATTTTTTTTTCATTTTTTGTCCTTAAAAAATTTTATCCCTGCTTATATACAATGGCTACTGGGAAAACAGAAAAGGCCCGTCGGGTGCGCCAGAACGACTTGCGGGATGGTAACCTCAGAGTCAAGGGAGAAAACTTCTACAGAGATGCAAAGAAGGTGAAGCATCTGAACATGTACAAAGAGGGCAAGGCCGTGAGAAATGCCAAGGGAGAAGTTATCAAGGCAGCCTACTTGCAGGACACAAAGGCCCCAACGGCCAGAGTGGACCCGAACAGACGGTGGTTTGGTAACACCAGAGTGATTGCGCAAGACGCTCTGACGCATTTCAGAGAGGCCATGGGCGACAAGAAGGACGACTCGTACACCGTGCTGCTGAAAAGAAACAAGCTGCCTATGTCGCTCTTGGACGAAAAGGACACGAACGAATCTCCGAGCGCGCGTATTTTGGAAACGGAGTCGTTCGAGCACACTTTTGGCCCTAAGGCCCAGCGCAAGAAGCCTACCACAGTGGCTTCCTCTCTGGAAGAGCTGGCTCAGCTCACCTCTGCCGAACAGACGCAGTACGAGGAGAAACAGGAGCTCAAGCCCACGCTGGGGCTTATGGGAGGTATCGACACCGACGAATTCAGCGCGGAGGCCAAGGAGTTCATTTTTTCCAAGGGCCAGTCCAAGAGAATCTGGAACGAACTGTACAAAGTGATCGACTCGTCGGACGTGGTTATCCACGTGCTGGACGCGCGTGACCCGCTAGGAACACGGTGCCAGTCTGTTGAGCAATACATCAAGAAGGAGTGTCCTCACAAGCATCTGATCTTTGTGTTGAACAAGTGCGATTTGGTTCCCACATGGGTGGCTGTAAGTATACTATTTTTTCCACGTTTGAATGGCACCATGCTACCAAAGTTTTTTGTCAGGATATTCCATCCGCCAATATGGTCTATCTGTTACGACTTTGGGAGATCATGTTCGCCAACGGTCGGTCGGTGTCGTTTTGACGCCGGCCGACATCCTGCTGTGCTCCGTTTTGGGGCCGCAACATGGTGCTCTGGGCCTTTATGAGTTGAAGGAGTCTTAGACACCGGCTTCTTCGTAGTAAAAGGCCCGACATTCAAACGTGCTTCTCTCGTTTTACTAACTGTTCAGGCGGCGTGGGTGAAACACCTGTCCAAAGACTATCCAACTCTGGCGTTCCATGCCAGCATCACCAACTCGTTCGGTAAAGGATCACTGATCCAGCTGCTGCGTCAGTTTTCCGTCCTCCACCAGGATAGAAAACAGATCAGTGTTGGTTTCATAGGGTATCCAAACACGGGAAAGTCCAGCATCATCAACACGTTGAGGCGCAAGAAGGTGTGCACGGTGGCTCCTATCCCGGGAGAAACCAAGGTGTGGCAGTACATTACGTTGATGAAGCGAATCTTTTTGATCGACTGTCCGGGAATTGTGCCTCCGTCCACGAAAGACACCGAGGCAGACATTCTGTTCCGCGGTGTTGTGCGCGTGGAGCACGTTTCGAACCCAGAACAGTTTATTCCGGACCTTCTGGCCAAGTGCGAACGCAAACATCTGGAGAGAACGTACGAGATCAAGGGTTGGAAAAACGCGACGGAATTTATTGAGCTGTTGGCGCGCAAGCACGGAAGACTGCTGAAAGGGGGCGAGCCCGACGAGAGCGGAGTGGCCAAGCAGGTGATTGCCGACTTCAACAGAGGAAAGATTCCGTGGTTTGTGCCGCCTCCAGAGGACACCGAGGAGCGCACGGGAGTGGACAAAAAGGCAGCGTACAAAAGAAAGCGGGCGGAGCGTGAGGAGCGCGCCGTGGCAGAGCAGCAGGCGGAGTACGAAGCCGAGCAGGAGGACGACCTGCTGCCAAAGAAGCAGCGAACCGAATAGCGGGTGTAATTATTATTTCCGGTGTAAGGATGCGCGCGGGTCTTGGTAATTGTTGGAGTCCATAGGAATATAATTTGATTTTTTGAAGGCAAGCATGGCGAACCAGATGAATATGCGATTCATGTCGCAGTTCCTGAACAACCCCGAGCTGCTCCAGCAGGGGTCCGGGTCGGGCAGTTTGCCGCAGCAGCAGAAGGTGGGCATGATGATGTCTCCGCAAGTCCATAACAGAAGCATACAACAGCAGGTGTTGGCGGCGACGCTCCAGCAGCAGCAGCAGCAGCAGCTATTGCAACAGGTCCAGCAACAGCAGGCGATGCTGGCAGCTCAGCGGCTCAGTCAGCAGCAGTTACAGCAGAAACAGCAGCCTCAATCGCTTCAGCCCCAGCCGATGGTGAGAGAGGTGTGGAAAGACAACCTGGAGAGCGAGATGATGGTCATACGGGAGCTTGCCGAGCGCTACAACCACATCTGCGTGTCCACAGAGTTTGCCGGGATTGTTGCGCGGCCGATCGGGTCGTTTCGGTCGACAAAGGACTACCACTACCAGACGATGAGATCGAACGCAGACTTATTGAATCTGATACAAATAGGCATCACATTGAGCGACAAGGATGGCCGGCGGCCTGAGGGTGTTCCGTCGACGTGGCAGTTTAATTTCAAGTTCGACTTGGACGAGGAAATGTACAGCAGAGAGAGCATAGAGTCGTTGATTACGACGGGGCTTAATTTCAGCAGGCTCAAGGAGTTTGGTATCGACGTGTTTGAATTTGCGCAGGTTTTGACGGACAGCGGGCTGTGTCTGATGAAGGACAACGTCTGGATCAGCTACCATGCGGGCTACGACTTTGGGTTCATCACGTCACTGCTCATCAACAGAAACATGCCGACGAGCGAGGAAGAGTTCGAGGAGTGGCTGGGCCTCTACTTCCCGACTTTTTACGACATCAAGTACATATCTGTCTCACGTGTCGGCGGAACGCATAAGACACGGTCGCTCGAGACGCTGGCAGAAGAGCTTGGCGTCATCCGCAACGTGAACCATAATCTGCTCCAAGTGGGAGGACAGTCGATGCTGACACATCTGTGTTTCTGGGAGCTGCGCAGGCTTGTGGGCGAGAAGGAGGTGCGCCAGCTGGCCAATCACATCTGGGGATTTGCCGATGACAAGACGCAATTCACTCCCGAGCAGAAGATGATGTATCTAAATAGATAGTGTAGAAATTCTTAACGTTTCCATTTTCGCTCGCTTTTTTTTTTTTTGTCTATATATTTTTTTCACATTTTTCACCTAATGTCGGATATCGACCAGGACCCAAACCGGGTCGCCATAGCATTCATTGAGTACTACTATAATCTCATCCACTCGGGCACGGAAAACCTGTACCAGCTGTACTCGCAGAATGCCGTTCTCAGACACGGCGACTACAAGGCCCCGCTGAGCGCGGACGTCGTTGCTGCTGAGGGGCCGGCAGAGATCAAGGCACACTGGGCCAAGTCGAAGCTGGCCGGGTCTAAAGTGATGATCCAGTCGATAGACGCCTCCAAGTCGTTCCAGGAATCGATTCTGATTGTTTGTGTTGGCGAGCTGGCTCCCAAGAGCAGCCACGACACAGAGTCTGTGGCATACAAGTTTGTGCAGACGTTTCTGCTCGTTCCGACCGTCAAGCGCAGCGTCTACGACGTGTACAACGACGTGCTGAACTTCCTGCCGGACGTCGACTCCAACTACGATCCCGAGCCGGAGTCCGCGACCGAGACCCCGGACAGCGCAGAGAAAGGCGAGGTGTTTTCCGTGCAAAGCAAGGAGTCCACCCCGGAGACCGGCGAGGGCGAGGAGGAGGAGCCAGAGCAGCCAGAGCAGCCAGAGCAGCGGCCAGAACGGCCTGTGACGTCGAAGCCGATGAGCTGGGCTGACCAGATCGCGTCTGCGGCAGCTAAGAAGGTTGAGGCGAAGAAGACCAAGGAATCGAAGGAGCTGAAGGAGGAAAAGAGAGAAAGAAGAGACGAGAAGAAGGAGGACGAGAAGAAGGAGGACAAGAAGGACAAGAAGGAGGACGAGGAGTTCAAGAAGCACAAGAGCCGGATGGTCAACAAAAAGGGCCAGGTTGTGTACCCGATCTACGTGAAGGGTGTTACGAGTGCTATCACCGAGGAGGAGCTGCAAAAACACCTCGAGGAGAATTTCGGCAACGTCGACCTGTGCAAGATCGACCGGATGATCGCTCTGGTGAACTTTACGGAGCAGAGCTCACAGAAAAAGGCCATCAAGACAGGCGCAATTCACGTCAAGGGTGTTGAAATCAAGCTGGAGCCGCGGGCAAAAAAAGATGCGGCTCCCGTGGTGGCCAAGAAGAAGCGGAAGGGAGGCAAGAACGGCGGAGTCAGCGAGGACGGGTTCAGAAAGGTGGGGAAATAGTCTCTGGTAAATAGCTACAATACCTGTATGAGTATATCCAAGTGTATATCATTAATGAAGAATTTCATCTAAAACACTCTGCTGGGTCTGGACGTCGTCGACCCTGATTTTTTTGAGGTCGAGCTTTCTCAAGGCAGCAATGATCTTGTCCTTGGGAAAGCCCATATCTTCGAAGATCTGGACGGTGGCTCTGTCGATGCCGTACTTGGCGCACTCGTCCTGCTCCTGGACTTTGGACTGCTGCACAAACTCGTCGTAGTTGGAACCTCCCTTTTCTGGCTTGTAGTTGTCATTAGGGGCGTAGATCTTCGTCCAGTTGGCGGCCGTCTCCGCAAACTTCTTGGGGTCGCTCATGTACACTTTTGCCACCTGTGCGTCCTGCGGATCGGTTGGCTCTGGGCTCTGCAACAGGGACTGCAGAGAGATCAACGACGACTTGAGGGTCAGAATCGGCGTCCATGCGTCCTTCAAAATGTCCAGACAAATGGCTCCTGTCTGCGAGGAGATGTTCGGGTGGTAGATTTTGGTGTCGAACTTGATTATTGGCGGCTTAAACGGGTATGCATCGGGAATCTGGATGTCCACCTCAAACAGCCCGCCCTCGTACGGTGTTCCCGGAGGTCCGACAAAAGTGCCCTTTAAATGCGAAAGGTCATCCTCCGACACAAGCGAAAGAGTCACGCCCGACAGCGCGTCCTTTTTCACGTCCTCCAGCTCCTTAGCAATTCTCTTCACCCTGGACATTAACAAGAATTTAATAAATAGTTGACGCTAATATAATCGTCGCGTCGAAATATTTTTTCTTCACCAGTGTACGTACTACAGAACATCCCGCTCCTGGCCGGCCAGCCCTTCCAAAAACGCGTGGTCTGTCTGTTTGCGCGTGAACACGTGCTTGATGAGGAAAATCAGCATGAACACCACGCTGAGACCGCCCACAACCAGGTAGCAGATGCCCAGGCTGAAATGCCGTCCGCCCAGCACGCTCGACGTGGACAGGATCACGCTCTTCGTTCCGCCGAAAATCGACACCTCGTATCTCATGACAATGTCCATCGTGTACGTGCCCTTCGCCAGCACGTCGCTGCTTTTTCCGTAAAGCTTCATGAACGACGGCAGCGCAGCGGTCTTCATCCAGTTCATGAATCGCTCATCCTTAGCCAGCGAGTCCAGGTCCTCGTCAGAGTATCCGTCCGGATACTTCTCGATCCAGTTCAGCGGCGGAACGATCTCCGACGTGTTGTATTTTGTCCTCTTGTACAGCGAAAGGTCCGACTTCCACGCAATCCCCTTGGCACTGAAGTCGTACTCGCTGCCCGAGGACGAGGTGAGACTCGAAAACGAGTCGTTGAACATCGAGTTCGCCACCAGTCCGCAAGGATACACGATCTTGTCGTCACGGTAGCGCATAGGCGAGCAGTCGGAGCTCACCTCATCGTACGGAACAGCGTTTCCGCGCAGTTGCTTCCAGTCGTAGGACTCCACGTATTTTCTGTGATTTTGGTAAAAATTGGTCAGTTTATAGTACAGGTACAACGGCCCGTGGATGTCGCCCGGAACATCGAATTGGATCGTGCACACGGTGTCTGTCTCGTTGATGGTCTTCTTCCACTGTATTTTGGACGACTTGCCGCCGCTGAAATGGTAATTGACATACTTTGATGGCACGTCTGCGAAGCTGCTGGACGCCAGGTCGGCGCACTTGCCGTAATTGATTTCCAATTTCTGAATGCTGTACGTGGCAAAGACAAAGCCGATGCCGATGGGCACGCAGATCAGTGCAACAAGAAGCAGCAACGGCAAAACGACCCGGGGAACAAGGATGGGCTGCCAGGCCTTGAGCCGCTGTTGTCGGAACGCAGTGTTGGGCGGCCGGCGGCTCCTCGTAAGCGTCGAGGTGCTCTCTTTGAACGAATCGTCTGCGTCGTCGTCCGAGGAACCCACTAGTCGACGTCGCAGAGTAGAAAACATATTGAAGTCCAACTTTTTTTTTTTGCTAAGCCGTGTTAGAAGTCTAGTTACATAATCAGAAAAGTATAGAATCATTAACTCGCATTCGGCGAGTTCTTAATGTACAACAGTAATGTATTGAACAGCCGCTCGTACTCGAGACTGGCCTTGGTGAACGGCAGGTCAAAGAACGCATACTCGCTGTTCTTCAGCAGCTCAGTAAACGTGATCAACAGGCCCCAGGGATGAGGCTTGTTGCACACAATGCGCTCCAGGAGCACACGGGTGATCAGCTGCTGGACATCGGTCTTTTTCGTTCCCCATAACGAAGTCGAGCCGAAGAAGTGCAGCACCACACAGCTGAACCAGTGGGTGTGTGCATTTGGGTACCGCAAATTGTTCACTATTCCTTGCAGCAGCAAATATTGCAGCTCGACAGGCCCCTCCTGGATCAGCGAGCTCAGAATGCCAACATGCACAGATTTTGAGTTGAACGCCACGCCGCTGTTTGTACGCTCTTCCACGGCACAGATGCCAACGTACAACGTCAATGCGTTGATTAGCTTAACATTGTATTTTGTCTGTTTGAAACCTATGCCCGCCTCATCAACGGCCTCCGGAAGCTCCAACGCTGTCACGATTTGCTTGAGTGTGGCTGCCGAAGGCATGCGCATATAAGAGTCCACCAGCTTCTTAAGATTTCTCTCTTGCAGGATCAGGCCCGGCGGGCTCAAAATCGGAGGAGACACAGCAATATCTGGAAGTCTATCCACCTTGAGGCCAGGCTGGAACGGATCTGGGATGTCCATCTTGGGCGGAGCAGCAGAAAGAACAACGTTCCGCAGTTGGACAAACGAGGGAGACATTGCGCTCACCAAAACGTTGGCGGACTCCACGAGAAACTGTGGGAAATCATGCAACAGAACGAGGAACACACGCAGTGTTCCCTTGTAGACCACAGATATAGCCTCAGGAAGCTGCTTGTCCCTGACGTACGTGCTCTCAAAACGAAGCAGGGACACCAAAAGCGATGCAAACTTGGCATGGTTTGTTTCAGAGTCCTCTTCCAGCTCCAAAATGATTGGAAGGAACATACGATGAGAAATCAAACAGACCCAAGCAAAGGTGAAGCCTGGGAAGGCGTCTGGTTGCAAAGCTAAGAAGAAGTCGCATAGAATGTGGTAGAATTTGACGTTGAACTTGTTGAGCTTCTTGATGTCCGGTTCGTTGTCTGCAACGGAGGCGTAGTTCTCATGAGTCAAAGTTGCCCAGTTGCACAAAAGTGTAGAGAAGAACCTGAAGTATGGCCGCTCATTGAAGTTAGCCTTGTTGGCCTCGTGGTCATGAGCAAAAACCAGAAGAACCACAGAAAGCGCAGATTTGAAGAAGTTGACGCGAGCTCCTGCAATGTCATCCTGAATGAGAACCAATTGGATGAGAAGCTCTGCAAACGCATCAATGGCAGAATAAGACTCAACGACCAGCTTCTTTGAGGCATCGCTCTCTTTCACAAACGAAAGAACAGACATCTCCATGGCAGTGGTGAAGAACAAAACAAAGTAGTCTGGTTTGGTCAGCACATCAAGATCGTAAAGTTGATTGAGGAAATCCAGTTGCGATTCCTTGGAAGAATTGCCAAATTTGAGCAATTTCACCCACTCGGCAAATATGTATGCGAAATAGTCTTTGAGTTTGGTTGGATCGTGCATCAACGTCTTGAACTTCTCAATCTGTAAGTCAACTTTATTGTCCAACTGTCTGAGGAGTTCCTGAGTCAAGACACTCTTTTCCACAATCTCCCTGTCGAGTGACTTTACAGCGGTAATAGTATTTGTAAAGTCGGATCTCAAGGCCGTAGGAGTTGTCCCAAACACCATGTCGAGAACTAATCCGGATGCAAAATTGAGCACCATTTCATCCTTTCTGTTGACAAGAGCCTTGGAAATACTCAAATCCAGATCACCTAAGGACACCATTCCGATCTGGACGAGCGAAGCCATCACTTTCCTATTAAACTTTCTTGGGTCTTCAGCATTGATCAACCAAGTGGTGACGAACTTGGCAACGTATGACGACAGCTCACAAGACTTGTCAAGAAGGAAAATGAAAGCCTCCACAAATAGCTGCGAAGCATTCTGTGCACTGAACAGAGTGTTCATTACCACCTGTGCAATCTTCATTTGCAACTCGTTATGGTTCAATCTGCTCAGAAGTTGGATTAATTCGGTCAAGTACGATCTCAAAGGATGGTCAATGGCAATTTCTCTCAGATGAATTTCCTTCTCCGGAGTCTCTTCTATTGACTTCACAACGGCCTCTAACAGCTGCTGGATGTAAATAAAGGACTGCTCGAGGGTACGTTGAGGTTGCTCACCAGGTAAATGCGCATGTGCGGCATCGGCCGGGCTACCGGCTGTAAGAACAGCAGAGCTATTTGTAAGGCCTTGTGCTTGCAATTGCAATATTCTCTGAGCCATGGCAGCTTGGTCAACACCAGCGTTCACTGAAGGAGGTGTAGCGACAGCCTCCGGAGCCATGCCTGGGGCAACGCCACCTGAAGCGGCATGAGTTCCACCCAAACCTGCAAAACTGGTACTGTTCTTAGGTTTTCCAAATTCCGAATAGATAGAGAATTGTTTTGCAGTGACTCCGTTGGGTTTGATTCCTAATGGGTCCGGAAGAGACATAGCATATCTGGAAGCATGCTGGGTGTCACAGAAGGCCTGGTCCGGTCTAGAGTCTCTAAATTGTCTTCTCAAAGCAATGGATGGTAGCATCATTTCGTCCAGATCCTGAACTGACTTTTCCATTGCAGCCTTTTGGATGATAGAGCAGGCCAAATCCAAGTTGTCGTTGATGGCTCTTGGCAGATCCTCCAAAATAGCGGCATCAATATGTTGGCCTAGAGAGCTGATGTATTGATGTAGATTCAACTGAATGTTCTCCCTCAATAGATCTCTGCAGGATGCATGAGTGAGAGACTCCGAAAGATGTCTTACAGTGTTGATGTAAGCCTTCCTGAGCTTTAGTTCGTCCACTTCAAATGCAAAATCCTTCAAGACCAAAGACTTCGTAGTCACGAGAGCAACAGAGTTGGTCCTGCTCACAACAGGAGGCAAAATCTCACGCACTGCCTTAGTAATTGCAAATTGGAACAATCTTCTAAGGTTTGGATGCGTTACAAACACAGAGTTTCCATTCAAGTTCTCAAATGCAGAACCTGGTTGCTGTGCAACACCTTGACCAGAAGTAGGCATGTTGCTGTTAACTGCAGGTGAGCTCGACGAGGAAACTGGAGCACCAGGAATTTCGGACTGCAGATGCTGTTGCGGTTGCGATTGCGCGCTGGCCATGAGACGTTGCTGCTGTAGTTGCTGGAGGACATTGAGTTGTTGCTGGGCAGTTTGCGGGGCGCTCTGTGGAGCAGTCAGCACCGATGGGTTGAGGTTGGCTAGAGGCGTGGCTGGATTGCCCACGAGATTTTGAGGGGTCGACTTTGTGTCTTCCAAAGACATTCTTGCGAGCTTGATAATCACCTTTTGGGACTCCACGAAACGCTCCAGTTCTCCTGGTTTATGGTTTCTGATGGTAGTAGCCGCCTCAACTTTGTTAAGATCAACCTTCAAGGAGTTGCAAACAACTTCGATCTCGAACTTGAGAGTCAATTTGAGATTGGCAACATTATACAACTCCTTCAACAGCTGCAAAATTCCCAACAACCATGGATTTGGATACTCGAAAACCTTTGATGACTTTGTTTGGTCAATTACTTTGCAAACAAAGGGAATCACAATCTCCAACCTCTTGTGGTCATAAGCCTCCACCAACAAATCCCTGAACGATATGTTTTTATGTAGGATAGGTTTGTCCCTAGTTAGCGTTAAACGGCCAAGCCATGCACCCAAGTTTTTCAAATGCGATCTTTCCGTGGATGTCAAAATATCTGCAATATCCTCCGGCTCGGTTGATTCGCGAGCCTTGTTTAATAGTAGCACGATTTGCTGAAAAGTGGCCTGAAGTAGATGTGCATCGAACAACGTGGAATCAAAGTGTTCAGCAATACGTCCATATAAGGCATGATAGTTTGGCTCCAACTTGGCACGCTGATTGACCAGGTAATTGGAGAACCAATTGTAATACTTTGCGTCCAAGAGCTCCTTTAACTCCAACAAACGCGTATCGGCGTTATCATCTGTTAGATTGTTCACCATAAATAGCACTCTATCCAAAGTCTCTGCAGCAGGACTCTCCTGTCTAACATCATCAAAAATCTTGCCAGGCACCTGAATAGAAACCCATTTGGAAACATATTCAGATGGATCTAGCTCTTTGGCTTTCTGGTGGGGAGTCGAAATATTGGCGTTGGAATTCTGCGGTGAAGCCGATGGTAATGATCCCCCCGCTGCAACCGTTTTGCATGCCTCATAAAGCTGAGGCTGGCTCTTTAAAGCGGGTATTTCGCAAAGCATAGCACAGAACTTTGGGAACTCGGCAAGACGCTTCATGAATGAGTACAAGGCCTGAACTGCAAACTTGAACATCTTGCTTTCAGGTGGCTGTCTGACCGAGTCAATGATATATCTTAGTGCAATGGAAAGGGCAGGCCCTTCGACAAGTCGAAAAAGGATGGTGCTTCCAAATAGAACAGAAGTGGTTGCAAGTGCGTCCACAGGGTATTCAGGGAAAAATCTATACTCGTCCAGAAGGGAGTGGATCATGCAGGCAAACACATCTTGGTCATGAGGATTGTCACTTGCTTTCAGTCTTTGAAGCATATTGATAATGTCTTTGATCTCGATTTCCTTGTTGTACATCTTTTGATAGTACACTTTCATTTCTTTTTCAACGTCAATGGAGAACGTGTTCGTGGAGCTGTTCATCAAAATGGCGGTGTCATGACCCTGCCCAAAGTTGATCAATCTAGGATAGGCCTGCAAGCACAAAGCCTGCAAATTCCTGAATTTCTCAAACAGTTCTGGTGGCAACTGCTTACTCGCCAAAGTGGTCATCAAGAAATAAACTGTCTCTAGGTTCAGAGATTTGGCTAGTCGATGGCCTTGCTGTGCGCTTTCATACTCTAAGGTGGCTTGTATTTCCATGAATTCGATGATTGTGCCCGCAACAACGCTGATATTTCTATCAAGCTGGGTCAACACAAATTCCTGGAAACGTTTCCACCCATATTGGGAGAATATGATAGCAAACGAGAATGCGTCTTTAAAATCGACTGAATTAGAGAGGATCGACATAATGACCGTATCACGTTTGAAGGACGCAGTAAGACTGGCGATCTTATGTATCGAATCAGTGGACTTTCTCACCTCGTAATATTTGACCAGCAACTTGCCCAACTCAACAGGATTGAACTCCTCAAATTTAGTAAAAATGGCACTCAAATATGGAGAGCTCACATCCAGCAGCGAAACAATAAAGTTTTGCATTATATTGACAATCACATCATTTTCCTTGGCCTCTGGCTCATCGTGCAGAATATAAATACATGCCAGTACAATGTACTCTGGAGCAGCTCTGTAGTCTCTGGCAAATATGTTGCTCACAACGGTGTCATTAATGTTCTCGTTTTGGAGAAGAGCAATCGTCTTAACCTCGATCTTGACAATTGATTTGAAATATAAAAGCAAATTTCTCGAATTGACCTCTGATGATAGGATCGGCTCCAGATTGTAGTCAAGCAGGTTTATCGACCCCTGACTAGGATCTAGAGAATTTAATTGAATCAGCAAATCTTTCAGCAGTTGGGGATTGACAGATTTACATGCCGTTGAGAGGAACAAATCGATAAGATCTTCCTTTTCTAATGCAGACAAAAATTCGGAAAGCGATGCAGTGGTCATGGTCGTAGCTGTTGAAGTGTTTTTCAGCACAAGGTCAAACACATGTTGCCAGTTTGGCTGTGTCTTCAATCTATTAATAACGTTGGCCATTTGGGCTCCTCTTGCGGTTGCCTCAGGAACGCTAGCAGGAGTGAGTGCCGTGATGGCGTCGGTGTTAGCACCACACAGTCTCTGTGAACCAGGATATAATATCTCTGACATCAGGATGGCGATAGCCTCGTCCAGTTGTGCCTCTGGTTGAGCTGCGAGTAAGTCCGTGAGCATTTTATTAGGAAGTAATTTCGATGGCTCGAAATTCTGTAGCACTTCTCTGAACTCCATCTTGCCTAACTCAAAGAAATAGTTGTCAATTTCCTTGTGCACTAATTGATGGAGCTTGCTATTGTCGATTTTCTTCAAAATGTTGACCAAGTGTTCAACAATCAGTAGTTTGTGAGGTGCTGTGAAAACTTTAGATTCGAGAAATAACCGAAGGAATCTCCCGTACGCAGCAGCTTCTTCTCCTTGGAGATTATTTTTCTCCGATAAATGATTCAGATGTTGAACAAGACCCGGTAGATTTTGTTGATAGACAGGAGCAAATTGTTCAGATATCTCTCTCCAGTATTGAGATTTAGTATTCTCGATATCAAGAGTGGCAAACACGGTCTGGAATCCAGATAAGCCAAGTTTATTGTAGATGTCCGATAGTGTGTATCTGGATGAATTCTTCAGGAACTCGCAAACGGGCCCAGCAAAAGACTCCAGATGAGAAACGTCCGTAGAAGTGTACTTCCCGAGCTCTTCTTTGAGAATCTGTAGAGCAATCTCGCGAGATTCAGGTTTGAGGTCTGTTTCGTCAAAGGCAGTGTCCAGCAAGTATTTGATCAGTCGCTCACCACGGGTATCAGGATATGATGCTATGATGGATCTGATCTGTGGCACAACCTCTTCTTTGTTTCCGGAAACAGTAAGTGAGTCAATTGCCGCTAGAGACGTTTGGCGAAGAACAGTGGTAAGGGAGGGAGGGTCGCTGGAAGGCGTGGATGCCTCTGGATTATTGGCCCTTGAGCCTGGCGAAACTTTAGATGTCACTTGGGATCGAGTAGAGCGGATTTATATCGATTAGATACCGACCAATTGGTTGATGCGTATGTACTGTTGGGAATCAACCAATTAGATCTCTGTCCGAAAACCTAAAAGTCTAATTTGATATAAACAAAAACACCAGCGTTGTTTCTTGAATTGTCTTTTATTTAACTTTTCCCACCCTTTTTTTGCTCGTTGGAAGCTGTCAGAAAAAATTTTGTGCAACTTTGCAATGGTTACGAGCGTCGGTAAACACTATTGCCAGCGTAAGATTGAAAAATACGGCTGTGTACGCTTTGTCGATCTGGTTTTGCATTAAATCTTTTGTTTGATGTTACTTAACTTTATTCTCTGGCTGCTGGCCTTTTGGCAGGTCTGTGAGGCTCATGGTGGCCATGGAGCGTCCTCTGCGGAAACTCTGTCTGCCGTGCCCGAGCTTTCGTTTCCAGACCTCGTTTCGGTGAAGTCTCTGTCGGACCTCCAGGCGAACTGGCAGTTGTACGGCAACGTGGAGTTCAACGAGGGACGTGTTATACTCACTCCTGCACCGTCCATCTCAGAGAAGGACTCTCAGCAAATAACGAACGGCGCTGTCTGGTCCAAAAACAAGATCTCGTCAGCCAGCTTTTCGTTGCAGCTCACCTTCAGATCGGTGGGTGCGTTTGGGTTCACGGGCGCGGGACTTTCGCTGTGGTTGCTTGACCAAGACCCGGGATCCGACATCTCCAATTTTGGCGGACCGTCGCAATTCTCTGGGTTGCAGATTCTGCTGGACGCTAATGAACAGGACCTGGGTCCTGTTTTCAGAGTGTACGTGAACGATGGTTCGCGGAAAATCAATTTGGCACAAGACTATCTTGGAGCGTACACTTACAGCTTCCAGGACTCCCAGGTGCCGTCCACTTTGAAACTGGGCTACGAGAACAGAAAGCTCAAGATCACGTGCGACAACAAGCTTCTGTTCGAGACAGATTCCATCAACCTGGATCCGTACTTGAAAAACATGCGTGTGGGTATATCTGCGGCGTCCTTAAGGGACGTTAAGAAGGCCGAACAGTTCGAGATTCTGATGTTTAAGTTTTTCGACAAGGTGATTGAGTCATTAAAAGTAGAGGCTTCTGAGACGCTGGTTGCCAAGCACCACGAGCTGGAATGGAGACAAGCCCGACAAGCACAGTTGGCAGAGGACAATAAGAGAACACGGGAGCGGCAGAGTAGCAGGAGTGCCCCGGTGCCTCCGCGGCCAGAGTCTGCTGAATATGACCTGCTTGCCGGACTAGACGAAGTGAAGACCATTCTCACGCATCAGACGGCCCCACAGGTTCTGCAAAAGCAGTTGTTTGATGTGACCAAGTCCATCAAGATGATGAACGAGAAAAATTCCGTCTACAACACCCAAATGGAGAAAAGCTATGACACACTGCTCAAGCAGACTGAGGAGCTCAATGCCAAGTACGAAGCGCTCAGACAGTTAATCACTAGACAAAACCAGCTGCTGGAGCTGGTGGATGAGAGATTCGTCACTTTCAACAGCTATTTCCAGGGACAGTCACAAAAGCACGAAAGCATCAACGACAAGCTTAAACAATTGCAAGAATTCTATGCGAAAGGCTCGCGCCCGTCAGACTACGAGTCTGAATTCGAGTCTAAGCTGAACAAGTTCATGTCTGCGGTGAGACTGATTATGATGCCTGTTCTGGTACTGCTCATTATCATGACACTGCTGGTGTATAAGCTGAGAAACGACATCAAGCACGCCAAAGTGCTGTGATGTCTGCACTGCTCAGGCATACGGTGGTTTCTTGCATCGGATATTTGAATATCCCAGGGCATTCGGGTTGGGCTTTCGTCTTAGTCTCAGGACGCGGGAGTGAATGATGCCGTCCGTTTGTCTTGCTTCCTCTAGCATTTGATAAGAGTTCTGAATACCATATAATCTGTTCTGGTTGTCGATCAGCTCTTTGTCGTCTATCGGTAGCTCTTTTTCGATGATCAGCTCTTTGGTCAGGTTGACCGGGATGTCCAACGTCTGGAATCTAGGTCCTTCTTCTTCCTCGTCCTTGTCGTCTTCGTCCGATTCCGTGGAATCCTGAGGTGGAAAAGGCGGCAAGCCTTCCATTTCGCGTCGTCTGCGTTCCATTTCCTCGCGTTGCTGGCGTGCCATCTTTTTTTCAACAGATTTTTGGAAGCTGCGCACCGACTTGTACCTTATATTGTCGTAGGAGCTGATTTTATCGCTCAATTTTCGTCCTCCCTGTTTGTTTGCAAAGTACATCAGCCATTGGTAGTTGCGGACCAGCCGTTTGTTGTTGAGAAACTGGTTGACGATCACGGTACCGTGCAGATACTCCACGTCGTCGATGGTCTCGTTCATCTGGGCGGAAAACTGCGATCTGCTAGACATCGTCTTGGCCTTTTTCTGGTTCAGGTACTTGATCTGCTTGTCGACAAACTGCTTATCGTAGTAGGGCAGTCCGTTCGCCAGAGACCATTTGGTGCCGTCGGTCTTCTCGTTCAAAAGCGGCAATCTAACGAGCTTGCTGTTGAGCGACGACGCACCTAGCGCGTGCCCTCCAAGCGACGAAATGCTGTCCGCCGCCCCTAAACCACTAAGGATGTTTTTCGCCTTCGTCGAGTGGTGTTCTGGATCGTCGTTTCTGGACGACCACTGGTACGAAGGTATCTTGCTGATGGAGTGGAGCGGAATTCCAAGGTTGTTGTTGATGTTTTGGCCGACGATCAGGTGTGGCTGGTTCGTGAAGTCCATGGACGAGGGCGAGTCGCTTAGGTTGGCAGAAGACGTGAACATGTGGCTCCTATAGCTTTCAAGCGAGTAGTCTCCTTGCAGGACCGCGGACGAGTCCTTGAGCGCGCCAGGCAGCTGGTACGCTGCCGCGATCTGGTTGAGCCGCAAATTGAGGGCTGTCTCGTCGACCTCGTGAGGAAACATTAATCGGGATTAATTTATTTATTCTACGTAAACTTATTATAGCCTGTATGTGGGCACGGGGCTATGGACGTTCGCACTTATAGATTGATTATCGTGATGGGTGACATGAAGAGCTTGAAACGATGGTCATCTATGTCTATTTTGTTTTTCGCCGACTGTATAGTCCTCATGTCAACCGTCTAATGAGAAGCATGGAGCTTGTGGCTCTGGCTTTCCATCCTGGTATTTTTATTGCCGTTGCAACTGTTCGAGCTGGTTCCTAACATAGCTGGCTCACGGATGGAGCGTGAATTTTGGCTAAATGGCCGTGAAGGGAACAAACGGATATACTACGGCGTCTCAGTGCATACTGGGACCGGAATTAGTGCAGCTAGACTGGCTTCCAAGTTTACATTTTCTTGCGCAGAGGCTTGCTTCAAGTTTACTCATTGGCTTTCTGGACGGCCAGCATCTTTATTCGGCTGAAACGTGACGATATTAATATTACAGAACCTAGGTAGCTAAATTTGAGCTACACGGACGCCAAAAATATGCAACAGCCTCTCTGAAGTAGCCAACGAACTCTGCCGGATCTGGCTAATCCGGCTACTGGTATCTATTAGTTTTCACTCTGGTGGAGGGCCGGTCCAGACGATTTTGCCCCTCTCGTCGAAATGAGCGTTCTCGTCGCTCACCTTGATTGCACCGTTCAGGTTCTTGATCTCCTTGCTCGAGAGGCCCATTGGATCCCGTGGAATCCACAGCGTCGGACACGCCGCGCTTCTATCTGGCAGATCGTATGCATGCTTGACCCATTCGGGGTCCTCCTTTGGGAACTCGTAGAAGGCAGGAGGCAGGTACGCCTGGAGACTCTTAAATGTGTAATGTTTGTCTGGTCTCAGGATTCGGGTGATCAGGCCCACTTTGCTACCGTCGGCATCAAAGTCGTAACCTTCCACGAGCAACGGCACGCGCGACGCCTTGTATTCGTGCACCTTGGAATCTGTGTACTCTCTCTTCTCCTCGGACATGAGGTCATCGCACGAGCTCAGAGGTTGCCCTTTGAACTGTGCATGGGCGTGCGGAGTCCACGACAGAGTCTCGCTCACGCCGTCGAGCGGCCTCATCACCGTGTTAGGCACAACCGTCATCAGATGGTCGTACGCCCTGTTGAGATGAAGATGGACAAAAACGGTGAATCCGATCAGAATGGCCTCCAGCACGACACAGCCCCAGGTCTTAGACACGGCAAACATGCCGAGCTGACAGACTTCCCCGAGATAAACGCCCACGAGGGTCTGGAAAAGCGCCCGTGGATAGTATCTGCCCAGGGCGTCCGCGCTTTTGCCAAAGACGTAGGTCGCGTTGTACAAGAATGCAATGTAGATGAGCGAAAAGCCGGCAAAGGTGAAGATCATGATCATAGGGGCGATCATGCTGTATGACAGAAAGATCACGGCCAGGTTGGTGTAGACCGGGAACGTTGTTCCCCATGCGTAGCCGCCGATGTCGTTGAATCTGGTCCACAGCTTTCTGGCCGTGTTGTCGAACATGGCGCTGAACAGGTAGAACAGAATCAGACTGACCACCTGGAACAGCGTGCCGCCGGCAACGGAAAAGCCCTGCAGCACCATGTAGGAGACGTAGAAATTCGAGGACTTCGGCAGGTTGGCCGAGAGCAGCTCCATCGCCTCGGTGGGCCTCTCTGCGATCTGGGTCACGGTGGAGGCAAAGGAGGACGTGATTGTGGTGACAAGGAACACCTGGATGACCTGGAACGCGCAGTAGGCCTGCTGGGTGAAGTACTCAACGCTTTGGGTCGTGAGACAGCCAGAAATCTGGCCCATTCTCCGGATAAACATCGGCAGCAGCATCATCAACACCGCCAGCATGACCGTCGGCAGCAGTGACGTGACCAGGCCAAGCAGCTGGTCCGGCAGCTTGTATATGAACCGGAGCCAGTGCATCTTGTTGGTCAGGTACGTGAGGTTGGACACCAGACCGACAAATGCAACCGGGATCGCCCAGAGCATGATCAGGGCCACAATGGCGGTCACCGCACCGTTGGCTCTCATGAGCCGCTCCCACCAGAATATCCGCATGTTGGGCCAGTAGATGTCCTCTGGATTGACGTTGGTGTGTTTCGGAGAGAAGAAGTACGGCAGGTCGTGGATCGTGGTCTGGTAGGCGAGCTGCGCGTAGTACTGGTTTTCGAACTCGACCGCGATCGAGTTCATGGGCCGTGTGCCCGCGAGCGTGGACTGGTACTCCTCGATCTGCTCGTTGAGTCTGGGCAGCTTGTCTTTGCAGTAGTCGACGATGTCGACCTTTTTGCCGAAGACGGGCACGCCGATGCGCATCTTGGGCCGTTTCTTGTACGGAACGTACGACGAGAGGTCGTCAGGGTTCTCGATGACACGGCCCTTTTTGTCGGCCTTGAGTTTCTCCTTGACGGCGCGCTGGAGCAGCTTTGTCAGGGCGACCTCGAGCGCGCTCGTGAGCCGCTCTCTGCGCTTGAGCGCGCGCGACAGCCGTCTGTTTCTCCTGGCCACCCAGACCCGCTTGACACCCTCGAACAGCTTGAAAAACTCCTCCTCGTCGAGGTACCGGTCGCTGACGGTCTGGAAAATGACCGTCCTGGAGCTGAGCTTCTTCGCGTACGCGGGCGTCGTGAGCACGAGGTTGCGCAGACTCGAGTAGAAGTGCAGCTCGCGGTAGATCACAAACAGCACGACGCCGTAGAAGATGCACGACACAAACACATGGGCGTAGTACCTGCGGGCCGAGCTGACGTTGGAGATGCTCAGCTGGTCGAGCCCAGCCTCGCCCTTGCCGTCCGTGGCGTTCACAGGGAGCAGAACGGGCCATGTGGCTATGCCTCCTAGAGCAAGGGAGGCCACGATAAACAGGTACCGCAGAAACAGATACCCGTCGATGCCGGCCTGCTGGATGACGAAGGAGGGCGGCTTCCTGAGCAGGGCAAAGATCCAGGTCAGCGGGTCCTGCGGCAGCGGGGCCGGCTTCTCGCTGTCGGGCACGATGTCGAAGCTGGACTTGGGCTGGTAGATGCGCTTGAACCGGACTCGGAGCAGCAGGAAAAGCCCCACAAACACGGCGCAGACAACGCCGTTCGCCACGATGGATGTGAGCACGTCCTGCGTCGACGTGTTTTTCGTGTCCGTCATGGAGCAAAAGAAAACTTGTTGTTGTGCCTGAGATCTGCCAAACAATAAAATTTATGGTCGTGCACGCCCGCCTCGAGGCAGGCCAGCCGTTGGCGACAGGCACACTCACAGAAAGTAGTCGGCGACGGGTTTTTTGGACGGGATCTCGGAGCAGTCCTGCAGCATGCTGTCGAAGACGGTGTAGTTGCGGTTGAGGTTGTCGTCGAGCGTCAGCACGGCAGCCACGTTGCCGCACCGGTAGCAGTAGTTGGGCGCCGACCAGACGGTCACGAGGCCGCCGTCGAACACCTCCTTGTAGCCCTCCATGACCAGCTGGTGGGCGCGGGCAATCAGACTGAGGCTGTTTTTGAACAGAAACCGCTCGGTCTCGGTGTAGCCGAACAGGTAGCCCGCGCCGCGCGGCGACACCGCCCAGGCCGGGATGTTTTCCTCGGGGTCGGACCACAGCAGGTCGCACATGAGCCCGTCGTGCGGGACCTCCTGTTTGCGGTCGATCAGCCGGATCTCGTCGATCGTCTCGATCGCCGGGCTCAGCCCGCCGTGCACGCACAGCACGCCGCCGTCCGCGCTCGCGCCGCTCAGAATGTACGCCCCGAGCGCGAGGTAGTCAAACACGTCGCAGCAGTAGCGCCACACGTTGGCCGAGCCGTACTTGCGCATGCACTCGTCGTAAAACCCGTACACGCTGGTGATCTGACGCGACTCGTGGTTTCCCCGGATCAGGTAGATGCGGTCTGGATATCGCACTTTGTAGCACAGCAGCAGCAGAAACGTCTCGAGCGAGTAGAACCCGCGGTCCACAAAGTCGCCGAGAAACAGGTACTTTGTGTGCGGCGGCTCTTTGGAGATCTTGAACAGCCGCAGCAGGTCGTGCAGTTGCCCGTGGATGTCGCCGCAGATCGTCACGGGCGGGTCCACCAGCTGGATGTTGGACTCCTGGATGAGCAGCTCCTGCGCCAGAAAACACAGCTCCTGGATGTCGTTCTCGGGCACGATTTTGCATTTTCGCACGTCCCGTATGATTTTGTCGAGATCGAGCATGTTGAATTAATTATTTGGTGATAATTATCTCTTAATTATGTAATTATGTCTATGCGCTTGAATTACAACGCCGGGTCGAAATCGGCCAGGCCCTGGCCATTAAGATCGTCCCCAAACGTGTCGACGTCGTCCCAGTCGACCTGGATCTTGCGTGCGCCCCGCGAGCTGTCCGTGTTGCGCAGAATCAGCGGCTTCTCCTCCTTCCATTCGTCCTCCACGTCCAGAAAACCCGCGCCGTAAACGCGCTCGTACACCTTCTGCATGCTCTCCTCGCGCTGCTGGCGCACCTCCTCCTGCGCCATCCACTCCATGTGCTTGAGATCGTCGTTGGACGGCTCGTAGATGTGCCAGATCACGTAGTGCGGCAGCCCCACCACCGCAAACCCCATCCGCTTGCACATCTTGCCAAACCCTTCAGTCTCCGCGTGCTTCTCGAACGAGAACGCTGGGAAATGCGCGCCGCTCCTGAACACGCGCGCCTTCGACAGGATCGAGACTCCGCCGATGCCGTCCAGAACCATCTCCGTCTCCGGGTCGCCGTACGGGTCGCGCAGATACGCTAGGTGGGGCCGCCACGTAGCGTACTCGACATACCCTTCCACAATCACCGCGTCCTCGTCCAGCGTGTTGGCCAGCTGCAGCCCGCCGTCGCTCTCCTGCCACGAGTTCAGGTCGTATGGCTGCTGGTTCCCGAGCCATTCCGGCAGCGGCCGCCACACATTCGGCACTATCACCTCGCGGTCGTGGTGCATCAGGTCCTCAATGATCGTCGGCGAGATGGTCTCCACGTCCACGTCTCGCCAGTACACCCAGGAGTGGTACGGCTTGAGGGCCGCCGACGAGAGCCAATTGCGGGCCCTCGCCATCATCTTGCGCCGTGGGCCCTGCGCGGCAAATCCATGGCGGTCGCTGAAACCCTGGCCGATGATCTGGCCGAAATCTTTCTGGAAAATCTCGATCTGGCCGAAATGCATCTCAGGATTCGGATCCGACTGGATCTCCAAAAGATTCTTCTCCAGAACGCCCATCGTGTCGTCGGACGAGTCCGACACCAGAAATGCTAGATCGATGAGGTTGTGCGGATAGGTCATGTTGCGCATGTGACCAAAGAACATGGGCAGGTGGCTGGCCGCGTCTCTCAGGGGAACGCAGAACAGCACACGTTCGCCTCTGGCCCAGCCATCTGCATGCCCCACGTAATCCTTGAGGTCGTAAAACTGCGTGTCTATGGCGTTGGAGCTGTCGAAAGTGGGACTGTAGCGAAATATGTCTCTAGCTGAAACAAGGGAAATAATTAGGTACAACACGCAACTCGCCACCAACAGGCCCGAAACGCTCGCAATGACGCAGATTCGACTCCTCTGCTGCACAGCCTTCCTGGGCCGGCGAAACAGCTTCGGCGATCCCAGTTGATCGTCCATGTGTGAGGGAAACGACGGTTTTGCAATCCCCTACGGATGTGCGATATTTGCTCAGTTTGTGCGTATCGGCTAGCTCTGTGCACCTATGCTCTGCTGTAAATGGCCGCAACTAGCGTCCGTGTCGTCAAAGTTGCCGGTACAAGTCGAAACTGCCGCTCTTGTCGTTGCAGTATTTATAGAATTTCGGTAAACAACTTTTTTTCGCTTTCACCCCTGAGAACTGGTCCCCTCGCATAAAAGACGCGTCGATCGACCTGGAAAGAATACGACACTCTAAATGTGGTTCATGCTATATAAACAGCTCGCTGCTCGACACCTGGCGCGACGATTTGCGGATCGGCGGTGGCATCTTTTTGGGCTGTGCAGCCGCCTCGCCGTACTTGTTGGCCTTTGGAGGCCTGCGCTTAGGACCCTTGGATCTGGTCTTGGTCACGTGCTCCAGTGGCCGCCCCTGTTTGTCGAATTCTGACATATCCAGCGCAGGTTTCTTTGGTTCTGTCATTGCTCTGGGGACCAAGTGGCGTGGCTCAGCAAGCCCTGGTAGCGGAATTCCCATTTGAGGCTCAGTTTTCGCTCTTGGTGGCAATTTCTGGATTGGAACCGGTTCCTTGGTTTTCTTCAAGCTCGATAGCATGAGTAGGGCCTCGGGCTTGGGTGGCGCAGGTTTGGGAGTCGGCTTGGCCTTCGCGAGCGACGAAAGCTTGGCGAGTGCTTCGGGTGTCTCTGACGGCTTTTTCGATACTGGAGGGGCCGGTTTCAGAGTGCCCAGTTTGCTCAGGGCCTCAGGCTTCTTGCTTTCCGGAGCTGAGAACGTCTTTTTTGTGGGCGAGAGCTGAACGCCGAAAAAGGGTGCCGCTTTGTCTGCGGTCTCTTCGACGGTGCTTGCGAGCACAGGGATCGAAAGTTTCTGTTTGGGGAGCGGAGCGGAATGTTTGGCAGGTTTCAAAGAGGCCCGAAAATCTATCCGTTCTTGTTCTAGCTGTGGCTTGGGCTTGACGATGGGAGTCTTTCTAGGCGCAGGAGTGCTCGTTTCGGCCGGTGGAGTGAAGATAGGCTGTTTCATCACATCCTCGAATTTTATGGGTTTCGGAGCGTTGGGCTTCTCAGCGGGCTTGTCGAGGTCCACAGCGCGCACAAACTCCTCGACCTCCTTCTTTTCCAGCTCCACCTTGACCTTGTGGTCGAGATTGGCGGCCTTTTTGGGCACAAGAGGCTTCTTCTTCGGAGACAGCTCGTACTGTCTACGTTTCTGATCCACCTCCTGCTCCAGACTCTGCAGCCGGCTGCGGTTCTCCTGTTCTCTGGCAGAATGAAGCTCGCTGAAATTGTTTAGAAACCGTTCCACCTCAGGCTCTGAATATATCGTAGACATAAAAAACAACAATATTAATTTTCGATGGATTTTAATCTAGTATACACAAGTTTCCAGGGCGGTGCAGACAATTTCACTCCTCGGACTCCTCGATGATAGAGTCCGCCTTAGGGTCCTTGTCCTTGTCGCCCCGCTTGAATGCAAAGCTGAGACGTCTGGAAATGAGGTTTCCGGACGGTGACTCGGGCCTCGTGTCCAGCGTCTGGTCGTCAGGCTGGTTTTTCTTGAGCTTGAAGAAACGCGACGATTTGGAGCCAAAGCTGCTGCTTAGCAGTCCCGGCGTCGCCGAGCCCGACATTGAGCCCGACGACAGCTCCTCCTCCACCCCGACGCTCGTGTCTTCGGAACGGTCGCTGGACTTGGTTGCCGGTTTTGTTGGACTGGTTCCGAACTTGAATAGCTTAGTTTTGAAGAATGACGGCGACGACGGCACCTTGTCCTGCTTTTCCTCATTCTCGGTGTATATTTTTGGCACCATGTCGCTGCTGAGCTGCTTGTCCAGAATATTCATCGACGCCCAGTTGGAGTTACTGCCCCCATTGTTCCAGATGCTCGAGCCAAAACTCGTGCTGCGTGCCCTGCTCAGATCGAAATCCATGGCTGCGTCCTGTGACGAGTCCGCAACAGAGCCCGTCGACTTCATCTTGCTGTGGCTACCGAGCGACCCAAAAAACTTGGACGACTCGCGCACACCGGGCGACGTGGACATGCCGAGGTCCAGACTGCTGCTAAATATCTGGTCGTCCGATGTGTTGGGCACTAGCGCGTTCATTGCCGGTTGCATGCCAAACGACGACGAGTCCTGGAACATCAGGCTGTCGCCGTAGCCCATCCGGGTGCCGGGAATGGTGAGATCCGGCAGAAAGTCGAAGTTCGACATATGCGACGGCGGAGGCGACTCAGACGACTGCGGCTGGTCCAAGAGGTTGAAAAACATGTCCCTCTGGCCGCCGGCAGGCGCGTTCCAGAGCTTCGGGCTCGTGGACGCCGCCGGCTCCGGGCTCAGCGTGTTGTAGGTCATCGTGGTGTTCATTCTGCTCATCGCAGTTGACAGAATGTTGCTGATGGACCCGTCGTTGAAGGACCCCAGACCCTCGTACTGCGAGCTGGGACGCGACCATTTCTCGTCCAGCTGGCGCTTCAAATGGTCGATCTTCTCCTTATCTTTCTGTCGCACGGCCCGCCATTGCAGCTCAAAGTGCTCGTCGAGAGTAAACTCGTTTTTCAGATCCTGCTCCCATTCGGGCTTCAGCTCCACAATGGTAGCTAGCACCGCCCTGCCCTCGGGTTTCAGAACACCCGTCTGCTCGTCGACAAACGTTCTCAGACTCTCGAAAAGACCCTGAAGGTGCTGTTTGAGCGCGTCCAGCCGCTTTCTGTTGCTGGACTCGTACTTGATGTCCTCCTCGACATCGTGGATCTCTGTCTGTAGCCGGAAAATGTCCTTGTTGAGCTGCTCGACCTGCAATTTCAAAGCCTCGAGCTCGGCAGGCTCTGCCGCAGCCAGCTTCTCCTTCGCGGCTCGTTTTTCGACCAGAATGGCCTCCCAGTCCTGCATCTGGCGCCGCTTCTCCTCGATCTTGCGCCGCCGCGTCGCCAGCTTCGTCTGGTCGGACGCGATCCGGCTCTCGCTGCGCATCCGCGTCTCCTCGAGAAACTTGATCTCCTGGCGCAGACTCGACCGGTTCTGGTCCTCGAGCTTGCGCCGCTCCTTGGCCTCATTGCGCGCGGCCAGCAGCGACGCCTCCTCGTCCACGAAGTCCGTTTCCAGCTCTTTGCTGGCGCGCGTCAGGCTGCGCACCGCTTCCAGCCCGGTCTCCAGCAGGAACTTGAGCTCGTTGATGTCTGTGATGAGATGCGGGTGGATCCGCGCCTTGTAGTTCTCCTGGTCGACCGTGTTGCTGCGCGAGCGGCCTGCTGGCGATTTTTGGCGGAAAGTGCTTTTTTTCGTGACGGTCTCGCGCTCGTCGTCAGGAATCAGCACATTCAGCAGCTCGTCGGGATGGTCGGGCTCGGCCATGTCGTTTTTTCCCGTCTTGACGTATACGGGCGACGACTTGGAGCGGAAATTCGCGATGTTGAACGCCACGAGGTCTACCTGGTAGTTGCTTTCAGGGTTGAGCCCACTGATGACGCAAGACTGCAAATTGCCGTCGATCACGGCCGTCTGGATGCCATTGATGTACAGCAGATAGTGGCTGATACTCTTGGGCAACGTGTGCGATAGCACAGGCGGGCCATCCGGCGTCTGCTCGTGCTCATCGTCGTCCACGGGGTAATCCCAGTGGAGCACCATGCTAGAGTGCGTGACCTTGTCGATGGAGATGAGCGGCACCGGCGGGATCGAGATGTTGAGGTTCTTGATGGAACGATCCAGCGGCACCGACAGCAGGACGAGCAGCCGGTTCAGGAGCCACAAAAAACCTAGGAGCGCAAGCACGACAAGAACAAGCATGAAAAAAGTATTTAGCTTTTTTATTTATTTTCCTATTTTTTTTTTATTTTTCAATTTTTATTTTATAGAGCTAATTAGTGTTCGTTATGGTACTTGACGTGTCCGCTCTATATATGCGCACAGCGCCCTTGGACACGTACGGGCGTTTCTGAGCGTACTCATGGGCCTCCTTGAGCATCTGCTTCAGCCGGTCGACCGCCTCGCGCGAGTTCTGGAAGTGGAAGGCCAGTCGGTAGCCCATAACTTTGAGGCCATATTTTTGAGACAGCGACGCGAGCACGTCCGGGTCAATCTTGAATTTCTTCGGGTCCAGAAATACAAAGTTCGTATCAGCTGGCGACTCCAGCGCAATACCGTTGGCCTCGCAGAACTGCGCAACGTCGCGCGCAAACTGGTGGCCGATCCGCAGCTTGGCCAGATTCTCGTCGATCGCAATGCTGGCCATTCTCGTCAGAATTCCCGCCTGGCGGATTCCTCCACCGTTCTGCTTCTTGAAATGGTTGGCTTTCTCGATGAATGCGCGCTCGCCAACCAAAATCGACCCGACGGGAGCACCCAAACCCTTGGATAGACACAGCGAGACCGAGTCGAAGTATTGGCAATACTCGCGGATGCTGACGCCGGTCGCGATGCTGGCGTTCCATAACCGCGCGCCGTCCAGATGCAGTTTCACGCCGTTCGCGCGACACCACTCCGAGATCTCGCGGATGTTGTCCAGGGGCATGATTATCCCGTGCAATGTATTTTCGAGCGAAATAACTTTTGTCGGAGCCATGTGGATATCGCCGTCGTCCGGGATGTAGTTCTCCAAAATATCGTCCAAAGTCAGATATAACCCATTCGCTGGTATAACCGGGGTCACCATCGCCTGCGACAGAGTCGCCAGCCCACCAGCCTCGTGTGCGTACACATGACCTCTGTAATCGCACAGGATCCGGTGCGGAGGCTGGTGCAAATGCGCCCGGAGCCCGATCTGGTTCGACATCGTGCCCGAACAGCAGAAAAGAGCAGCTTCCTTGCCCGCCATTTGCGCAACCTTGGCCTCTAGTGCCAAAGTATCCTCATCTTCTTTGTAGACAGAGTCTCCGACAGAGCACACGGCTGCCGACTGCAGCATCGTCGCAGTCGGCACCGTGAACGTGTCGGATCTGAACTCGTTGTGTGTTGGGTAGTTTTCGCAAACAGTCATGTCTGCACCAACAGGCGATCTGCCCGCCACTATATACTTGTCCCGACGCATGAGAAGTTTTTTTTTTGGGATGGGGTCGTGCACCAATCAAAACGGTTGGCGATAAGCTCTGCGAGATCTGGCTCAGGGACCGCCGATCGCATATGGAAAGAGGTCAGGGTAAACTAGATAAATCCACAAAAGTGCTCGGAGTTGTCCCGTGTTGCTGGGGCGTCTACAACGATCGTTAGGAGGCTCCGAAATTCGGGTCTCACGGGTCGTGCATGACCAAGACGGGTAGAAAATTCCACGGACGCTCATTGGGCGTCCTCGGGGCCTCAGCCTAGCTATGACTAATAGCAGGCGTAGGCTCGATATATGTCAGTCCATGCGATTATATAGGCCATTTAGGCGCGATTTGACCCTGTCTGCACTCCATATCGATAAGATAGAGCCGTCTGCAGGATTTGTGACTTGGGCCGAGCAGCCGTGACAGGGTGGCATTGTTTTATGCAGCCAGAGTCAAACGGTGTGCGGAGATTTACAGGTTTCATACAGGGACAGACACCTTGCACCGAGGAGTCAGAAAAGAGAATCGCAATGGTGTACGGGTGTATTGTACATCTATCTACCTAAGCCTTCACTTCTCTAATACCGGCTTCTCTGAATATGGAATCTCCCTCTGAGTAGGCTCTTCCGAGGCCAAACCCGAGGCCGAGCCACACTGGGAATGCTCTTCTTTTGAAAAAGAGAACGGACGCGAGCACGCCAGCTCCGAAGCCGAGACCAGACTTGACAATTCCGTTCGAGATGACCACATCCCACTTGGCGTTGACCAGGGACGTGGATGGAGAGGAGGTAGCGATTTCGGACATCTGCGAGTTAGTACTGTGGGATGGGGGTGCGTGGGCAGGCAACGTCGGGATCTGGCAGTATGCAGAGTGGTCGGCGGCGGCGGAAAATAATTATGAAGGTCTGTTGTGTGGAACAGCGATTGGGAAGTGTTGCTCTAGAACGACAGATCAATGGTGGTGGTGCAGAGTCGATAATCGTCTATTTCTTTCCGTGGTATCGCCATATCCGATGAGCTGGACACCAGATCCAGGGCGCATTGTCGATGTGCCCTTAAGCTGCCTAATTGCACGAGCATATTACCCGTATGGACCCCGTTTCGGTATACATACTGTTCAGCGTATGAGTCTTTAGTTTGTTTTCGAAAATTGATGGAAAATGAATGGTCTGGCATAAGCCCCTGTGCGCGCGAGTTGTACTGCACGTCGGTCGTCGCGTCGCTGGAAAAGTCCCACAGGTTGCAGGGCTTAGTTGCCCCAGCGTAACTCACGTGACAGATTTTACTCCGTCTCTCTCACCTCTACATTTTCAGGTCTGAAAAATTTTATTTCCAACCAACATGGGTAGAGTTATCAGAAACCAGAGAAAGGGTGCCGGCTCCATCTTCACTTCGCACACCAGACTCAGAAAGGGTGCTGCTAAGCTGAGAACCTTGGACTACGCCGAGAAGCACGGATACATCAGAGGTGTGGTGAAGCAGATCTTGCACGATCCTGGCCGTGGAGCTCCATTGGCCAAGGTTGTCTTCAGAGACCCATACAAGTACAAGCTCAGAGAGGAGACCTTCATTGCCAACGAGGGTGTGTACACCGGACAGTTCATCTATGCCGGTCAGAAGGCCTCTTTGAACATCGGTAACGTGTTGCCATTGGGAGCCCTGCCAGAAGGTACCATCGTTTCCAACGTGGAGGAGAAGGTTGGCGACAGAGGTGCTCTTGGAAGAACCTCTGGAAACTACGTGATTGTCATTGGCCACAACCCAGACGAGAACAAGACCAGAGTCAAGCTTCCATCTGGTGCCAAGAAGGTCCTGTCTTCTGACGCCAGAGGTGTCATTGGTGTGATTGCTGGTGGAGGAAGAATCGACAAGCCATTGCTCAAGGCCGGAAGAGCCTTCCACAAATACAAGGTCAAGAGAAACTCGTGGCCAAAGACCAGAGGTGTGGCCATGAACCCTGTTGACCACCCTCACGGTGGTGGTAACCATCAACACATTGGTAAGGCTTCTACGATCTCGAGAGGCGCTGTTCCTGGTCAAAAGGCCGGTTTGATTGCTGCCAGAAGAACTGGTTTGCTGAGAGGTTCGAAGGACAAGAACGACGACTAAGTACTGGGAAATAGCAGAGTAATCATCTACAGATAAGTGTTTTTATGCCTACATTAAGCAAGGCCTGTATACCTTCGCTTTAGTTGCTTTTCGACAGCCTTCTTATCCTACGCGTGCAACGCACTGTTCAATCCACTTTTTATTAACTATATCATTGCCTAGTTCTTCTTCTGAGCAGCCAAAGCCTTAGCAGTTCCGTGCAAAGCGTATCTGTGGTTTCTTCTGAACTTAGAATCCACACCCTTCAGAGAAGGGTATCTGTGGGTCTTTGGCTTCTTGATACCGTTTCTGTGGGCCTTTCTGGTCTGGTTGTGGGCGGTGTGGTTCTTCGACTTAGCCATGGTGAATAATAAGTTGGCGAATATTTTTTACGCACTTGCAATATACTACTTGGAGGTGGCAGGTGTATATTTTTCGCAGTCACAGTTTTCAGAAAGTACACACATCTATGTAGCCAGGCTACTGGGCCTGAACTCTACTTCTCTTGGCCAGCTTGGCGATCGTTTTGGCGCCCATGATGCCGCCGCCCCACTGCTTTCTGGCCTGCTCGTACTTCTCGGCGAAGTTGGCGTCCACTGTAGAAACAAGCTTGGCCAACGTAGCCTCGTCCTCGGGCCGGACGTCCACCAGCGCAACAGCGGCAGCGGTCTTCTGGTGGACAAGGGTTCCCAATCTCGCCTTACCCTTGACTATCGCGTACGGGATGCCCATCTTTCTGCACAGAGCAGGCAGAAACACCACCAGCTCGACGGGATCCACGTCGTTGGCAATGAGCACCAGCTTGGCCTTCCTGTGCTCAATCAGCGAAACAACGTGGTTCAGCCCGTACTTGACCACAAACGGCTTGCAAGAAACGTCCTCGTTCCTGCTGCCGTCGGCAAGGGCAGCCGCCTTCCTCGCCAGTCTCTCCTTCTTCTCGGCCTTGGTCTCTGGTCTGTACTTGTTGAGCAGCTTGAACACCTCAACGGCAGAGTTCCGGTCCAAGGTGTTGGAGAACTGAGCAATGGCAGGCGGCACCTTGAGTCTCATCGTCAGTACCTTCTTCTGTCTCTGCAGTCTCACGTACTGCGGCCACTTGACAAACCGGTTCAGGGCCCGTTTCGGCTGGATGTTCTGCCCGATTCCGTAGTTTCTGGGCGTAGCGTCGTAAACAGACGTCTTGACAGCTTTCTGCTGTTTGGCTAAAGGCGCTGGAGCAACTTTTTTCGAAGGCTGGGTCATCGAGGTTAGTACTCTAGGAAATTCGGTCATCGAGCACTAATCTCTACAGTTTGTCGAGCAAACTCAGCAAAAAAAAGATGCGCACCGTGTCTCGGTACGTTTACGAAGATCCGGCCGCATCTCAGAGATATGCGCCGTCTTTAGCCGTACTTACCATAACGTTTACTGATTAAAAAATTTTCCCACGCCAGTTTTAGGTACGTCACACCTCAAACCCAATTTTACTTATCTAAATGGTCCTTGCCAGCTTCTCTCCTCTTGCCGGCGCAGAGACGCCCTCCCAGCTGCGCACCCAGCTTTCGGGCATTGCCGGCTCCATCTCGCTCGCATGCTGGCTGGTGCTGCTTCTGCCGCAGCTAATCGAGCAGTGGCGGCTGAAATCGGCAGAAGGCATAAGCCCCCTGTTCCTTCTGTTCTGGACGCTCGGAGACATCCTGAACCTCGCAGGCGCGCTGTGGGCGGGCCTGCTACCCCAGGTGATTTTGCTGGCCGCGTGGTTCACCGTCGCAGACGCCTTTACGCTGGCGTTCTACTACTACTACACATACGTGTATCCGAAGAAGAAACAGCCGGAAAGCACGCCGCTGCTGACAGACACGCCGCGTCGCAAGTCGTCCACCATCGAGGACATCGTGCTCCAGCCGCAGAACCACTCCGTGCTGGTCAGGTACGTGCTGCCGCTGCTCGCCGTGTTTGTGGCCGGCGTCATTGGCTATCTGTGCTCGTCGCCAGCCAAGGCGCAGCCAGACATCGAGCTGGCCATTGGCCCGCAGATCTGCGGGTACTTGAGCGCAGCGCTGTATCTGAGCGCCCGGCTGCCGCAGATCTACCAGAACTACACCAAGAAATCGTGTCGCGGGCTGAGTCTGCTCTTCTTCATGTTCTCGACCTTGGGCAACGTCACGTACGGCCTGCAGATCCTCTTGTACCGCTCGGATTGGGACTACGTTGTGCTCAACAGCAGCTGGCTGTTGGGCTCGCTGGGCACCATTGCGGAGGACCTTGTGATTTTCGCCCAGTTCTATATGTACAGACAGTCGGAGACGGCGGTGTTTGAGTAAAAAAGGTGAAATCAGATTAAATAAAATATTTATTTACTCATGTCCAATATTGTCGAGATATCCGACAGGCTCAACTCGCCGCTGCCGTTCAAGCCGCCCTCGTACAAGCCCGCCAAGCGCAGACACCGGTTCCTAAGGCAGATCCTCAACGACGAGGCCAAGCGCATCCAGCTCAAGCAGCAGCACGCCCACGACCCGAACCTCATCACATACCAGTCGCTGTCTGCGCCACCCTCGCTCAGACCCACCAAGACCTACTGCGACATCACGGGGCTGCCCACGCACTACAAGTCCCCGCACAACCAGCTCAGATACTACGACAAAGAGTGCTACGACATCGTCAAACACATGGCCCCCGGCGTTGACCAGCAGTATTTGGCGTTGCGCAGTGCCAACGTGGTGCTTAAGTAGATAATGAACGGTTTTCCCATCTGGCAACGGCCTCCTTGACCTGACGGTCGAACCGCGGGTTCTCGATCTCCTCGTTTTCGGACTCAATGCTCTTGAACGGGTTGCACACCAGCTTGAGGTATGCGCGCTGGATCTCGGCAAAAAGCCCGTTTAGGCCCTCGTCCGGCAGCTCGTTCTCCGCGCGTGTAGCCCCCACGACGATCCGAAGCCCCGTGCTCGTCTGCTGTCCAAACACGTACACCCCGTCCTGCACAAACAGCAGAACATAGGTTTTTTTCGTGTTTGGGTCTGGGGCCGGCTGTGCAAACGGCGACTCAAAGATGTCCAGCGACATGTGCGACAGGAAGTTGTACTTGAGCAGCTCGTTGGCGGTGCGCTCGTCTGCGGCGCCCCCCGCCACAAACGGCTGGATGTACAGGGGCCGGTTCTGGTTAGCGTAGGCTGGGGAGTACTTACATCTCTCGAGATGAGCGAAACAAAAAGAATGGTCATGAGAAATAAAATCGACGCGTCGACGAAATATATGAAGGAAGACTGGTCTACCGATGCATGGATCGAGCATGGCCGGTTGCCACCTCAGGGGCCCGTGAACGTGCTGTTGACAGCCGCAATGGCCTGCGAAACGGCCGGCATCGTAGCTGCTCAGCCTCGCAAGTTGCAGCTGCATAGGCCTGCTCCGGACGGCCTGCAGCGTATCGACCCAATTTTTTTAATTTTTTTTTCCCTATCAACATGTCTACAGAACTTGCTGAAATCGCGGCAGAACTCAAGTCCGCGCTCCATCAGTATCCGAACTTCCCCTCCGAGGGCATCCTGTTCGAGGACTTCCTTCCTATTTTCAGATCACCGGCTCTCTTCAACAAACTGATCAAGGCGTTCAAGATGCATCTGGAGGCCCGGTTCCCTGACCAGACCATCGAATATATCGTCGGACTGGAGTCCAGAGGCTTCCTGTTTGGCCCGACGCTCGCCCTGGCTCTCGATGCCGGCTTTGTGCCGATCAGAAAGAAGGGAAAGCTGCCCGGAGAGCTGTACAGAGCTGCCTACACGAAGGAGTACGGCGAGGACTTCTTCGAGATACAGGTCGAGTCCATCCCCGAGGGGTCGAATGTGGTGATCGTCGACGACATCCTGGCCACCGGAGGCTCTGCCAGGGGCGCCGGCCAGCTCGTCCAGATGTGCAAGGCCAATATCCTCGAGTTCTGCTTCGTGATGGAACTCGACTTCCTCAAAGGCAGAGACAAACTGCAGGCAGACACGTTCACGCTTCTCAGCGGCCAGACCGAGTCCCTCAAGGGGTCTAAATAGATTCTATTGCTAAACTATTTCTTCTTGAAAATGAGGTTGCGGCCGCTCGTCACGGGCCGCTTTTTCTTTGGCGCAGCCACGGGGCCCTCGTTCTTGTACGGCTCGAACACCTTGCGCTTTTTCTGCTGCGGCTTCGAAACCATTATCTTTTGCGACGTGTCGAGTTTCTCTGTGGCCGGCGTGTCCTGCTTGCGTCTTCGCTGCTGGTGCTTGCGCAGCGTGATGATCTCGTCCGGCGCCGTGCTCGTCAGACGGCTTTCTGGCTCCGGCGTCTCTGCTTCTGCTTCCTGCTCTGGCTGCTCTGGCTGCTCCTCTGCAGGCTCCACAGAAACGTCAACTGCAACGTCTCGCTGGCTTCCTAAATACTCCAACGCCTTTTCCAGCCGCTGCTGCTTCACGTCGGCACCAATAAAAGTCACCCCCCCGTTTCTGGTGTACCGCACCGCAAACACGCCGTTGCCGGCCTCTTTCGCCAGCACAATGCCGTCGTAAATGGGCCTGTTGGCCGCCTCAAAATCCTGCTTCACCGTCTCAAACGCCAGTTCAGCGTCCTTGGAGCCACCTTGCGTCGTTGCCGGCTTTGTCTCGTAAACGCTGTCCCACAGCGCCGCGTCCATCTGCTTCAGCTCCTCCAGACAGTTCTGGATCAACATAACAAGCTCCTTCAGCCTCGTGCGCACGAACTGCGACCCGCCAAACCGCGAGGACGAGTTCACCACCTCCAGCACAGTCCGCTCGCTGACCTCCTCCGAGTCCTGGCTAAAAGCGTTCACCAGCGACACAAGCATGAAATCAGACATGATGTAACGCGGCGACTCGTCCTCTCGCCGCGCCTGCTCGTCCCGCCATTTGAAAAGCACCTCCAGCAGAGGTCTCTTGGCCATCGGAATCGAGTTCGAGTGCGCCAAATTGCTCCACGGAAGGTTTGTAGCGTTCTGCACCGACAATAGCCCGTTTTTAAACTCGGGAAGCTGCGGCACAGACTGGTTGGTAGCAACAACTTCTGCGCCGCTGGAAAACCCGTTTGCCGACTTGACGTTTCTGGGTTTGAACGTCGAGTACTCGTACCGTCTGTTCGACACCCTGCGTGACTCGTACAAAACCTTTTTCAGTTTGTCCGGATTCTGCACTAGCTCGCGGTGCATCTTGTAGAAAACCTCAATCAGAAAATGCGTGTCTGCTTTGGCGTAGTTCTTCATTTCCGAGTTCAGCGGCCGCAACCTCCAGTCGGCCAGCTGCCATTTCTTGGACGTCTTGAATTTCACATACGTTTCCAGTAAATGCGCAAGCGAATGGCGGCCTAGCCCCAGTTCTCTGGCTGCGTGGTAAGTGTCAAATAGCGAAACAACATACAGCCCAAGGTCCCTCTGCAGCCAGATTATGTCCATGAACGCGCCATGGAAGACTTTGACGATGTTTGGGTCCGTGAAGATGACGTTAAGATTCACCAGATGTGGCCTGAGCTCTGGGCTCAACGGGTCGATCAAGTAGTCCTTTTTTGTGTCTGTGGTTAATTGCATCAAACAGGTGATTCCGTGGTACGTTCTGTAGTCGTGGTGCTCCAAATCAACGGCAATAACCCTGCATCTGCTAAGCTCAACGAGCAGATCGTCCAGCTGCGCTGGATTGTCGATCCAGGTCGGCTCCTCGCTCTCTTTCCACGGAATCGAGTCGAAAGATTCTTGCTGCTGCAAAATCCACTCTGGGTACGGCTGGTTCATGATCTCGTAGGAGTATGGGTTCTCGTAGTGCTCGGGCACGTCCGGAGCAGCGCACACCAGCTGCACACTCTTCTGGAGCGGGATCAATGCGTTTGGCTTTGATGTAATAAGCGGCTTGAAAGGCGATGTCTCGAAGTTGTTCACAGGAGTTTTGAAGAGCAGCTGGGGCTTCTCGATTTTCAGTGACTGTGGAGTGCTCTTGCGGGTTCCCGAAGTGTCATTTTCGTCCAGGTAGGTAAATTCGTCCTTTGCGTGGCTGGTCTGCTCCTTCTTTGTGCCCTCCTCGAGCGCTATTTCGGCGTTTTCAAACAGTGTATCCAGCACACTGCTCACAACTTTCCAGTTTTCGTCCTTTTTGTCGGCGTGGAGCTGGCCGTCCTGGTCACTCGAGATAGAAAAAGCGTTGGGAAGCAGCTCGTTCAGAAGGTCTATGAGATGCTGGTTCAGAGCTGTGCTTTCGCTTTTCACCGTCGCATCTATGCTGTTGTAGAACGAAATATCCTTGGCATTCACGGCCGAGGATAAACGAATCAGACTGATTAGCGATGGAGCCAAGGACTCCAGGTCAAAAGACATTGCTTGAATTTTTTTTTATTTTATTTTTTTTAGACAAAATATTCAAGTAATTTTCCCAGCCAATTTTCTTAGTGGCAAATAATTCAACATGTCTCCAATCGACGCGGATGCTTCGACTGTTTTGATTACACTTCGAGAGCAAATCGAGCCTTCGGGAGACTCCGACCTTGTTGGTGCTATGTACCAGCTCGAGGACCTGTACGAGCGGAAATTGTGGTTCCAATTGTCTGAGGTGCTGTCGCAGAAGGTTTACAAGAATGAAAATAGCAAGCCGATCAGACTAAAGCTGTTTGAGAACTTCGTACTGAAGATCAACGACAAAATCAACCAACTCAAGCTGATAGAATTTCTGCTTCTGTCTCTACAGGATTGCGACTTGAAAGAGCGCCTCGAATACTTGACCAATGTCAAAGACCTCATCAAAAACAGAAAGAACATCAAAAAAACCGATGACGACGACATCGCTGACATAGAAATCATCCAGGCACTGCTTTTCCTAGAAATCGAGATTGCAGGAGTCAAACTGAATTTGGGATTTGTGGACGAAGCCTCAGCCATCATCGACGAATGCTCGAAGAAAATCGACAAGATCAACTGGTCCCTGGACAACAGGATCAATGCTAGCTACTATTTCACGAACGCCAGTCTTATGAAGCTCAAGGGCGACTACACTGCCGTTTACTACAACTCTCTGCTGTTTTTGGCGTGCATCGACAATCTCGACAATCTTGCCAACAAGCATGCGATTGTCAAGGATATCTGCGCAAGTGCGTTGCTCGGGGACAAAATCTACAATTTCGGAGAGATCATCATGCACGACATCTTCCAGTATCTGGATATTGCCTGGCTGAAACAGCTAATTCTTGCGCTCAACTCTGGCGACTTGGCTGTTTTTGAGCAAGTAATTGGCAGCCCAGAGATCAAGCAGATCCCGGAGATTGCCTCCAATGTTGGATTCCTCAAGCAGAAGATGTGCATCATGTCACTGACCAAGCTGATTTTCAATAGTCCAACACAGAATAGGACGTTCAAGTTCGACGCAATTATCAAAGAGGTGCCATTCCTGCAAAACTACGACGAGGTGGAGAACCTGCTCATCAAATGTTTCAGTTTACAGCTGATGAAGGGACTGATCAACGAGGTCAACTCCGAGGTTGAGATCTCGTGGATTCAGCCAAGAACAATGACGTTGGACCAGATCGAGGCCATGAAGAAGAAGCTTATTATGTGGAGTGATAAGGTGAGCGATCTGAACCAGTACATGGCTTCTGCTGGCAAAGAATTATGGGTCTGATTGCAAATCCTATATCATACTGTATCGTTTAGCTAATGTAAAGATGTATCGATCGGAATATTTTCTAATCTTCGCCTGTGGGGGCAACTGTTTTTTTTTTTTCGAAGTGGCAAATGGGAGTGGGAGTATTAGAATTGAATATTTTATCAAAATAGCTGGATAAATCGCCCTCGAGAATATATTTATTATACACGGAGACCTACCACCCAAGGTGTTGTACAGTTCCTTCAAATACGAGAAGCCGCCCTCATTGTACAATATTCATTAGATGAGAGATTCCAACAACAAATCAGTAACAGCCAACAAGGCAGCAGTATCGATAACATCCACTTTGTATGACCGGCGAGCCCTGGATTGCACTGAGGACAAGCCTCTGGTAAACTCCTTGAACCACCTCACGTTCCTAGCCTCGTCTTCACTGAAAGTTCGCGAGGCGTTGTCCCAGGATGGAGGACTGGAAAGATTGGTCGATATTCTGTACGAATGTCAAAGTCCAACTACCGAGAAGGAAAAATGCATCAGTGCGTGGAAATGGGTGCTTGCGTTTCAGTGTTTGGTTCTGGTGGGGACTAGAGGCAACGAGAGAATAAGAAAGAAAGTGGTGGATGCTGGAATGATTCCTATAATCGCTACGATTCTTGACAACTATGTTATCTCGAAGAAGACGGCGTGGAATTCGCACCTGCAGAGCAATAAAGACCACTATCTTAACGTTAGAACTACCAGCACTGCCAACACTACAGTCACGGAAGGAACCTCTGAAATAAGTGACGACCTACTAACGAACGCATCCTCGTTTACGGCTGCCACGGACGAGTCGCAACTGGCACAGCAGCAGCAACGCAGCAACGAAATGTACGACGACTTCAACAATGACCAAATCAACGAAGTGTTTCAGAATGTCAGACGCCTCGTGGAGGAGGCAAACCAGACAGTCATGGAGGCGGAGGCTGAAATCCAGAAACATGAGCAGCATAAGAAGAAAACGTTAGGCGATCTAGCGTTGGGTGACGCAGAGGCCCAGCTTGACGAGGAATACTCCAAGATATCCAAGTCCCTCACTTTCCTGAATTTCCTCGACAGACTCAACACTACCGACGATATTTCCAAAATCAATCAAGAGCTCCTGACAAGTTATAGCGAGCTGACCAGGAACGCGGTGTTTACAAACCAGCTAGTGAACAATCCCGAGATCTCGAACATTCTCAGGGAAAATATGTCCTCGACGGATCTGCCATTTTTCAGAGCTACGGAGGACAAATTCAATCAGTCCATTCCGCGCAATTTTGAGAACGGGATCTTGATCCCGAAGGAAGACGACGTCATCTGGTCGCTGCAGGTTTTGGCGTTCATCTCAAAGTACACTTATTTGAGATACAAACTTGCCGATACCTACATTGTTAACGGGTTGTCACTTAGAAACTACAATATACCACCTCCTTTGGAGACAGATTGCGACATGAACGAAACGGGCGATTTACTAAACGACATATATGATGACGAGGACAGTTCGGAGGACGAAGACGTGGCGAACGGCCTGAACGAGTTTGTGATTCCGAACGAAAATAAATTTGGCGTGGCTTCGGGTCTGACGCGCCAGCAGTTCCCCGAGAACTTATGGCTGGGCTCTAGCTCGTCGAAGTCCAAACGACAAAAGTACAGCGATCGCAAGTGCGAGTCGAAATATGCGCATCTGTTACGGGATTACAACTCACTTATAAACGAGCAGGATCGGATAGAAAAGGCAACGAAGCTAGAAAAGTTTGCTCTGAATATTTCGCGGTACGCACATCGTGAACACAATATTCTGAGACTCCGGAATAATCAGATCTACAAACGCAAAAGAGAAAAATACGCTTCTACATGGGACTACGATGAATGGGACGACTTCGAAATGGGGCCTCTGTCTCTGATGCTCCCCAATTCTCAAACAATCGACCCAAACATCCGTCCCATCAAACGGGTCAACATATTCCCACTTGTCGAAAAGTTTACTGTCAAGCATTTGCATTCTAAGGACATTACCTACTGGGCCTCTGTGATCGTGCGAAATTCCAACAGAAAGGATGAGAGTAAAGGCGGAAGACGACAGTGCGCCTACTTTGGCTGCGGCAAATGGGAAGACGAGCCTCGCCAGTTTGCCAAGTGCCGGCGATGTAAGCGTGCGAAGTATTGTTCGAAAGAGTGTCAGTCGAAGGCTTGGACGTACCACAAGTATTGGTGCAATGCTGCTAGCGGGTCTACCAGCACGAATACAGCGTCCGGAACGGAAGCGGGAGCCCAGAGCTGGAGCGAGCAAGCCGAGCAGACAGACCAGACAGATCAGGACCAGGATTCTGCACTTGGACAGTCGCAGTAAAAAAAAGTTTATGGAGTTTATTAGCATCAATATATTAGGCTAGACAAACAGCCTCGATTCCACCATGAACGTCAGCTTCATGGTTTGCTCCATGAAAGTCAGCGTGAGAACGGTGTGAGGAGCAATTCTGAGCAATTGTGCTCCGAATCCTTTATAAAGAGCACCGATACCCTCGCTCTTGACGGTCTTGATCAGACAATCGATGGGGCCAGAGTACTTGTTTCCCTTCTGGTTGTAGACTCTGGTTAGAATAACGTCTCCTGGGTTCATCACCACGCCAACTCCGAGACCCGCGATAGTACTGGAAAGCAGGTGAAGATGCGGGCCTTCCTCAATAAGTCCCGTCTTCAGCAGCTCGTGCTTGGCAAAGTTGTAGATCGGCAATTGAACCGAAGAGCCCATACCGGTTCTAATGATGGCAGCATCCACTCCTCTGAAAAGTCCTTTCAATCCGCCTTGTCTATATTGCGAAACAAGCCCGTTCCACGTCGATGTGTAATGAGTTTGCTCACCGATCTTAATACTGGGCGAGTACGACTGCATCCGCGTTTTGATGAGGTAGAAAGGCGAGCCAACAATGGCACCGGCTATACCAGATAGCGCTCCTGCTGCGACGTTGACTGGAATGCTTTGGACGGAATGTGCGTTCTGAGACGGAAAGATAATTGTGTTGATGAAGTTTCTCACCGGCTCATACAAGCCGAGACGACATCCGTTCAGTCCAAGTTGGTAGACGTACGCACAGAAAAGACCTTTCTGACACCCCCTAATACCCTCATTTTTGTAGATAAGCCCCAGAGCCTGGAACGGATTTTTGTAAACTCTCGGAGTGTTGGTTGCACTGGACAGCTCTCCTTCCAGCTGCATTCTAGTTTTCACCAGCTCGATCGGATTCGTCATCGTCACAGCTCCGCAGGCCGCGAGTCCTCCAGCGATGAAGCCGCCGACCGTGGACACTTTTTGAGACGCTGTTTTGTCCGACATCTAGATAAAGTGGAAAAAAATAAATTCAACAATCCAAAAAAGTATCGCTTTTTCCCGTCATAGTTTATCCTTGATACCGTTCAGACGATATTTCACGTCCCTCAGAACTTTCGACTCTGGGTTCCAGTTATCAAATTCCTTGAAAACCATCTCAATTTCCTTCTCCCCATCGTCCAATCGCTTCTTGACATCGAAAAACAGGCCTCTGGTGCACCACGGCAGCGTGAACGGATTGCTGCCCACGTCCGAGACGTCTATCTCGTGAAATCGGACTGGCTGCCTAACTACAAGGCTGGAGTCCATTGTTTTGAGCGCGAAGTTGAGTGCGAGCTTGTATACGTCGGGGCTGTTGTAGATGCGAGAGTGGCCACCGCCAGTAAGCGGGCCTGCCAAAGCGTGACTCATTTCCGCGATCACTCCGTGGTCCGTATACCCCAGATTCTGTAGCATGCACGAGAGCTTCACTATGCGCGCCACAAAGTCTGGAGTGTTCGACTTGCCGTCAATATAGACCGCCTTGTATATGTTGGGGTGCGAGATATGGCAGCCGATTGCGGAGTAGAGAGGAACCAGCTGGTCGTTGACAGACCCCACAAGCGTGATCTTCACGTTGTGTGCAATCAGATTGCGCACGCTTTCCAAGTACTTGCGGCTTTGCAAGCTCTGAAAATTCTGGAACTGGAACAGCTCCAGCATGGACTCGTTCTCGATAGACGAATAGGCCCTAATAAATAGCGACTGGTCCATCCCGTAGTAGGGACCAATGTTAATACCTGCCATTCCCAAGATGGCTATGCGCTTGTTGTCTGCAATGAGGCCATGTTCTATCATCTTGGAGATGAGCATCATGGCCACCGGAGTGCCCTGCGAATGCGCGCACACATAGATGAAATCTGCCTTTTCCACCTCCTCGTGCCACTTCTGCATCGCCTCGAAGAAGAACTCCACTCTGTCGAAGATTTTGCCCTCCTTTTCAAGTGCTATTTTCTGTGTCTCGATGCTCATTCCCTGTTCTTGGGCCCACGCGCTGATCGCATCTTCCGCCGCCTTTGCAAACCGTGCAGAAGTGCCTGTGGGCTCCCCAATAAGCGGGCGGATCATTTTGGTAGGGAAGAACCCGTGGACGCCAATGATGAGCACTCGTCGGAAGCTCGACGCACGGATCTTTCTGCTAAGATGGCCAACGGGCGCTGGCTCGCGCCCCGCCAGCAACATGAGATTATTGACGGCGGAATAAACGTAGGTTCCAGGCGTAACACACGGCAGCGACTCGAACTGCGGTACCACCAGATCCGGCCTGCTCGGAGCAGACGACAGTTTCTGTTTTTTCTTTTTGGGCGAGACGACCGGATCCTGTCTCACCGGCTCAGACAGCGTGGCTTCTGTCTCCACTGCGGTCGGTTGGTCCACGGGTCTAGTATTCCTGGACCAAAACGACCACGATTGCGCACGGTCCTTGGTCTCCTTGGGCGGTTCCAGCTCCTCATTCTCGGTATCCTTACATACAGGCCCAGCTTTCGGCTCCAATTTCGGACTCACAGGCTCGCTCTTGAGCGATTTGAGCGAGGCGTTCGATGTCGAGCCGGTCTGCAGTTGCTGCGTCTTGGAAAACGTCCAGGAGTTTAGCAGCTTCCTAGGCGCTGAGTCAGCAGAAAGGTCTGTGGTACTGCCATTTTCCTGGTTCTGGTCGTCCTCAAACACCTGGCTCTTCACCGATCGCAGCAGCTGGTCTATGGTGCCTCTCTTACCCTTGGCTGCGTTACTCATTGGGGAGTGCGAGGTCAGCCGCCTTATAATGTCTTGTATTTCGCTCTTCAAAACAGGATCACTGCAGCAGGTCGTAAATGCCGATGCTGCGGAGCAGAAGCAGAGCTAAAAAGAACAAGGGATATGTCTTGTGTCAAAATTAAATACCCCAGTAAATCTAAAATAAAACCACGACACTGCCAGGATCGCGACGCGAATATTTATCAACATGAACAAGGTGTCTCCAAAGATGGCGCAAAAACGCACGATCACCGACTTTTTCGCGGTGAAAAGGCAGAAGTCGGACTCTGTGGCCAAGAGCGTGGTGTCGGAGACGCAAGTGGTCCGAAAGACGGATTCCGTGAAGAAACAAATCACTCTCCAGGTGACCACAACAAGCTCCTTCAATAAACAGAAGTGGGTCAACTCGCTGACTCCCGAGCAGAAGGATCTGCTCGAGCTGGAGATCTCGAGCATGGAATCGTCATGGCTTGCTCTGCTGCACCAGGAACTGACCAAACCCTACTTTTTGGGTCTCAAGAGATTCCTGCTTTCTGAATGGAAGTCTCAGACTGTCTTCCCTCCCAAGGAGAACATCTACTCGTGGACGCGTCTGACGCCAGTCAACAATGTCAATGTGCTTGTTCTTGGCCAGGATCCGTACCACAACTACAACCAGGCTCACGGACTCGCGTTCTCTGTTCAGGACCCTACTCCGCCACCTCCGTCTCTGAAAAACATTTACAAGTGTCTGAAAAAAGAGTATCCCAAGTTTGAGATCCCCAGGAAGGGCGACCTCACGAAATGGGCCCAGAACGGAGTCCTCATGCTCAATACGTGTCTCACGGTGCGCGCCCATAACGCCAACTCACACTCGGGCAAAGGCTGGGAACAATTCACCATGCAGGTCATCAAGAAGCTGATCGAGCACAGAAACAGGAACGGCAAGGGTCTGGCCATCGTTGCGTGGGGGTCGCCTGCTCAGAAGACCGTGTTCAACGTCGGCAAGATCGACTGGAGCCTGAACCTGTTTCTGAAGTCTGTCCATCCGTCTCCGCTCAGTGCGGCACGCGGATTTTTCGACTGCCAGCACTTCACCAAGTGCAACGCGTGGCTCGAGGAAAAATACGGCAAGGAGGCGAGAATTGACTGGGCCTTAGTGGACGGAAATACAGTTTTGGAGAATTAATTTAGATAAAAAAATAAATACACTGCTGTGACTTATGGACTATCACAAGGTGTACTCTTATGCGTCTGACGAGCTGTTGGCGCCGGAAACGCTGTGTTTTGCTCTTTTCTATGTCGGCGTATACAAAGACGAGGCCCAAATCAGGACAGAACTCACCCAGCTCAAGCATAATCTGGACGTAGAGCTCAGACCGTACCTAGACCACTATCCGTGGCATGTCCGGCCTGTTGAGTACCAGCTGGTCGACGATAGACACTGTTTTCTGTATGGAGAGCTCGAATACGGCGAAAACATGGACGATCTGTGGGTGGTTGCCAGTCTGCTGTTCAGATTCACGTCCAGGAGCGAAAACATATACTTGCATCTCTATGACCAGGACCGCGAGTTTCTGCTGATCGAGGCTGCCCAGCAGGTTCCTGGGTGGCTGGATCCAGACTGCGCATCAAACAGAGTTTGGGTCAACTCGCGAAGGGTGGTCTGCGTCCCGAAAGAGTACTGCGAAGGGCGGAATCTGGACCTTGAAGAGGCCCTTGCGTTTCTGCAGTCAGCCAGCTACCGTTTAGAGGTCCTCAGCGACGTCACGGAGGAGCTGGTGCGCAAGAAGATTGCCAATTATCCGCAGGAAGCTCTGAAACACATCACAATGGAGTCGCTGCTGGTTTCGGAGCAAACGGCACGCAAGCTCGTTGGCCGGCCTGCGTACGTCGCTGGAGCAGCCATTTCGCATTTTCTGGAGCCCCTGCGGCTGTTAGGACTCCGGCTCGGCGGCCAGCGACCGTCCAGACAGGTGACACTAAACATTAGAGTCAATGCGATAGTGCACACGGATTTGCAAAAGTACGGCGAGACGGCGGCAGGGATGGGCGAGATTGCCGACCGGGCGATCCAGGAGGAGGAATTCCGAGAGAATATAGACGAAGCTGACTTTGAGGACCTGTTAAAGCAGCACAACGAAATCACAGAGCACGACCCGTTGCAGCGGGAGCTTCTGCGGTACAACGTGATAGACAAACTTGTTGAGTGGGAGCCGCCGGAGCAGGTGGAGGAGGAGGAGAAACAGCGCTACGACGAGGACATGGTCCAGAAGGTGAAACAGTTCATGAGTAGAGAGACAGACTGGGCTGGGGCAGGGTCCGAGAGCGATGATGACGAGAAGGCGGCAGACGAGAGCGAGAGCTCGCGTATACGGGACTATTTCAGGCAAGAGGGAGTCGATATTGACGAAGACGACTTCTTTGAGTTCTTCTGTCGTGAGGCGTTGCAGCTGAGCAAAGAGGACATGGAGCAACTGCGAGGGGCGGACTCAGACGATACGGATGGAGATACGGGCCGCGATGGGGAGAACGCGGCGGAGGAAAGCCCCGCAGAGGATTTGGAGGTGCTGTCGAACCTGCTGGCGGCGCTGGGGTCGGGCAGCTCGCCGGCCGCCACGATTCTGAATAATCTTAAGTAACCCGTACACCGTATTTATTTTTATTGCAGCTTTTGATAACAGACTAGAACAGGTAACAACACCGACGAGTGCTTCTTGTGTTATAGGACCCTAAGACCGCGCGCACAGACAGAAACAGCTAGTACAAAATGTGGGGATACTTCTTTGGCGGCAACGCGAAGCAGAAGAAGGAGCTTCCCAAGAAGGCGATTGTGGAACTTAGAGAGCATATTTCGACGCTAAACAAGAAGTCTGCGTTTCTAGAGACGCAGGTCCAGGAGCAGGATGCTATTGCGCGCAAGAACGTCACGTCGAACAAGAATCTGGCGAAAATGGCCCTGAAAAAGAAGAAGAAGCTCGAGGCAGACATACTCAAGATTGAGAACCAGGTGGAGTCCTTGGAGACGCAGCTCAACGCGATAGAGTCTGCGAACCTGAACCTGGAGACGATGAAGGCGATGAAACAGGGCGCAAAGGCGATGAAACAAATGCACGGCGACTTCAATGTCGACAAGGTCGACCAGACAATGGACGATATCAGAGAGCAGGTCGAGCTCAGCGAGGAGATCTCCGATGCCATCAGCCGACCACTGGGCAACGATCTGGTGGACGAGGACGAGCTCGACGAGGAGCTCGCCGCTCTGCAGCAGGAAGAGCTCGATAATAAGATGACAGACACCAAGCAGGCCGTCAAGCCTCCGGCCGAGCCCGTCAAGTCGCAACTGCCGGACGCTCCGACCGGCAAGGTGCAGGAGGAGGAAGAGGACGAAGACGAGAAGGCGCTGAGAGAGCTCCAGGCTGAAATGGGGATGTGACTTTTGCTAGTTGTGAGTATGCTAATATAACCATATCATTAATCGTACATGTCGTAGAGAATTATCTGGCTCGACCCAGAGCTGCGCCGTGCGCAGAAGACAATGAGTTTGCCTAGCTCTTTCACGATCGAGTATCTTGCGTTCGCCATCTTGTGCCCCACCATGCCCAGAAGGCCCACAAGGTTCTGTTTGTCGGGTATCGAGTCCAGCACGTCTGTCCATTTCTTCACCTTGCCGTAGAGCTGAGACCCTGTATCTTCCTCATTTGTTGTTTCGAGAACACAGCCTGCTGCGGACGAGAACTGAGAGCGGATCCGCCGCAGATACTGGTACCCAGACTCCTTCGGCAGCTGAGGCTTGTACGTTTCGCGGCCGCATTTGATGAACACATACGTCCAGATCACCAGCAGAGCGATGCTGATCGGGTTTGATCGGAAAAACAGGTCGCGGTCGGCATCATAGTCGTACTCGTACTCTTCTGGAGCGCCCTGTGGCGAAAGAAACATCTCAAAAAGGAGCAGGTAGCACTGCACAACGGCCACTTTGGCGTGTCTGGTTTCTGTCCACTCAAGCACCCTTTTGCAGATGGCGTCTCTTTCCAGCGGCGAGGACGGCTTGACGTTCATTCTCCAAGGAGCTCCGGCAAAAATCAGGAAGTCATACTGGGGAATCGACATGCAGACGTGGGCCATGTGGTACACCGTGCATTTGCAACGGGTGTCTTTCTGCGACAGCTCCATGAACCCAGAAGCCGCTTTGACGTTTTCAATTGCTGTCTTCGACGAGCAGCAGGACACGCCAACGTCATTTCTCCAGATGGAGTAGGCGGCCGTCATCAGCTCACGCCAGTTCTTGGCAGTCTCGCTTGCACCGAACTTATCTAGCCCAAACGCCAGTTGCAGGTCCCGCTGCTGGATCTGGAACATTACAGCACTCAGTCCGGAGACCAGAACCTTCTTTCCAAACGCGTTGGTTCGCGTCGACACTCCGTTGAGCAGATTTTTCAGCACAAGCAGGAATCTCTGTGGCTTTTTGGCCTGCTTGATGACTTGCTTGAAGTTTCGCAGATCAGCGTCCCACACCTCATCTTCCACAGGCATGGTGAGCTGCACCTGGTGCGCGTAAATAAGAACCTCGTGGCCGTACATGATGGCGTCGATGGTGTCCATGTAGAAGCACATGTACGTTGCTCGTTTGAGCGACTCCACCTCGATCCAGCTGTGCCAGTTGCTGACGTCTTCGGGTTGTCCAAGCTTCTGCGGGGTGCCGCCCAGCGTGGGGAGCCGCCGAAGAAGCTGAATCGTTGTTCCATGGTGCAGATGCGCTCTCTCGTGCATTTTTCGAGACGAACAGTTTTTCTCGTAGAACTCCAGCAGCAGCAGGCTCTGAATAGTCCAGATCGTCGCAGGAGGCTCAAAGTCCGGCGACGAGAATATATGCCATCTCAAAGGGTTCGCAATGAGGTCGGCAAACGACTGTGGGTCCTCTATGTGGTCTGGCGAGTAGAGGTCGTCAAATATCGTGGACAGTCTGGCTCCAATAATGAACATCGAGAGCAGCAGCGACGGCGGCGTCTGAGACGCTACAAAAGTGGGCTTGTGCAGAATGGGGAACCTGGGGTGGAAATATTTCCAGTAGGTGCGTAGCATTTTTTCCAGCTTGAACTGTAAAAAGTCAGGGTGCGTGGCCAGGGCTGGAATTAGGGTTTTGAATTCGGCCAACAGCACATCGTTGAGCTCGTATTCGTTCTTCATGTATGACGTTTCTGTACTTCCGATGGATATTGGCTGATCAGAGAACAGAGCAGAGTTGGAGGAAATGTTCTCGAACCCGTCTAGAAGGAAAAACGCCTGGCCATTATTGGCAAACATCTGATCGATTTCGGCAGAGTCCATGTTACTGGAATTGACCGCATCGAGACTCTCAGGATCCTCACTAAAAAGCCAGCTCAGAAGGTTTGGCGTGGGATTCTCTCCCATATGTGGAGATGGAGTGGGGGCCGAGCTATTATGCGTTCTCACAATCGTGTTGACAGAAGAGAGCTGTTTCGGCGGAGACGACTTGGAGTCATCACGCTGAGAATGCCGCCTTTCGTGGCGCACAAGCAGGTCGTTGCGAACAAACGTTTTGTCGCACCGGGGACAGCGAAAGATCTTCTTGGGGTTATGGTTGAGCTGGTGTCGGGACAGATGTTCAGACCGCAAAAACTCCTTGTTGCAATTGGGGAAGTCGCACTTAAAAGGCGGCCCATCGCGTCTTTTGGACCGCTTTTTCGGAGGGCCTTCAGACACGAGTGCCATTCGGGAGGAGATCTAAAATTATTTTATTTTATCTATCATTATTTTTATTTTTTATTTTTCTATGGATGCCCAGACACTGGTAAATAGATACAAGAAAGAGGGTTTGTTCGATTTGAAGCGGCGCGAGTTGCTGGACAATTTTGTTGCTTCGGATGACTCAAAGCTAAACGAGCTTTTGGTGAAGCTGATTGACCTCAAAGTGGAAAAGGACCCGGGAATTCTTACTCAGAACAAAGGCCGATTGGTGGCACTGATACAGACTGATCTGCTGAAACGCCAATCGAGCAGGCCATCAGGCGACAAAACACACGAAGAGGCAATTGTGGACGAGATCAACGAGCTATTGACAGGGTATGTAACCAAAGTGGTGGACGATAACAAGGAGCTTAACGAAGAGCTGACGAGCAAGCTAAACGAAATGAGACAAGGCGCCGAATCCTCATGATTATTACAATAGTATACACTCTATTTTGATCTAAGCTCGTTTCTCCAGTCTCTGAACGTCTTAGAGATCAAGCCTGTCTCCGGGTCGAGCAACTGGGTCGTCACTGTGGCGTTGTTCTCACTCAGGTTGAGATAGTTCGGATTCACGGCTGGGTCAAAAACCAGGCGGTATGTTTTTGTCTCGTCGCGGGGAATCGTCTCGTTGATCCAGTTGATCAGGCCGTTGAAGAACTTCAATGATTGCATGAACTTGTTTTTCGACGGATGTCTGTTAGGCAAAGGGTTGTTTTTGATCATCAAAGGAATCTGCTCGGTTTTGTACTCTTCGACAGTGCGCAAAATCATATTGTCGTCTCTAAATCCACATATGATTTTAGGGATGCCAACGAGGAAACACTGGGCCCAAAACTTGAGCAGCTTGTTCTCAAACGAAAACACCGCCTGCGGAGAATCGAGCACACGCGTTGTCTTGAGCTCAACATAGTGCGAAAGAGGATCCGCGTCCTCTGGTTTGTAATCGAAAACACAGTCCACCTCCGCCCCCATGACCAGCCCTGTCTTTCCGAATGAGGTCTTTACCACGGTTGCATACTGCTCGATATTATTCACCGGTAACTTGTTGCGCTGCTCAATCTCCTTGCGCGAGCACTCGGCCCACGGCTTGGGCAGTGTCGCGATCTTCTCGAACTTGTATCCCGAATATATTTGCCGTTTGTTGAGGTCTGATTGCGTGAGTTTCTCGAGCTCTGCCGCCTCTCTCGCATTCTGAAAATCCTGCTGGATGAAGAGCTGGCCATCGAAGACCACAATGTTTAGCACAATCTTGTCTCTGTTGTCAAAGGGCAGCAGCATAAGGCTCCTCATTAGACCTCTCCAGGTGATGATGTTTGCGGGAGTTTTGGCGCCAGTTTTGCGCTCATAGGCCTCGAGTGCCGCCAACAGGCCCGTGAACTCGCCAAAGTCCTCGCCGTTGGCACGGAAGTCCTTGAAACCTGCCTGCAGATCAATTCCTCCTGGCACGTTCAGCTGGCTATCTGGCAAATAGAAATAACTCAGCTGCGAGTCGTCGACGCGGTACTGGCCTTCGATGTCACGCGAGTAGCTGATCAGTTCCTTGGGCTGCTTGACGGACGCATCTGGGGCGCGCGACTGCAGCGGATACACTTTGGAGAACTCCATTGGAAAGAAAGCGAGATTTAATAAATTCTCGATTATTTTTTTTTACATAAGCAAGCACCTTGAATTTTTTTTTTTCCCGAGAAGTATTTCCACCTTATGACTATTCGACTAGAACTTGCTGGCAAAGCTCCGTTGGTCGACTACGCAGCGCTGACCGCTGCTGCGTTTGTCAACAACGGCACTGACGAATTGATTGAAATTGACGTTGTTGACGACAAGGTTGTTTCGAAGGAGGTCAACTCGCCATTAAGACTCACCCAGGGCGACAAGAGCATCACCTCTGGACCCGAGGCGCTCAACTTTTTGGCGGACGAGTACCCTAAGCTGTTTCTGGCCAAGGAGGCGTCCCAGGAATGGATCAAGTTTAGTTACGAAAAGCTCACTGTGAAGGACTTCAAGAAACTGTCTGCCGATCTCGAAAAGCTGGACGCTCACTTGAACCTGAGATCTTTCATTGTTGGCTATGACATCTCGCTCGCCGACATCGCAGCCTGGGGTGCATTGCGTGCGAATGCCGTGATGGGATCTGTCCTGAAAAACTCGGTCTACATCAACATCACCAGATGGTACCAATTTCTGGAGGCAGACAACAGGTTTGGCGGCATGGTTGAGTTTTTGACCAAGTCGCTGGCCGAGATCAAAAAGGCTGCCAAGGGCGGCAAGAAGGAGACCCACAAGGCCAACTTCGAGATCGATCTGCCGGACGCCAAGGACGGCCAGGTCGTCACGAGGTTTCCTCCAGAGCCATCTGGATACCTGCACATTGGCCATGCCAAGGCTGCGATATTGAACCAGTATTTTGCGGAGGCCTACCACGGCAAACTGATCATCAGATTTGACGACACAAATCCTACCAAAGAGAAGGTTGAGTTCCAAGACTCGATTCTGGAAGACCTGAAGCTGCTGGGCATCAACGGCGACAGAATCACCTACTCGTCGGACTATTTCCAGGAAATGTACGATCTGGCCGTCAAGCTGATCAAAGAGGGCAAAGCCTACTGCGACGACACTCCGCTGGAGCAGATGAGAGCCGAGAGAATGGACGGTTTGAAGTCTGCCAGAAGAGACAGAAGCGTCGAGGAGAACCTGCGGATTTTCACCGAGGAGATGAAAAACGGCACCGAGGAGGGCCTGAAAAACTGTCTGAGGGCCAAGATCGACTACACGGCGCTGAACAAAACGCTGAGAGACCCGGTCATCTATAGATGCAACCTGACTCCCCACCACCGGACCGGCACCGCCTGGAAAATGTACCCTACGTACGATTTCTGCGTGCCTGTGGTCGATGCGCTCGAAGGAGTGACCCATGCGCTGAGAACCATTGAGTACAGAGACAGAAATGCGCAGTACGAGTGGATTCTCAACGCTCTGAACCTAAGAAAAGTGCACATCTGGGACTTTGCCCGAGTTAACTTCGTCAGAACGCTGCTCTCCAAGAGAAAGCTGCAGTGGTTTGTCGACAAGCAGTACGTTTCCAACTGGGACGATCCAAGATTCCCAACGGTCCGAGGCATCAGAAGAAGAGGTATGACCGTGGAGGGCCTGAGGAATTTTGTGATTTCGCAGGGTCCGTCCAGAAACATTATCAATCTGGACTGGAACGTCATCTGGTCTGCCAACAAGAAGGTGATCGACCCAATTGCCCCGAGACACACTGCTCTCGCTGCGGAAAACCTCGTCCCTGTCAAGCTGTCTAACGGCCCGGAGAAGGAGTATGCCGAGGACAGACCAAAGCACAAGAAGAACCCTGCTGTTGGCACGAAGAAGGTGTATTTCTCGTCGAACCTGCTTCTGGAGCAGGAGGACGCCAAGGCCATTGCGGACGGCGAGGAGGTGACGTTCATGGACTGGGGAAACGTGATCTGCGACAAGGTGGTGAAGCAGGACGGCGTGGTGAAGCAGATCGAGGCTACCCTGCACTTGGACGGCGATTTCCGCAAGACAAGCAAGAAGCTGACGTGGCTGCCTGCAGACAAGCACGTCGACGTCGACCTGGTCGATTTCGACCACCTGATCACCAAGGAGAAGCTGGACGAAGGCGACAACTTCGAGGACTTCCTCACACCTCAGACCGAGTTCCACACCAGGGCGATCGCAGACGTGAACGTCCGGGACATGAAGGTGGGCGACGTGATCCAGTTCGAAAGAAAGGGCTACTTCCGTCTGGACTCGAACGCAGGCGGCAAATACGTGTTTTTCACTGTCCCGGACGGCAAGAGCGTCAACAGGTACGGAGCCAAGGCGTAAATAGAATTAGTGACTACTCCAACCTATGTATGATGAGGTAGCGGATCAGGATCTCGATCACGGACACGAGCACGCTGAGGCCGATCGCGATGATCAGAACCATGGTGATCTTCGTCATCGTGCGCTCTGCCAGCGAGTCGGCCACGATGTCGAAGAAGTCGAGGAACACCTTGCACCGGTCGTTGATCACCTCGACGCGCTGGTCGATCTCGAGGTACTCGCGGATGGCCGAGTAGAGCGGGTCCAGGCCGGGCTCGATCGTCCAGAAGTACTCCGGCTTATCCAGGACGTTCGACGAGAGGTTGACCTCGTTGCGCAGCTGGAACAGCTTTCCCGTTTTGATGAGCAGTTTCTGCCGCGTGTAATTCTGGAGCTTGCCCGTGAGCGCGAGCGCCTTCGGCAGCCGCGAGATCGAGTTGAGGATGTTGCTCATCTTGCTCTCAAACATGGACAGTTTGGTGGACTGCGCAATTGCGTGAGAGATCGTCAGCTTGATCAGATGGTCGCCGGACTTGAGCGTGATCATGTCGTTGTAGATGCGCGGCGTCGGGATGTCGCTCATGTACTCGAAGTGGAACTCCTCTGTCTCAATGTCGTGCTCCGGCACCGGCTTGACGATGAACGTGAGAGCCTGCGGCGCGGCAGAAGACGGCTCCTCGCGGCTGGTGCTGGCTGCCAGGTAGTTAGTGAACGCGTGATCGTCGTCGTCGTCGCAGTCCAGGCTGAACTCGCCCGGCTGGATCTTGGCGAACACCAAGTCCGCAAGGATGTTTTTCTCGTGGATCTCCGAAAAGTTCCAGAACACCACCACGCCGTAGTCCAGAATGAACATCTCGGCGTGCTTGGTCAGGTCCGGCAGGTGCGAGTGCGACTTCTTCTTGTGCGAGCCCGAGGACGAGCGTCTTTTCTCCGCGCCGACGCCCGGCCCGGTCTCGCTCTCGGTGTCGTCGATAGCAGAGCTGGCCTCCGCCGCGGCCTCGTCCTCCCGCTTCCGCTCATCTGGGCTGCTGTCGCTCTCGCGCACCTCCTCCTCCTCCAGCATGCTGTCTGTCGGGCTCGTGCTCACGAAAAACTGCGGCTCCGAAGGGTCGAACTCGCTGTTGTGCTGCTGCGCAGCCAGCTCCTCGTCCACAAGACTTCCGGCAGGACTCATCTTGGGCGAGCTCACGCTGTCCAGGTCGCCGTCCTGGCCCGAGTAGAACTCGTAGTGGTGGTCGCGCTGCTCGGACTTGTCGATGAAATTCTCCATCAGCTGGTTGCCGTGCTGCATCTTGGCCGAGTTGTTCGACTGCACGCGGTAGCCGTTTTCTCCGGGCAGAAGGGGCAGCGAATACGCCACATACAGCGCCTCGTCGTACATCCGCGGCGATACCATGTGGTGTTTCGAGAGGAACTTGCTCGTGAGCTTGAGATTGAACCCTTCGGCAATCAGGTACGCCGTCACCCTGGGGTAAACGTTGGCTCTCTGCTCCTTGGACAGCTTTTCTGCGCGCGTCCGCACGTGGCTGCTGTTGAAAATGTTGTCCGTCGTGGTCTCCTCGCCGACGTCCTGGCCGCGCAGCAGCGACGCCTCGT